GACTGTTGTGAACTGAAGCAAAGTTTTCTATTTAACAGTTTTGTGTAGTGATGGACGGAACAGAGCGCTGCATGATGTCAGCAGAGCACTCACATCAGCTGACTGCATTCAAGCTTCACCATCAGCTGCTTGACTACCAGTAACTAGTAACATCCAATCATATTCATACAAGTGTTTACGTGGCCTTTATAACCTCAGACGTATCAGTGACTACTGTCCTGACAAACTTAAACTTAAACTTAAGCCTTCATCAGGTCCTCTATACCACGGGTCTCCAACCTTTTTTTCTCTACTATTTTGACAGAATCCAAGTGTCTGAGAGCTCCTCATGTCTTGTATTACCGGTTACATTTATTTGTATCAATATCGTATCAAAACACTCCAGCTGATCTCCAAACCAAACCAGATCAATAAGATCATTTAACAATCATCAAATTTCAACATCCAAAAACATGTGAAACTCACATCAGACAAAAACCAGAGTCAGACCTCAACAGACATGAAAACACCACTGTAAATAAACCTCCATACATCTGACTAGAAGATTCTGTCTGTGTATTGGAGCAGATTTACTGAGTGCAGTTGTGTTGCTTAAAGTTTGAACTACACATCCATGGTTTGTACAGACTATATTCTCTGAACCTTTGGGTGAGCTACTGGGAGAGCTCTGATCTACATGTTATCCTGACAGGTTTCTGAGGGAGATTCTAAACAGTGTCAGTCCCACAGTTTTATCCTCTGTAAACTGCTCTGTGATGTTTCCCTGATATCTTAAATTTTAATTATCTGAATACACAGCTGTTCTCATTAACCTGTATTAATGATGATTTTGTCAGACAAAGACACCGTTATAATATCTGATCACCATGACAACAGTTATGTTGTCAGCCAACACCATGACGACGGCTGGTTAACCTGCAGCGTTCATGAGCCACGACTCAGTCACTACTTCATACCTGTTCTGTTGTGGCAACAGAAGCAGAAGACTATGATGTCAGCTGCATTAAAACACAGTACAGCAGGAGGAGGCAACAGCCCGTCACTCAGCAGAACTGAGCTCTGTGACAGCAGAAAACAACCTTCAGTTGTCTCTAACCTCCTCCGTGACCACTCATGTTAAATGTTGATGTAGTTAGTGATCCAGCTCAGCTGCTGTCATTAATAAAGTAACCTTTATTAATGTGTCATTAATAAAGTAACCTTTATTAATGCGGATTTCATTAAGATGACGTCTGGACCACAAAATAAAGATAAGGTGAATGTGCTGTCTGTTCTGCTCTTCACCAGTTGGCTCTAATGTAGTTTTACCAACTGAAGAGGATGAAACAGAAGAGATGGACTCAGGTCAGCAGTCAGTGTGTCACTGTGTGATCTAAGTCCATACAGGACGCACATACCAGGAAATCTCATGGTGACTAAAAAATATTTAAGACTGGTCAAATCTGAATTTAAGAAAATTTAGACTTTTAAAGACTTGAGGCCTTTTATAAGTAAATTAAGATATTTCAAGGACCTGTGACAGTGCAGGATTTAAACTTTGGAGCAACAATGACAATGTTTTTATGAGAAAGAAAATACATGGCATGTCTGTTAGACTTCAGGAATACACCTGATTTGTTTTGGTGAGGAACACTGAAACCTCCTTTAAAACAACAATAACCTTCTACACTGAAGCCAAAACAAACGAGGCCTTTGGCTGTTTCCAAGGGGAAGATGAATGAGATATCAGACAGGAGCCTCTGAGCCTCTCTTCTGATTGGCTGACTGTTTCTCAGTGCTCTAATATAAATATAGCAGATGTCAGGCAAATGGATTTGGATGGTGGGTCCAGGTGGGCGGGGCTTGGGGCGTGGCTGAGAGCAGTGACTGCTTTGTTGTGACATCACAAAGTTCCAGAAGTCCTGACGGCTGGTTTTAAGGCTCAGTTTCTGAATTCAGGCTGTGTGCATTTCTCTGTGGACTGAGGCTTTGACACTTTCACAGTGTTAATATAGAACCTAGACCTGCTTTATAATTAAATAGACATCTACCTTTAGACTTGATGGGACCTTTAAAAAAAATGCACCAGGCTGCAATGGTGGGGGCTGGTTTGAGTGAATGTCAGTGAGTGGAAGGGATGAGGAGACAGAAATGAGGAGGAAACACAGGATGCTACAGCCAGGGAGGAAAAGACCTCATGAAACAATAAGGTTCACATACTAATCCATTCATGCATTTTTCATTGATTTTAATTTCATCAATAAAAAAAGTCTGAACATGCATTGAAAAGTTGAAGGTGTGTCCAAACATACGTCCAGTATGTACGTTACATACTGGACCACGCAAAGAAAAAATTTATGTTTTCAGCACCAATGACAAAAAATAACAAAAAAAAAACAAAAAACAAAAAAAAAACACCAGGACCCACCTTGTCCTGTAGCTAGCAGCTTGCTTCCTGGGGACTTGGCTGTGGCCTCAAGCTGATGGAATTTGTGGACTCTGTCCCTCACCAAAACAGGGTCCTCCCTGGTCTGGAAGGCTAGTGTGGCACTGGGAGAGCCCAGGTCTGTCTTTTGCATTAAGCTATCAATCTGAGCCACCAGCTCAGCCTGGGCTCTCTGCATCTCGCTGGGGTTGTACTTATGAATGTGAGCTATGTCTTTACTCTGGCCTAGCAGCTTGGACATGAGAGAATAGAGGTCACCTGTACAGACAGACAGAAGGACAGGAAAGAGAGGAAACAGAGGACAAGGAGGTTGTAGGCTGGAGGTAAAGTCCTGACTACACAGGGAAAATGCAGTAGTGTAGTTAAGAGGACTGACGGAGAAAATCATGACAGAGCATGAGAGAGGGGCCATGAAGAGCTGGCTCCAAAGAGGGACAGTTGTTAGCTCATAGCGTCGACTCACAGGCTAGAAAACTCTCGATTCCTGCATGAGCTGAGACAGCAAACACAATGAGGATGTAGGTAAAGGGCTGGACAGAGCTTAGCAGAGTAGGGAGAGGGAGGGGTGGGAGGAGCAGAGACGCCGGCCTGGAGCACAGATCAGTGTCTGAGAGGATGATAGACTGGAGTCAGCAGACGCACGATCAAGAGTTGTTGATTTGAAGGTAAATCTCAAAGATCTGATATATGCATCAGCTCCGCTAAAGTTTGTGCAATAGCACCTCGACACTCCACAACGCTAAACCAACCGACCAATCACGACACACTAAGATTCTTCTGGTTTGGTCGACTGTTAGGGAGCAGCCCTACACATGAGACTTCGTTTCTATAATGTCTCGACCTCCTGTGCATGCATGCGACCATTTTTGCTCATTAAAGTTTTTGCAAATTCATTAAAAATCAAAAACTGAAATCTCTCATTAACAAAAGTCTTCAGACCTTTAATCCAGTTCTTTGTAGGACCCCCTCTTCAAACTCTGAACCTGGATCTGGTCCATCTTCCTGACGGATTCTCTCAGACTCAGACTGGACAGGAAGTGTGAACCGTCCTCTTCAGGTCTCTCCACAGGTTGTCTATGGTCTGGGTTTTGGCTGGGACACTCAGGGACAGTCACTGTGGAGCTGAAAGGTGGACCATCACCCCTGTCCTGGGTTCCCAGTCTCTGGATCAGGCTTTCTTCAAGGACCCCTCTGTATTTGGCTGCATTCATCCATCTCTCAGTTCTGACCAGTCTCCCTGTCCGTGCTGCTTAGAAGACCCCCCACATCATGATGCTGGCCCCCCCATGCTTCACTGTAGGGGTGGTGTTACCCAAGTGATGAGCAGTACCTGGTGTTCAGCAGACATCCTGTTTGGAGTTCAGAGAGTCTTGTTCCTCCTGCTCTCAGAGTCTTTAAATCCTGTCAGTCAGACTCTGTCTTCTGTCTCGTCTCTCCCAGAGGACTTCTGAAGCTCTATTAGAGAGGCCACTGGGTTCTTGGTCACTGACCAAGACCCTTCTTGCCCAGTCACTCCTTCACTTGGCAGTCACTCATTCTTCACCTGAAAGGAGTAATCTACTATATTCTCTAAATACAAAAGTCTCTAATTGCCAAATCTCATTCTAAGGCCGTGTTCAGACCGACAAGCCCACCATTAATTTAAGTGGAGCCAGTCTGGACTCTGCAAAAATGTTGAACCAGGACCAACTTTTGCTGCAATGCGGCATCGTCCAGCAAGACAGCAGTGACCAATCATTTGAGAGTCAGCGCACACTCCATAAACTGCTGTATAAACTGCTGTTCAGAGTCCTGGTGTCAGATGAGCCTTTCCATTCACAGATCTGTTTCTCATACCGAACTTCCTGGACTGTATTTCTTCATCTCACTGAAACAACACAATTCATTCCCACCCTGCGCACTGTTCAAAAGACTGTCAGTTACTCTCCGTTCACCTTTACTAAAGGTGTCAGTTGACCAGGTTTGTCTCCCCCACTACCTGATACACCGACACCACCAGCTGTTGAACAGTTAAATCTGAGTCCAGTACTGATCTATAAATGAGCAAAAGCTCAGTCATCAGTGTTCAGCCAAAGGAGCTCTAATCAAGTCCAACTCTTTCAGTTAATGATGAACTCACAAGTCAAAAGACAAAGCAGATTCAGATCAGGGAGACCAGTTTCACAAAGATATTTCAGACTGGTCTGTAGTGTTGGTCCAGTCTTCATTTTGCTCATAAATTAGTCTAATGTAAGTCAGACCATTTCACAAAAATAAAGCCAGAAACATAAGACACCTTACCCCCAGGCTAACTCAGGCCTGAGACCAATGTTACCATGGGAGCAATCAGTGACACCTGCACTGAGCAGTAGCACCCAACAACAAAAAGTATAAATATGGCTCATAATTTGTGGTGTCTGGTTTTATTGTTTCACTCTGAATTCTCCCAGAAGACAAACATTTTCTTTGTGAATAGAGCTCAGTGGTTGGATGTGGTTCCTAGGTCGGCCATTTTTTTATTTTGAAAAGTGTCAATTTACCCAGAACTCTGGGTAACTAAAGCAGTTCAGTTGTCATGATAGTCAAGAACTAAACTGCTCTGTGCAACAGATGAATTTAGACGTTTATCTGAAGTCTGGCTGTTTGTTCTATCTAAGACACAGTCAAAGTCTGTCTCTGTGAAACCGGCCCCAGGTTACGCTTCAGACAAGTGAACGACCTGTAGGGACGTAATGACAATATTTACCAGAGTCAAACAAATAATCAAAAAGAGAAAAAAAACACACTATGCACACACTCTACACACTGTATCATGCGGACAGTGTGCAACAACAATGGAGACAGATCACACACAGCCTGCAGGGACAGACCAGTGTCAGCTGAAAAACTACTGCATAGTCTAATTAAAGTGATCTCATCAAAGTGTAAGTGGTGTAGATGGTACCATTAGTTAATCTCAATATTTAATATTTCATAATGAGAATTTGAGTCAACCAAATACACATCCAGAGCTTCATCTTCTGCAGGTCCCGGAGCAAAGCTGTTATAAGGAGGGACATGATCACTGAGCTCAGAAATGTAGTGATCTTCATTACTAAATATTCACTTTGGCTGTGGCTCAACTGTTACTGTAAACCAAAATATAACTCATAAAATAAATCTATAATAATCTTTAGAATATACCGAGCATTCAGAAAGTCTTCAGACCCCTTCATCTGGTCTTACACTAAAATCCTTTAAATTCATTTTCCCCTCATCAATCTACAGGCAATACTTCATAATGTTGAAGAGTAAACTGAATTTTATATATTTTTTAAAGATTTAGCCTCGCTAGGAAAATTTATTCCAGGAGCAGGAAATGAGGCTCTAACCAACTATCAAACCTGACATCCAGAAGGACCAATCCTGGCTGCGGAACAGTGACCAACTCAAAATCTTGTAAGGTTACTACAGTAACGGCCATGTCCAACAGTTAGTCTCGAGGGGGCACAGCAGGAGTATGGGGTACCAGGACCTACAAGCTTACAAGGTCCTCATATAACCTAAGTGAGAGTTGTGTTCATATTCCCGACAGGAAGTCAAACACGTTTCCAGTTGGTGTTGGCGTCCAACAGGGTTGTCCCTCGTCACAGATCCTGTTTGGATCTGAAGGCACAGCCGAGAGGACAAGAGTCCAGTTTGAGGATCACAGAATTGCTGCTCTTTGCAGATGATGTGGTTCTGTTGGCTTCATCAAACTGTGACCTCCAGCATGCACTCGGGTGGAGCAGAGTGTGAAGCTGCTGGGATGAGAGTCAGCACCTCTGAGTCTGAGGATCTCTCCCTCCAGCTTTGTTTTTCTAGTAATCAGGTTTTGGTTAAATTCATGCCTTTACTTAATGTTAATTTATCTCTGCCACTACAACCTTACTTCTGTCTCTTGTAAATCCTGCCTGTGCCACATTTGTGTCTGGTTTTAAAAGGTAGGGAAAATGGACAGTCGAAATAACACGACCTCAGTAAATGCAGTGGAATCATCCTCTTTTAACATGTCTCCTGTTGTCTGTGTGATCCTGCCTTACATGCAATGAGGAGTGAGATACACACTGAACACACAAATGAGACACAAGCTGATACTCCAGCCTGCTGCGAATGTTTGATACATACGGGACACGTGTCACATCTACGCCTCCAGCTAACCTCAGTAAATCTGGACAGGAGTCTGGACATGACAGTCACTGAGTTACTGGTGAATGTAACAATGAGATGGGAATGGGCTTTTGTAGTGAAGTGAGGGTGAATACTTGTGCAGCTTATTGTCCTTGAACTCACCCTGATCCAGAACCTGGTCTGCTTTGCTTGCATCCAGCGGTGATCTGTTACCTTGATCTGTGGGAGAGAGGTGTGTTTCAATCTCACATTAGAATAAGAAAAAGTCAAACATGCTACACTGAATACTGTAACTCTTAATACTGGGTTAGATGTGATGTGATGTGATGCCTTTGTACCTGTCGAGTGTCCCATGTGCATCATGGAGTTCATGTGACCTGGACTGACAGCGATGGGGACACTGGCCTCTGCTGGAATATGTTCAAACAGCTCTTTGGAGCCCGTCTCCATACAGTTCATGAAGGGGATCGCATGTTTGCTGTCCATGTAGTACATTATGTAGAAGTTGCACATTTCATCATCAGAGGTGCCGCTGCAGACAAAACAGAAGAGGACATGGAAATAAATATATCACTCGTCTAGAAACACGGCCTTGTGGTTGTATTCCTTCACCAACCAGTCCAGTTACAGAATTCTACACTTTTGTCCACCGAAATCTAATCAGTTCATTTCTGAGTCCGAATGAATGTTTGTGCCAAATGTGAAGAAATTCTGAGATATCAGGAGAGCGTGACAGACGACCTGAAAACATTGTCTCTGACCACAGAGGTGTAAACAGACAGATCATCTTTATGGAATCTATGGAGATAATTTCCCCCCAAAACAAACAAACAAACAAACAAACAAAGCATGTTTTACAAATGTCCTCTGATTCACTAACAGTGTGGTTTGCAAATGCAAAAACCACATTAACTAACTAATGCATTTTCTTTTGCAAATGCAAAATGTACCTCATGTTCCACAAAATATTTCTAATATGTCAGGCTTCAGAAACAAATACAGCAAGAACAAAAAAAACATGTCCCACAAAGACAAAAAAATATCACCTGACTTTGGCACAATCTTCCCACCATGACTGTGCTGAGGATTTATGTCCTGAGAATTTCACCCTCAACAACAGCAGGTGGCACTTAAGAGTCAAAGAGAGCAGACTGAACATTTTAAAGCTTGATGTTGGACATACAGTCACTCCACATCCAGCCAGGTCTTCTCATGAATTCTCACCATGTGTCTGCAGCAGGAGGAGGCAAGCTCAGCTCTAGCCATCCTGCTGAACTACTAGAGGTTGACTTCAGGGACTAATGCTATTTATATTGTACCATTGTACCACTGTAGAATACAATGGGGTGTGCCCTCACCGGGCCATGTTTTCCCTCCCTTCCAGACTGCAAGTGTGAAGAAACACAAGGTGTGGAAGAGGAGAAAAGACCGTGACTGGAGTAAAGCCTCAGTGTCTGTCTAAGGCCAGGAACACACTGGATGTATTGCGTGTGTATGGTTGCTGCGTAATGTCTTGGTTATCATTTCGGCCCACATGTTAACGTGTCAGAGCGGACACACCTTAATTCATTCATTTTCTATATTAAAAAATGCATATGGCAGAAAATACTAAAGAAAAACGTCTTTTTCCTCAATGAAATCTTTTTTCCAAGTAGAAATTATAGTCCAACAACAATCCTCTTTGACAAGGCAGTTAAAGTTTAATTGTTTAACTATTAAACAGAACAAAAAAGATATGTGGCGCTCCTAATGACAGCGGAGCCCGAAGTTCTGAGCCAAACCTCCTCACAAATTACAAGCCAAGGCTACGGCGCTTATACACGGCTTTGCAATGTTTACAATAAGCTTTGTTATTTTTCAGCTCGAAATGCTCCCACACCAAACTTCGCCTTGCTCTCTTCATGTTTACCTGCGATGCCTACGGCAGCCAGCTGAGTATTTACTTTTCTCTGTTGAAAATTTAAATTGCGCCCCGGCTGGTTGCTGCCACGTAGTGAAATTCATTGCGTTGCTTTAAGACACATTACACAACACAACCTCGTTGATACGCGCGTTAGATCAATCAGATTCCACGTGATCAACAAACCACAGTGATTTTAGTGACGTTTTCTGTCAAAAATAAATCAGAAATTAATTATAGTGACAAGAAATCCAACATTCCAGTAACCAGCAAACTCTATGCAGAGAGATAGAGCTGCAGCAGCGTCAACACAGTAGAGACGCAGCCGGTGTGAACGCACACGTGTGCTTCTCCGCAGCAGGTCGGCAACGTCAGCCGTTACGCACACGCAACGCAGGCAGAGTGTTCCAGGCGTTACCTGTGATTAATTTATATTTATATTTACATTTATATTTCAATACAAACACAGACCACAGAGAGCAACAAGAGCTCATCTGTTATTCAAGTGGACTGAGCAGAACCTTGAATTGAGTTACAGGTCATCTACAGTGTGCTGCAGTCATGCATTAGGTGCCTCAGGTTCAACAACAGAACTCACCCAATGTAGGTTTTGGAGGTTCTGCCCTCACCAGAAAACACACATCTGGCAGCGATGGTGTCACCGTACTTCACACTCACTTCCTTGTTGGCAGGATAGAAAGCCTGGAGAGAAACACAGTCACTGCTGAGCAAACAGCAAACAGCACAAACACTGTTGTGATCAATATGTTCCTGGTTGGATTCAGATGTGTTACTGGATTTCAACAAATAAAAACTGGGAGTGAATTAAAGCTGGGTCTCTTGTAACGGCTGGGGGTGTGGTCAACATGAACAAATAAATGTTCATTTCTACCACTTTAATTTAATGAATTCATTTTCAACACATTGTTGTTCTGGATTATTTATCTGAAGTACTTGGCATGTCTTTCTTAAATCCTGTTGTTGCATATGGTATGCCTGCAAATGTTTCACAATAAAAGCCATGTTAAAAAATAAGGTGTTTCTGTCCACCGAAATGCTAGAGGGATTTTAATTTGAAATGCTTGCAGGAAGTGTTGAGTTTGTATTAACAGTGTAATGCTGTAACTATAACAGGGCAAACAGGAGCAGAATAAAATATATATAAGGTGTTTGATGATAGAATTCAAAACAGTATGAGTTGGAGGAAGTATTGATCATCACAAATAAAATCAGACTTTGATTTTGAAATTACTTTCCTTATACATCTGTTGTTTTAGCCTACTTCCTGCCTTTGTGTTCTTCCTGCCAGTTCCCTGTGTCCCCTGTGTCTCATTGGATAATTAGCCTCTGTGTATGTGTAGCCCCTTTCAGTTTCCAGAACTTTCTGTAAGTTTCCTGTGAGCTTCTTGTCTTTGTTCCCTGGACTGCCTCACCTTCTCAGTTGGAGCCTTTTTGGCATCACACAGAAAACATCACTAAAATCACTCAGAACATACGAGCTGCACCTTGAACCTTTAACCAATCAGCTACCAGGACACTGATAGACGTCAGTATTTAATTACCTTCTGATGTGATGACGTACCTGTGGTAGCTGAGGTGACTGTCGTCCAATCAGGCTCCACTTCCCATCTCGGATCCTGTAGCCACTGACCACTTTCCCTGTAACACAAACACACATCCAGACTACCGCTGATACCGATACAAGTCTCTCTGAAACGGACTGAGTTCTGTGGTTTGACTCACCAAGGTGGTGTGTGTGGGTCCTGAAGGCGAAGGGGTAGATGGGATGTGAAGTGTAATCACAGGCGACGTCTGCATTGGTAACTAACAGAGACAAATAAGAGGATGTTAAGGCCCATTCTGTGACCTCTGTACAGCCTCTTTCAGCCCCTCCAGTCCTTTATCTGCTCCAACAGTAACATGTGAATGTGGACGTTCAGGTGTAAAGTGAACTGTAAACTAGATGTGGATCTGTTCTTTAATCTCCTGCAGTTAGACCTGAGTAACGTACCAGTACAACACTGTGTTCACCTGCTTTGACCCAACAACTTCCTCCGCAAAGGAAAATATTGCATCAGTGTTTAATGTTGACTCAACACGATGGACAAGAGCCTTTAGTAAAGCGCAGCACAACAGATCATTTAACAGTGTTGACAGAGGGATATATCACAGTGACATAACATATTGATGCTTGTCAACATGTGGGTTTTCACACACAACAGCACGCACAGCTGTTTCATATGTTGACACTGTAGATCAAACAGTTGCTTTTAGGGCTGGGTTCAGAGAGCTGGATCCATTTTGGTTCCACAGAAGAAGAATAATCAAGTGTACATTATCAGGTATAATCACTTCTATTTTATCTGTCTTTTGTGTGTGTGTGTGTGTGTGTGTGTGTGTGTGTGTGTGTGTGTGTGTGTGTGTGTGTGTGTTTCTATAACAGAAAAGTTATATCTCTGAACCTGACAGATTTAAATGTAGGAAACATACAGTCAACATACCTCTTTTCCCTGGAAGGATGACTGTGTCCACAGACATGAGCAGGTATATACCAGCTATGAACGGCTGCCTTTCAGGAGGGAACACAGAGCCACAGTTAGAGGACCGGAGGCTCTAAGGACTCTGACTTTTCCTTCTCATCTATATTTACATTCTTCCTGGTGCTGAAGAACAAGCTCAACACACTGTGCTGCTCTTAACTCACACACAACAAACAAACTTTCACAGCTCCCTCCACTAAGATTCTCTATTTCAGTATTGATCAAAACACTTGATACTTACGGCTTGGACGTCATTCTTAAGGAGAGTCCTGAGCAGTCTCTGTGATGGTCTGCAGAGCAAAATAATAACTTATGAGCATCATAATCACTAAATATGTCATTTACATAAAGTGCATAAATAAAAAGTGGATGATAAGCTAGAAACAGATGATGATGATGCAGTCAAACAAAGAGATCTTTAGGATGAATCACCATCTCTAATGTCAGTGAACAGTCTGAGGTCTTATCGCTGTATTACAGTGCGCAGGTGTTTCTAATAAACTGGTGAAAACAACAAACAAGACGAGGGGCTAGATGCGTAAAATGGATATGTCATTTCCCACACATAAATTGGTATTTATAAACACAGAATGTGTCACGTCACACATTCCTTTGACCGTGTGTACACACGATCTTCCAAAGCGCTCCAAGTTACAGTGAAGTGACAATACAAAATAAGACAAGACACGTAATTCAACATAAAATAAAATAACCAACTTCAGAGAGCTTCATTCATTATCATCATTATAAGTTTTGCTGTTTAAATGATAATAAAGGAAACATTGAGCACAAACATTATTTCTGTATTATGAATTGTTAAATTGTTATTGCTGAGTATGTCCTCATTATTTCTTCATCATTCGTCATTTCGTCATTCTGTAACCTGTTTCGTACTATTTTAATATTTACTAATCACAGAGTTACAGCCTCTGGAGCCTCATTAAGACTCTCTAGTCCCAATAAATGAAGTTCAGAATAAAACAATTTACATTTGGACTGATTGTACTCTAGTAAACTCATGCATGTTTTTGCCTCAGTTTCACAATCAGTGAAATTGTGCTTCTTCCTCATCTAAGGGAGTGTCTGTATGCATTTATGATTAATAGTGGAAGTGGAAATGTGGCTCGTGCACACGCGCCCAATTTCTCAATCCCACGCTGGGGCTGATGGGAATGGTTTTGCAGGTACTTGTAGTACCATAGAAAATGTGACCTGATGGTGGCACTAAATGAAAACTGAGCTGTCACCAGTGTCACCAGGTTCTGCTCTAATGTTCACACCAATCCATCCAGTGACTGTATATTGTATATTTTAGTCTGGACCAACAGCTGATAATCAAATTCTCAAACTCAAAAACTGCAAATGAAGAATCATCATTTGACCAAACAAAAGCTAAGACATTAACAATGAACTAAACTACGTATATCACAGTATTAGAAATATTACATGACAGCTACAGCTGAGGGGAAAAATTACTACACAAGTTCCTTTTTGCTGAGTTCATGTTTATTGAGGAGTGACACCTCTTACTTCTACACTCTTGAATCTTTCCAGACTTTTACTGAATTTGATTCAAGAATCATCTCTACGAAACTTAAATGTCAATAGTTAAATTTCCATTAGGACTCACCTCTGAAAGCACTGACATCTCCATAATGGATCTGCAGCACAAAGTAACTTATTCCTGAATTTCTTCCGACTTTAAAACCAACATCTGAGGAGACAGAGAAAGAGAGACATGAAACCACAGAGAGATAAAACCAACAAAAGACAATAAGATGTATTATTGTACTTTCTTATAACAAAAGTTCTTTGCCTTTGTCTATTTTCAATGAACTAACCACTACTAAAGAAAATAGTTGCTATGAAAACAGAGAGGTCTGTGGATCATACAGAGTAACAGGGACACTGAATACTACAACATAAATTGAATTTCCCTCCATTGTTTTGGTGAGGAGACACACGTCTCTCCACATGGTTGGATACAACCAGAGTCCAGTGTAGAAACAAAAAGACTTTTAGTTCTTGTGAAACCCTTTGAAAGACAAACCTTTGGGGAGTTTAGTGGGGGGTGCGTTGCGAGCCCAGGCGTACATAATGGAGGCTTCATCCTCACAAGTGCCTGGTACACTGCCACAGTCCCTGGAGAGATAAGTGAGACATCAATAATCAATACACTTTGTGCTTATGGATGAACACAGAGGCAGCCACAGAGCAACACAAACACCGACTCCCCACTACAGTAATGTGCTGCAGTGTTTGGATGTGAGGGACATACTGGTCCTGGAGCAGTTCCTCTGACACACTCAGGTGGTAAACAACAGAGGGTCATGTTACAGTAGATGTTACTATCATACAGACACTTACATCATCTACAAACTGATCCTTTTTTCTCCCGGAGGAAACAGAACAGGATGTAACCACTGACTCGTTATCACCTTATAAAGTTGTTATGGTGAAAGTGTTTATAAAACGTGTCTATCTCCACCTCCAGCAGCTACAGAGCAACAAGATGATCCATGTGGATCCATGAATCTCTGTGTTTGATGTGTTTGGTCTCCACCAGCTCCTGAGGGAAATATCTGGCTCTTTAGCTGCTAAATGCTCCACTATATTCAGCAGCTGCTCTCTGACTGTGTCTGTCTGCTGTTTGCTGCTCAGCAGGTAGCGGACAGTGGCTTTTTACAGCTGAGACAAACAGCAAAGATGCTACAAAGCTCCACAGAGCTGAGGGGAACTGCAGAGCTGGTGTTAACTCTCTGTGGGTTTGTCACTTCTGTGAACATCTTTCACATTACATGTGGTTATTGGACCCAGTAAATGTGTCAGAGGCCACACCCAGTGAAGTCATTTTAGCAGCTTTTAAATGTTATGTAATACTTCCTGCTGTTGTTTGCTGCATTACTGATTACAATAAAAAACAATGCAATGTCTGATCACTGCTGAACAACGCAGCTCTTATAGGATGCACTGGGCTTAAAGCCATGATGATGCGTGATGATGGAGCAGTATAACACTGGCCCTGAACTTTCAGGTTCAGGTTCTGGAGCTTTGCAGCTCTTCACACCAACCTAACCCAAGGGGTTCAATCATAACTTGACTTATCAGGTCAAATAAAATACTAAAACTTTCATCCAGTAAATACAATTGTTTTAATATTCATTTGGAAACTGTAAAATGCTATTCAGGACAGGTATAAAGTGTCATTTAACTGGTGCCTTTACTTGTTTTGGGTGATATCCAAAATGTAATATCTCAATACAGTCCAGCCCTAATATTGCAATATACGATATTATCAATATAATACTGTATAATTATATGATTGTATTTTATGTTTCAGGTATAAGTGATGCTGCCACTAAACAGCAGTTCAAAGTTTTATTTTCACATGTGAAGGTCAATGTACAGTAAAGTAGTGAATGAGGGCTGGACTGAGCAGCAGGGCAGACTGTGCAGAAATGCAAAAAAAACAAAAACAAAAAAAAAAACTGACATTACGAAAAATATCACATATGGTGGGAAATATGATGATATTTGATATTATTGAATATTGGCCTGAGCCTAGGCTTTGTTTACCATTTCCACGCTTCCTGCTACAGCAGAGAAAACAGCTACAGAGACCTTACCAATGAAACCGTTCAGACACTGTAAACACTGTGAGCTGAGGCTGGATCTTACCAGTAGCTGCTGGTGGAGACAGGAGTCTGGCAGCCAAACAGTAGCATGTGATGGACTGTGTCCATACTGGCATGAGGTATGAAGTCCACTGAGGAGGAAAAGAAAAATTTAATAAAGAACTGAGCTCTGTTACTTTACACACTTTAGGTCTGAAGACTTCACTCGAACCATTTCTGTCATCTTGATTCACACACACACTGTGTTACATCATGTGCCCACAGATCAGACAACGTTCAGGAATAAACACATGTTGCAGCCCCTCAGTGTAGAGGTGTAAGAAAATATTGATACAGGATATCATGTTTACTGATGCTGTATCGATTCTCAAAAACACTGTATTGATTTTAAGTCAATAGTTTACATGCAAAAGTTAACGCCAGACTGATTCATTCTGTGATGGTAGTGTTATCATCTATCTTCAGCTATTTCACTCTTACACTCCATTGTAACGGCATAAACTGAGACAGGAATTAACATAAGTGTGCACAGCCAGCGTTAGCATTAGCAAACCTATTCAACCGGTAACATTACCACTGATGGCTTAATCTGAAAGAGTTAGAGCAGCTCCCGGTGTACAGAGTCTGGACTCATTCTGGCTTCACAGTAAAGAAGACAGACGGACAGAACAGCGAACGACCAACGCTAAACGAGAGGATCCCTCTCAAAAGATTCACTTCATGTTACCTGCTCTGTTACCAAACCAGACTGACTCCACTAGGGCCAGGGCAGCACCACATAAACCCATAGCCCCTCCCACCAGGCTTAATATTTACAAAAAAAACAAAACAGATATATCTATAAAGCACATTTTCTGGCTAGACAAAGCACTCATAGTTTATGAAATAAAAAATGTACTTTAACCAGATAAGTTCATAAACATTTCTACATCAGCAAAACAAGTTATTTGCTGCAGAAAATTCCAAACAGGAAACATAATATATGCCGCTCACAGGACCCCTAAGCGCACGATGACCAACTGTTTAACAAAGGAAAATTTCACGCCCCTATTTTGCCAAACTCATGGATGTGAGACAGCAAGGCGAGGCAAGGATGCCACGCGCCCTAACAAAGAGTAAGCAACATAGTGTTAAGTATATACGTGTGTATGTGAATGTATGCGTAAATATTAATAGAACAACCAAGTGTTCACCCTTGATCACACTATTAAACAGTGAGAGGAAGAGGAATAATAGCAAAGTGTGCCGACTGCTTGACCAGAATCAAAAGGAGGGAGGGAGAGATGTGTGTGGCGTTTATGTGCGTTTATATGTGTGTGTGTGTGTGTGTGTCCTGCAGCCAGTGACGAAGCTGCTCCGTCATGATGAACACAACAGAGGGATTATGAAGTAAGAGAAACAAGCCTCTTCTATGACTTCCATCACCACTCTACTACTGCTACCTGTGCAGTGTCTGCTTCAGCTGTTGGTGCTACTGTGACGTTTACTACAGCTCTAACTCTGACATCTCGTCCAGCTGCTAACCGCTGGATTTACCCAGACTATGACCATCTAGTCAATGCAGGTGCAGATGATTTTTGCTAGTGAAATAGGTCTATAGACAGATAACAGATGAAAATACTTTGAGGATATACTCACCTATATATGCATCTCGACTCGTTGGCACAGGAAATGCCATGCACAGGTAAGTGTCCGACTGAAACATCAAAGACACGCATGATGATATTCATTCATGGATGAAGAGAACAGTCAGAGAACAGTTATGAAATGTTCAGCAATATAAGTGTGTTCATTTTCAGACTGAAAGTTGTGTCAGTTTCTGTGTGTCATGATGACTGCTGAGTGACAGTCAGCGCTCTGATAGAGATAGATCCTGCAAAGTCCATAAGTTCGACCTCACAACAGAAACTTATTTTTCTCCATGAACTACAGCTGAGGACATAGAAATATTCTGTTTCCTTCAGCCCAAGTGGAAGTGAACAGCCATAAAACAGATCCTGGGCTCTACATAAAGTAGTAGAAATGTGAGATAAAAAACTTTTTTTTTCCTTCATTGTTTTGGCTCCCAGCTCTGACTGGATAATAGTGTGAATGTGTTCAGTTGTGACACAAAACTCAAACCCATAAAACTCAGGAACAGAACTCCCTTTTCCTGCACAAAAACTCAAAGACACACTTCATTCAAAGTGTTGAGATGTGTTTTAAGAGGAAATGAGTGTGCTGAGGCTGGAAGCATTTTAATACCATCTGGTTTCTAATTCCACAAGAGATTATGATAATTATGGCTGCAATTAACGATTCATTTAATTCATTGTCAAATTGTTTGCTACATGTTTCTTTGGTAATTAATTGTTTGATCTCTAAAAAAGTGAATAAAAGTCTTCAGATGTTTTCTTTTGTCTGTTCTACAGGAGAAGCAGCAAATATTGGCATATGTGAAGTCTGACATTTTCTGCTCAAAAATGACAAAGATTAAGCAACTATTGACACATCTGCTGATTAACTTCCTGTAGATTAATGTTTTAAGTTTCGCAATGAGTTAACATTTCAGAGAGACGGACTCACCCCGGCCGGGATGACACCAGGCATCCGAATGTCCACAGAGAAATTGTGAGGGTTTGTAAAGACCTGCTGCTCGGTCCTGGACGCACAGCTGCTGGGATCCAACAACACGTTCTCCTGAGACCTAAGAGAGGAACAGGAGGGAGGTGTTTACTGACAGCTTTATGACGGGACACTCAGTTATTAACAGCAGACAAAGCAGAGTCATACTGCCTCGTACACAACTGTCTGTGCACTCAAAAGAACACACAGTCAGAAAAATTATGTTTTCATGTAATGCTATTTTTTTTTCAGTTTATGTAACCGAGGACTTCTTCACTCAGTCAGACAGTCCAACACACTGACAGCACATCCAGCTGCTGCCTTAAATGAGAAGATGGTGTTTTTTCTAGATTATTGATGAACAAAACAAAACAACAATGGATTCATCCCACTCACAAGTGACTGTGTGTGTGTCCAGAACCTGATAAATCTCATTCTTCTGAGTCCAACCAGCCGAGTGACATGTTCCTTCGTATGGGTGTGCTAATTCTAAACAGATCCACAGACTAACAACAGTGATCACTCTCAGTCTCTGACAGTAGTCCCTGTAAGGCAGGGGTCACTGCACATGCTCAGACACACTGTGCTTCCCTGGTTTGTTGTGCATCACAACCTCTGGATGTGATGGAGTTTTCAGAGGAGGAGACACAGGGAGAGACTGAGGGCAGCAGTGGACACTATAATGTTACTGCAGCCACTGACAGCAGCACTGAGGAGCCAGACAGAACTTCAGGTGCAGCTGCTCAGCAACACCAGCAGAGGCAGAATGTAGATGCTGCAATGAACTGTCTGATCTGGAGCCAATACTGCAGGAGCTGCAGGAGACCAGGATAAACACCTGGGGCCAGTTGCACAGCACCTGAAGTTTTCTACTTAAGTATGCCACTTCAACAAGGTGGAATTTCTCCTTAGCCGAGGGAGTTACTTAAGTTTGTTGACAGAATAACTTAAAAGGTTTCCTTTGCTAAGGAAAAACGTTAAGGCACTTGCAGCAATAAAAGAGATTTTACAGCGGTGAAATTCAACGGTTTCCATGGAGACTGTATTGTTTTGGCCTTTTCATGGGATTTGTTGACAATAACCAAAATATAGAAAACTGTAGCCTTATACTTTCAGCTGTGTTCAGATCGTCATTAGCACAGAACTGTCAGTGATTCCTATGAGCCCACATGTCGATACAGAGCGGCTCTGGACCAGAGAGCACCAGAGAGGTGCAGGGTTATCTGGTAAGAAACTGAACGTCTCATCTTCAGCTGTAGACCAATGAAACATCATGTGACAACAAACTGACCTGGACAGTCAGTTCAAATGTGGCCTTACAAAATCAGGTACAAGTTACACAAAGACTGTCAGTGTAAACTGAGACGCAGCAAAAATGTCCCCGTGTTTTAATGTAAGTAAACCTGGGGCCCAGTGTATAAACCATGCAAACACCATTTACCACATATTGGTATATGGTATAACTGGTATTTACTGAGGATGCAGACAGGATGTGAGCACACACTGACACACACTTCAGACCAGAGGGATCTGAGAGTGATGAGGTGATGAACAGTTATGAACTTCATTAATGCCATTTGTCTGGTCAGTTTTTTGTCTTTTTATCTCTGTTGGAGTCTTCAATTTATTTCCCTTTCATATGATCCTTTATCATCAAGCAGGTTGTAAAGGCTCTTTTGTAAAGGCTATAAACTTATTGATCCTCTCAGATGTTTGGTGATGATAAGTGAGAGCTCACTGCTGAAGCTGAATGACTGATAATACACACATTATAAATACACACACACGTATAATAATTGCATGTCATGGTGGCTGCTCTGGCCTTGTTGCACAACCTCTGTGGTCCGCCACAGTCAGTGACATTACTCTTCTTTGGCATTTCTGTTCACTCAGGTCTAGAAGCAGCAGACTGAGCAGCAGGATGAAAACAGACCGGTCTAAGGCTGACCGTGGAGGGGAGATGAGGTCCTGCAGCTGAGCCTGGTTGCACAGTGACTGAGATTTATAAAAACTGGGGGGCTGCCCATGTACTGCTTTATACATCTAATGAAAACAATGTTAATGCGCATTTCTTTTCATGTTTTATTTCAATACTTTTGACAATTAATTATTTCAGATTTAGATTTTTTATAAATTTACTGAGTGCAGATTTATGGGCAAAAATGGCTATTTAAATCTACAATAAAGTGAAGGGATGTGAATACCTTCTGAAAGTATTGTATATTCTGTATATTCTGAGTTCTGAGTCAATTACATGACTGTTGAGGATATTCTCACTTACAGCATGTCAGTACGTAACTACACAGGGAGGTTTTGACTCTCGTGCATCTTACAGAACAGATTCTCTGTTATTTCAATTTCTCCATGGATATGTGTTTTACTCAGTGTCCGTAAATGCAACACAAAGAGTGTTTACGCTTCAAGTCCATTTTCCTGCGTTTTACACATATAACTACTGTGACTGTACCGTGCTTTGAGCATAGGTAACGTACAATTCAACACTGCACCTGAACACATCCTGTGAAATAAGGCTGTGCTGATAGATGCTGATCAGAGTGATCGCTGATAACCAATAACTTTGCCAATGTCAAAATGATATTTGGCTCATTTTCTCATTAATGTATTAAATTAATATTATTAGTGGTAGCAGTTCTATTAAACTAATATTAAAATGAACTGTCGCACCATGGTTTCAAATTGGCATCCCCCACATATTACTGGCACTTGCTACACCGAAACACACACACACACACACACACACACACACACACACACACACACACACACACACACACACACACACACACACCCTGACAGACTGACTGTCATTGACACATTTGTTTGGTGTATGTGCTGCGCCATGATTAAACAGAATGGAGGAGATCGACAGACAGAACACCTCACTTAGTTCAGTTTCTCAGCTGCTGCTTTTTATGGGTGTAACTTCAACTTTCAGCTCTAACAGGGAAGTGAAGGGACAGTCAACAAGAGGGGGAGAGAGAGGGAGAAAGAGAGAGAGAGAGAGAGAGAGAGAGAGAGACTATAAGCCATAAATAGAGGTGTCTCTGCGCCTCCCCTGCTGATTTTGTGCGATTATTGTGAATGCTATGGTTATTACATGTAAATAAATAGGCTAATGATTTGTGATGACAGTTTAGTTTTAATGTAGCATAGCACTTAAACATACTATACACTATAAAATGTCTTTGTTATTCTACTGCAGCTGTGTTCACTATAAACATAATTGTGTCATTAATACGAAAAATCCACTGGTGGGTAAAATGTTGTTTTGAACAAGAGGAATGACTAAGATCAAAGATTTAATAATAATTTGATTTCTCACCAGATTAACAGCTAAAACTTTTACAAATCTACCATTTACATTTCTAATCAAATTTATCAGGAACAGAAAAAGCTTTAGTTCTTACCTTTTGGACCTGTACAGAGGGTTTTGTATTTCCAGGCTGTGGCTGTGACTGATGAATGCTACGATCACGACACAGAGCGTGGGGACTCCCATCATGCCTGTGATGGCACGGCGTGTTCTGCAGCTGCTGCTGATGTCTGGGATGGAGAGGTGAAACAGTGGCAGTGAGCACTACCCTGTAACCCAGGAAAAGACCAGGTAGATATACTGCACTGAGTGTCAGAGTGTCCTGTCACACCTGGTGTCCTTGCTTGGCTTGGTTGAGGAGAAGGTGAAGGTGGTATCCCTGCTGGACCTCACTCCTTCACCATGTTCAAAAGTCTGTCTGAAGCAGCCACCTGAAAAAAGCATGTGTGTTAAAGGACTGGTGATGTGACAAACCCAAACACAGCAGACTCTGTCAGCGCATCTCATTTATTTACATGTTGTTAATAGCGTTGGTCCATTTAATATAAACCATAGATACAATGTACTGTATATTCCTCCTGGTTCTTGAGGTGCACACTAAGCAAGGGTACAGAGTTTGATGCTGCCTCAAACTGCACACTTGCTTGATTTTAAAACCATCCTCTCTGACCTGGAGGACAGCTTACAATACTACAGGATAATATACTCATCAATCATCAGCACTATTTCCTTCTATTCCCAATTAATTCCACTGTTACCTTCACAAACAGCATCGATAATCAACTTAATGGGGGTTTTACTGCACTGACATAGTGGTTCAACCTGTTTCCAAGTCCTCAGTAACCACGCACTATTATAATACAGATAAACTCCCTGTGTCTGTGTGTACATTTCTTTGTCTCATAAACCTGTTTCCTCAATAAATTAAACTGGTCAGATAGAAATGGATCAAAATAAACCTCAGACAGAAATGTAAATGACTCTAGTATTAATGGTTCCCTGCCTACTGTCATTAGTAAACATAGTCAAATCCTCTGTCAATATTCTGATGTTTCTGAGAAATAAAATGAACAACCACAGGGGAACTTCTGCTTTGTCTAATCCAGAAAAATGTAATAGCTAATAACTCAATGCACTTCATCACATAGAAAAATCTCAATATTGATATATGAGATATAAATCAGCCATGCTCATTGTTGTGTAATGGTCTAACACACCCAGAGGTACTAACCTAACAGCAACCACGGTATAAACAGTTTACTACCCGCCATGCAGCTCCAGCCTTTCTCATGACAAGTGTGAAGCTGCTGAAACTCACATTTACCTTGAAACCCAGAGGATGCTGATAGATGGCAAAGAGAGAATCAGTGAGATGAGGAGCTGGCTCGGTGACTCATCGCTGTTGACTGAGTAAGGTGGAAATAACAGGGAGAGGAGGAGGAGTGTGGAGGGGCAGTGCTGCTCTGACATCACAACCCTCTGAGCAGATACATGAAACTATGGAAACAGGGCTCATCCCACTCATGGACCACAGCACGTATTCCACCAGGGTTTAACACTGAACATGTTCACGTTTACACAGCCGCCTCAGACCCCATTTATAACCACCTTACCATCCCAGCATCATCATAACACGGCTGTTACTTTTATTATCCAAGTAAGATAACAGCACAGATGGGATACGAATCTACACAGGCTACGGTGAAAATGAAAGTATACCTAAACACAAAACCTGTTTTATTGTAGCACTTTGAATATGTTCACAATTAACGGCGGTTCTTTGTTTTTCATAACAGACTCTGTTGAGGATAAACATATGTCACGACTGAACTAAACAGGAAGCGACAAAAGAATATAGCCAATTTTAATTGGCGCTTAGCCATTAGCTATTAGCTAACATATAAACACGCCAGACCGCTCAAAACAAGCTAACTGTCAGGGAACCAAAGCAGCCACAGGTAAGCTGTCAGTCAGTTAGCTCCCTAACTGTAATGTTGTTTGTCATGTCAGTATGTTACATGAGCTAACGTTAGCTATCTTGGTTGCGTTGGTGTGTTTTGACAGGTTAAACATGGCATCGAATCTTAGCTGAGATCAGTTTCAGTGAAGATGTCTGAACTGTAGCTCATGATAAACTAAAAAGATAAAGGGGGAAATATTTAAGAGATAACACGGTACCTGTTCGCTGCAGCTGGACGTCTTTCAGTCGCTTGTACTGAGGTGATAATAACCTGTGTCGTTGATACGAACCAGTATCAACCATACTTCCATCTTTTCACAATAAAAGCATCAACTCTACAAACGTGTGCGCACGCACGCGCACACCGACACGAGCACGCACGCACTCACAGTCTGGAACTGGGCTATATGCTCTGACAAATGTGGAATAAGAAATAACAGTGCTTATTCCCATTAAAGATATGAGGCTTTTATTCTGTAAATCTGACCGGAAGTTTTTTCCTACATGGATGCTGGTGGAATTCCAGTCTGTGTGTTGTACTCATGCTAGCAGTGAACCCGTCCGCTGCTTGTCGGGCTGGATTATTACACCATGTGAACCTGCGCTGCGGCAGGTATGTTAGTAACTGTCTGTGTCTGATGTTCAGTTGTTGTTTTCACTGTTTTAGCCTCTCTATACTGACTGAACGTTAGATTACTGTGCTATACTAAGCTCTGCCTGCTCACAACTACCTGCCGCTACAGCGACAGCTCCACGACACTTATATGACTTCTAGAGCAAAGTACTGTTTAAAAAGAATATTAGCCTCTTTGTCGGGTTCGTCACTGCTGATACACAATCTGAAGTCCATAGAGTATGAACGTTTAGAGTGACCACTGATAAGCCATAAGCCCCTATGGCCACCAGAGGGCCTCCAAGAGAGCTGGGCTGGCTAACTACTAGATTACTACTAGTTTAGTTACTACTGGTTTTTCAGTTATATCTCTGAACGTCTTGTGATCGAGATATTCAGGTGTTTTTTAGCAGGAGCCAAATTTTCCACTGAGGTCTCGTCCTCTACAAAAAAAAAAAAACAAACAGACCAAGTGATTAAAACTAGTATAAAAACAAAATAAAGCAGTTTCACATAAAAAAAAAATCTGTTTCTCCAATGCTGTTCATTGAGCACAGGAGGACGTTTACTCTGATAAATTAAGTCTAGACGTCTGATGATTAAAATCCTTCACCTGGTTAAAATGCATAGTTAAAAACGACCAAGATGTAAAAAGTTTATCTTTAAAAAAGTGTGGCTTAATGTGGCTTTGATGCTTCTGGTAGACAACCACAATGCTGATACATGTGCAGAGAGGATATGATGCCATTAATATGCAAGTGAAACGGAATGTTACCTTGATTAAAATCACAGCTTACTTTAGGTTTGAAAATTTGGGTACACAAGTCAAAAAATATATAACATAGATCTAGTCAGTTTTAGACTTTTTAATGTGGAAAAGTTACATATTATACCATTAAAGTATTAGAAAAAGTACTAATTGAAAATCACTGATTTAATGTCATCTTAAAAGTAACTAGTAACCAAACCTGTCAAATTCATGTAATGGAGTAGAAGTTAACAGTAAAATAGCATAAATGGAAATATTCAGATACACTACAAGTACCGTAGAACTGTAAATAAGTACTCGAGTTAATGTAAGTTAATTTCCACCACTGTTTAACATAAAACAAGCCTCACTCATAATCTTATTGCACATTTCCACTGAATATGACTATGTGTTATTAGTGATTGTATGTAACAAACAGAGGAAGTTAAACTTAAAAACATTATACAGTATAATACCTTTATCGGGACATATAGTTGGGGGTCATTCATGTAGCAATGCAAAGCAATTTCATGGCTACACAAGACTTGCCTCCAAGGTAGCGTGTATATAGTAAATAAAAGGGAACCAAAAATAGACCCTTGGGGGACTCCACAAAATATAGGAGCACAAGAGGGGGAGGGATCTCCAAGCATTACAGAGAAGGGCCAGTTTGACAGATAGTTACTCCAGGTACTCAGTTAAAGTCACTCCTCAGTATTCTGGACCTAGTATACTGATGCTCTCACACTTTTGCTTTCCATTTCAGATACAGAGAACCATGGGTCGGAGCAGGAGCAGTAGTGGTGTTCCTACGGTGGTGGTGGGCCTTGCTGCCTTGCTCTTCAGCAATGTTTTAATCTACTTATATCTAGCCTCTCTGTATCAGAGTGATGTGCAGCTGGTGTCCTCTCATATAGGCTGTCGGCCTCAACATTTTAAAATGGCCACCATGAAGAACTGCACCCCCTGGCTCCAGTGTTCACAGATCAATGCAGAAGTACGCAAGCTGAAGCTGATCGGCCAGGGAGCCATTAAGAAGGTAGACGGTCTTTTTCACTTTATGTTGCATTCGTTTTTTATCTGTGATTGAAAAAAAGAAACCTGACACAGGTACAGGAAACCTCAGGCGATGTCTCCTCCCCATCCTGTGTTCATGCTGGATCTACCAGCCCAATCAAATTTACTGCTAAGGACTACAAATAATATTCTGCTAGGAATGAGGGATGGGGGGAAAAACAAACAATTCACATAAAATTCCTAATTTTTAACTTCTGTGATTCTGAATGATTCATAGACATGAAATTGATTTTACTACATCATTAATATGCTGTGTGCAGCACCCTGATGGTATAAACACTACAGTTATTTTGAAGTTCATCTTCAAAGAAGGCAAGAATCTGGGTGCATTTCAGCTTTAATAACTTAATAATTAACGTCACAGTACACATACCTGAAACCAACACGGTCCCAGTCTGCAAGTCTGGATAGTGGACGTCATCTAGATCTTGTATGGAAGACAGAAGTATTGATGCACTGACCTCTTTAGGTGAAAGGTGGACATCTGATATACCTTTGTACTATAGTGCTACACTACATCACTACTGTAACAATGCTTTCCCTGCATGGAAGAAGCAAATTCTTATTTTAATGCTGCAAAATCGACCACCTGTACAAAGTGGTTGATCTTGGGTGTGTGCACTACACGGTGTTTATTATTTTATTGTTACAGATTTGTGTCTTTATTTAAATGTGACAATACCTGTAGAAGATGTTTCAATCTATCTTGTTTCCTTTAAAGTTTTTATCTTCAGAAAGTCCTGTATAAACAGCTGTTCTACAATGAGCTCGTCTGAGTACTGTACACTCACTGCCTGTTTGTATTTTCATGCAGAAACCACTCAATCAAATAAAGGCATAAGTGCTATGAACCAGTGATTTAAGAGAACTTTAATAAAACTTAATGTAAAATGAATATTCAGTGCATCAGTGTGATGTGCATCACGGCTGCCAGTTTACTTTTTTGTTTGTTTTGTGGTCTGTTTACTGTTTACTTCCATAACTTTGACAGTATAAAGTAAAACAAAGTATTCCAGTCACATTGAGGAAAAGAAGGAAAAGCCTCAGCTGCTTCTGGCAGCTGCTGTTTGTCTGTCTAACAATAGAATAAACTCAGTTTATCCACAATCTTTTCAATGTCCTGATGATGATGATGATGATGATGATGATGATGATGATGATGATGATGATGATGTCGATGTCATTATATTATGACTTTATTTTCATAATATTATTACTCTTTTCTTATAAAGTTGTAATTTTATCTTGTAATATGACTTTTTTTTCTTTAAATATTATGATTTTTTTTCTCAAAATTGCAACTTTATTCTGGTAATATTATGACTTCATTCTCTAAATTTCAGATTTTCTTTTTCTTCCTCAACGTGGCCCCACTACTCTGTCGTAATAAAGCCAAGGGTATGCTTTAAACTAACTAGATCTCCCTAGTGCTTAGAACTGGGGAGCAATGATGATGCTAATCTCGTGAATGCACTTTCCTACCGAAGTACAGGGGACATTCATCAGGTTGAAATGAGCCATTTAGAGCAGTTGTGTCCAGTTTAAGATAAGAATACAAACGTGTTGTTGCATGAAGCCCACTGTTGTTGGTCGTGGTCCATATGTTGTGTGCAGCTGTAACTCTAGACTTACTAACCTCAGCATCCACTCTTCTTTGCTCAGGTGTACCTGGCTGAGTGGAGAACTCAGAAGGTGGCTCTGTCCAAACTGTCCTCTCTGGATTACCTGGAGGATTTCCTCCATGGATTGTCCATGGTACAGGCCCTGCAGGGGCCCCACGTGGTGCAGTTGGTGGGGTTTTGCCTTGAAGAGCACACCCTGGTCACAGAGCACCACCCGCACGGCTCACTGCTTAACTTGGATGTTGTCCTTGCACAAGAGCAGCACCAGCAACATAACACGTGGCAGACACGGCTGAGGCTGGCGATGGACTACGTCTCCATCCTCCATTACCTCCATAACAGCCCAGCTGGGCGGCGGGTCATGTGTGATTCCAACAGCCTGGAGAAAACACTCTCCCAGTTCCTGCTGACTAATGACTTTCACCTGGTGGTGAACGATCTGGATGCGCTGCCTGAGGTGGACGCATCCAGAGGCTTGTTGGTGAAGTGTGGCCACCGAGAGCTCACTGGGGACTTTGTGGCCCCGGAGCAGCTGTGGCCATTCAGTGACAGTGGGAAGCCATTTTCAGACGATCTCATGCCTGAGTATGATGAGAAGACAGATATCTGGAAGATCCCAGATGTGACGTGGTTCCTGATGGGGAGGGTACCTGGAGGAGATTTAGCCCACTTCCATCTTTTTCAGATCCATGACCAGTGTAAGAAGGAGGACCCCACGCTCCGCCCCTCAGCTGTGGATGTTTTAAAGGTGTACAAATCAGTCTACAGCAGCATGGTGCGAGACAGTGTTGGCTTTAGAGACATGCTGTAGAATAATGACTCAGTTTTACAGTGAGGTGCAGTGTAATAAATGCTACTTGGTTTGGAACCGGTGGAGGATGTGGGCATTTATTTTTACAGTTTTGTCACTTGAATTAATCTGTTTTATTTTATATCAGGACTCTTTGGAATGTGCTACTTCACACAAGGCCACTGGAAGGGAGGAACAGAGTGTTTAAGTCATCATGCACCCAGGGACAAAATATCATCTGCTGGGCCCCCATATCTTCTCAACTCTTTCTGTGCAATATGTGCAACTTTTCTATGTGACACAAACTGATTTATGAATATCCAAATATCAGCCTAGTACTGAAGGTCTTGGAACTAGATTTTGCCCCTGTGCCAAAATCCAGTTCCAAGACCTTCAGCCTAACTAACCTTCAGTCACACTGACACAGAGTCTTAAAAACCAGGTATTACAGCAGGATCACAGATTCCTGGCTCTGCTTCTTTCACTTCACGCCAAATTCAATCTGACATGGACACAAAATCTCCAATGCCCAGCTAGTCTGAGAGGGGGGTGGGATTGACTTCTTATTCAAGAACATGAAAATATAAGCAGCAGAGAAGGTTGGATACTGCCTGACTGAAGTCAATTCATGAGATTAATGACAGTAACATGTTTGATAAGAAATTATGATTTCCACCTTTGTAGACTACTGTTGTTAGCCCACTAGCTATGTTAGCTTCAGTTTATGTTAACAATGCCACCCACTCTATTTCCTGCCCTGCTTGCTTTTTCTGACACCACATAAGTAAATAAATAAAAATGTATTAAATAAATTCTGCCTGGTGACATCAGGTCTGACTGGTATGATGGAGTATTAGGGTTACATTGAGGGAAAAAGACATCTGTAATTTCGAGGATAGAATCATAATATTACGAAAATTAAAAATGTAAAATTTCCCCTCGAAAACACGGAACCTTTACAATCGTACAACTTTATTGACATTATATTATGACTTTTCTTGTAAAATTAGGACTTTATTCTTGTAATATTATGACTTTTTTCTTGTAAAATCACAACTTTATTCTTGCAATATTGTGATTTTTTTTTCTTGAAATATGATTTTATTCTCAAAAATGACTGTTTTATAGTCGTAATATTAGACTGCACCCTAAGTCAGGCCAAGATGAGCAGGGCTATCATAGTGTCTCTGTCTGGGACTGTATGTGATGTCTTTTAAAAAATGTATGGCACTGGATAACTAATACGATTTCAGACACCCCTAAAGTTGGGGTGTATGTAGATACATAAGAGATGTATTTAAATCATCTCAATAAAATGAAAAGAAAAATTAGTAAAACAAAAGACTGAAAGAATATGCAACAGCTAGTTCCGACCAAGTAATTTGCTTGGACGAGAGGCATTCCATGAGTGCTGATATATAGAGCATAACAGCACTGGGACTTTTACCTATGACTCAGCTTTACAGGTGTTCTATTAACCGTTAATCATCGTAACATTAACGGTCGTTATCTATCTTAGACTGTAACAAACTTTGCAAATATGAATATATTCAGGAAATAACAGTTGAATTTAATGATGAGGCCGTTATGACCGAATCACAGCCGTGCTGATATTCAGTACATCATCGCTCCCTCTCATGTCTTATTGCTTGATTATTGCCTGCGAGGGAAAGACTGTGGCTGCACTTTGTTTGTTTTTGTTGTTTGTTTTTTTTGTAAATGCGCACTTGAAGAGTGAAAACATTTATCAGCAGCACTCACACTCTTCAGTCGTGGCATTTAAATTGCTCTGAATGCATATTCAAATGTGTGTGAACACTTCCCAAGTCACTAAACTGCCAAACACCTGAATGCAGCATTCATCAAGTGAAGAGCCTCAAATGAATGAAAGCTTTCAGCTACAACAGCTGAGTCAATCATGTTAAAGCTGGAGGAGGTAATCTGGGAGATGTTAGTCTGAGTTAGCTAGATGTGAAAGTATCCAACCGAAAAACTCCCTAGCCCACTGCTCAAGAGGACGAGAGAGAGAGAGAGAGAGAGAGAGAGAGAGAGCGCGCGAGAGAGTGCGCGAGAGAGCGGAGCAGAGCAGAGCGGTGTGATTTTGATATCCAAACAGGGAATGGCTAATTCAAAGTAAGACAACACATAAGATTTCCATAGTGAATGTAAACAACCAACATGACTGTTACTCGTACTCAGTGCTGTCAAGCTAGTATGTTTGGTAATCTTTTTTGGAAATACAGTTAGATGCAATAACTTATCGCTGGCTAGCTAGTAGCCACCTGCAGTAAGGTTGTATATTAGGCAAAGCTAGAAACATCAACATAGTTAGTTGTACAGCTAACGGTTCTTTTGAATCTTTTACTTGAATTTTCAGCGGCATGTCTATGAAAAAACTGTAGCACCTACCGAGCTACACTGACCTTTTTCTTTTACTATCAGTCACACATATGAGAGCATTGCTTGCTCTGATTTCACCTCATATCACAGAGGCCATTTTTATACATTACTTTTGTAAATATTTAAATTTGTATTTCATTATTTTGCATTCTTATTTATATGCACAATCTGTTCTGACTTTTTTGAGTAAAATCTTTAAAATGATACATGTCTTTTCCTTACATTTACAGCATAAACAATGAAGTTGTTTCATTTACTATCTCTTTGTATGCTACACAAAAATAATAATCCAATGTGGTATGTAACTTGTTTATTGTATTTATATGTATAACATTACTGATATATTATTAACAATATAAGATATTGCCATACACAATATATTTACTGTTTACTGATTATAAGCAGAGGTGAGTGTCAGACTCCTGCCAAGCACAGACCCGGCCTTTTTGACCAGCTTGTACAGTCTCTTTGTGTTCATGTCTGACATGCTGCTGCCCCAGCAGACTGCAGCATAAAAGAGTACACTGGCCACCACTGACTGATAAAACATGTGCAGCATTTCACTGCAAAAGTCAAAGGACCGGAGTCTCCTGAGGAAAAAGAACCAGCTCTGCCCCTTCAGGTAGATGGCATCTGTGTTCAGGGACCAGTCCAGTTTACTGTCCAGGTGCACACCTAGGTATTTATAAGTGTGCACCACCTCGATGTCCTTCCCTTGAATGTTGACTGGCTGAAGGGGCCTAGACCTCTGAAAGTCCATGACCATCTCCTTGGTCTTGGAGGTGTTCAGAAGGAGGCAGTCCCTGTCGCTCCATTCACTAAAGGCCATCGTCAGATCCCTGTACTCCTCTTCTTGCCCGTTACTGAAACGCGCCACAATAGCTGTGTCATCCGAGTATTTCTGGATGTGGCAGGACTCAGAGTTGTATTTAAAGTCGGCCGTATACAGGGTGAACAGGAACGGAGCCAGAACAGTCCCCTGTGGAGCCCCAGTGCTGCTCATCACAGTTAGCCAGCCTGACGTACTGTGGTCGTCTGGTCAGGTAATCCACAATCCAGGACGTGAAGCAGGGATCCACTCCCATCCCTTCTTCATTGTAACAGATATAAGACGCTGATCAGATTTTACAAAGTAAAAAGGAAACCAAAAACAAATTGTGTAACAGGAATTGAACCATTCCTTCTGTGTAGTACTGTCCAGTTGGAGTGGAGCATTTAAATGAAGTGCTCAGTGCAACGCACAGAGCTACAGCTACACAAGACGCCAGAGATTGCCTACGACTATCTGCATGTGTCAACGCAACATGAGAGATGAGGGACAAAACAATCTACAGTTCTCTGGTAAAACTGCATTCTCAAGTTTAACTGAAGCTGATAATAAGGCTTACGTCTGGTCTGAATTAGACAAATCAAGTGGACATCTTCCAGAGCCAGGCCTCTTAGAGAGAAATTCCCTCTTTGTACATGTACAAAGAGGGAAAGATTGTTAACTGCTCTCTGTCGACTGGTATTTTTCTCTCCAATTGTGAACATGCCACTATTTACCCCTCTTAAAGAAGGCGTCTCTGGATCTTTCTTTCAGTTTTTTCTTTCTGTGTTTAATTTTAGAATTTTTTCAGACTTTCAGGTTTTGGCTCTGCAGAGCACTGAGACTGCTCTGGTCAAGGTCAGCAGTGACTTAATGCTTCCCACTGATGCAGGCCTGTATGTCTAAGTGTCCTTGGGCAAGATACTGAACCCCCACTTTGCCCCTGATGGCTGTTCCATCAGTGTATGATTGTGATGTATGAATGTGTGGGGGAATGAATGGGTGCTTGTGGCAAGTATTGTAAAGCGCTTTGAGTGGTCAGTAAGACTAGAAAAGCGCTATATAAGTGCAAGTCCATTTACCATTTACCATGGACACTCAGTAGTCATTACTACATTATTACACGAGTATTCAGTAGTCATTACTGCATCTACACATCACATTATAACACCTGAACATCAGTATAGAAATGACAGAGACTAATGTTAAAGAAAGAAAGACACATCTGCAGAGATTATCGGAAACCTAGATAATGTTAAGAGCTATACAGAGATATTAAGAACCAGGTTATGTTCAAAACTAGCATAAGACTTAACTAACATAACATAATAATAAAGACTAGTGCATATAAATATACAAATTTACAAATGATATTGATGACATGAAACAGTCCAGAAACTGAGTGAAGCTTAATTAGTTTCTAACTTAGTTACAGTTGAGCTACCTAATGTTAGTTAGTTTCTAGTTGTAGCCTAAGTTACAGTTTTACTAACTAAGTTAGTTGTTTGTTGTTGTGTTTGCGAGTACATTTATATATGAGGACAATTGTTGCTCTTCACGTCTACTACTTCTACTACTACTACTACTACTACTACTACTACACGAAAGATTAATTGATTTCAAAAGCAATTTCAGGACATCTTGTAGCTAGGTGATTCCCATATTTCGATGTTTTGGGATGAGGGTGCTGGACTGCGGGGCGCATACTGTCTTTCTGTATATGTGGGGATTAGTACTGACAGGCTGGCTTCAGTAGAGGTGTGCTTGCCACTGACAAAGTCCCATCCGGCTCAGCAACATCAGGATGTCTCTGTGAAATGCTTTTGTCAGGATAACATAAAAAAATGGGTGTGCACAAGAGTTGAGAGGATAGAAAAGCACCAGCAGCACCTGTGGAGGAAAACATAAATCAGCCTTTATTTTATACACAGAAAAAAAAATCTGGATTATAACCAAAGAGCAAGTCGCACCTTTGAATCCGTGAGAGTCATCAGTGGTTGGTGGAAAGCTGCAAACAAGCCATAGAAGCAAATGGGAGCCAGACACAGGAAGCTGGTGAAAATGAGGACTGCCATACGTTTGGCCATGCTGGTATCACACCTGCTGGACTGGTGCTGCGGATTGTGCACCATGCAGTAGATGTGGAGGTAACATAAGCACACCACCATAAAAGCCATGATGTTAATCATCAGAATGGAGACCACATAGGCCTGAGCAGCAGTAGTCTCAGTGTCCATGGGTAAGCAGATGCTCACTCTCTGGTAGCTGCTCACACCAAACAGCGGCAGCAGTGCAAGGACCGCACAGAGCAGCCAGCCGACGAGCATCAGCACAGCCGCGTGACGTAACCTCATGTTTCTGTCTGGCCTCATGGCGTAGAAGATGGCGTGCCAGCGCTGAAGGCTGATCAAAGTCAAAGTGTACACAGACAGCTCGCTGGCAAACACTGATAATGTCCCTGCCAGATTGCAGCCACTTCCTGTTTGCCAGGCAATAGCATAGTGGTAATAATGGGAGTGTGTGTAGAGGTCAACAGATGCAATGATCAGTAAGTACATCCCCGTACAGAAGTCTGCAAACGCCAGGTGGCCCATGAGGAAACGGGTAACGGACAACTTCTGCCGGCTTGTCAGCAAGATGAACATCACCAGGAGGTTAGCTGAGATGGCTAACAGGCTAACCCCCCACACCAACACCCTGAGGAAGCCCTGACTCATCACATCCTCACAGGGGTTCAGAGCATCAGGCACGGGGCTGCACCATGGTACATGATTATCTGTGTGAAGATCATTACACAGTGCAAAGTCAAACCCTTCACCGAGATGCTCTGTGGTTAACTCCACATAATACAGATCCTCAGTTTCAGACTGCTCAGTTGGACAGATGGGGGTGTTGTAGTAATGATTGTGATTCGTGGAGCCGGCAGTTGTGAGACCAAAGCTGCCATTCAGACGTTGGTAGATTTTGTATCCCCGATACCTCGGAGAGAGACCTGCAGAAGATCCCTGCAGCTGCCCCACAGCAGTCCGGGTCAGGTTGCAGACAACTGCCTCAGCGTGTCTGAACACAGATGATAAAGATCATTAATCAGAGAATGAACCACAACATCTTCTTAGATGCACTCAAATGTAGAAATGGTCAACTTGTTGCAGGGATGGACAGTAACAAAGTACTTTTACTTGAGTACTGTACTTAAGTATATTTTTTGAGTATCTGTACTTGAGTTTTGTTTTTCGGAAACTTATGACTTTTACTCTTTACTTACAGTATATCGTACTTTTGACTCCATTACATTTCTATGAAGTACTCCAGTGCTTTAACTCAAGTAAAAATCTGAGTGAACTACATTTCACTTGTATTGGAGTCATATCTGACCAGGAGGATCTATACTCTGACTCAAGTAATGGAGTCGTGGACTTCGTCCACCTCTGATCGGTTGTAGTCATTTTGTAGACTGACAACATGTCAGTCAGATAAAAACCATACACCACCTGCACCATATACAGTACATATAAATCTAACATGTGAAGGTGAGGTCAATGAGCTCCTCAAAAGATTAAGTGAAATCTGAAGTAATAATTCTGTATACATCAGAGAATATGTAGATACAGAGTTTATAGAGAGCATAAAAGAACAAATACAAGATGAACCAAATATATAAATAAACAGACAATTTAAAAACCATTATGTTTGTTATTAGTGTAATTAGTTATTCTTTAGTATAGTCTGAAAAACTGAAAAACATTAGCAACAAACACATCCTGTGTGTCGTATTAAAACCAGGTGGAACTGACGTTTGGCCAGACCTGTAATTTATTGCAGTGACAGTGAGTGGACAGTAGGGGGAGCCTCATCGAGTTTCACCTGATGAAGACTCGGTACTGAAACATTAGGGCGACTAAAGGCCATCAACAACAACACACCAAACTTTCTATTTTATTTCATCAGTCCAGACCTGTCCATCTTGAGTCCACCAGCACACACTGCAGGTCTGAGGGCGGTTTGGTATGTGAAGGACAAATACACAAGGAGAAGAAACCACAGTGGGAAACAATCTCTATTGTCGTACTCACCCTCTCCATCTGTTCAACAGTTTTAGACCACAGCAGTGGCTTGGGAACGTCAATTCAGCACTCTGTAAATGGAGGAAGGCCCTGAAGGGGGGCAGCGCTTTTAGGGCCCAAGTGTTTTTAGCTTGGAGCTTTTCAATGGCCTCCAGACCTCTTGAGGGCAAAGAGCTAAGTTTGGTTTCTGAAATGTCTCTGGAAAGACAAAGAGTTCAGGTTACTTCACGTGGACACAGAGCTGGAGCAGTTCCTGGAGCCAGACTCAGACTCAGTATCTGCTGCATGCACAAAATAAAGATTCTGTTTGATACAAAGCAGCATTCCTTCTCTTTTCTCAAGAAGGGCATGAATTCATTTTTTATAATAATGTGCAGATATCCTTCACTCACAGGTGAGTCGGGCCGTGAATCACACCATGGAATGCATTTTCATCTATTTGTTCCAAATCCAGGTTCCTGTGAAGATACCTGAAGAACAGAGAGCAGGTGAACGGCAAAGTCATGCGATCATATTGACACATACAAAACTCCACATTACTACATTACTTCATCAAAACATTTTAGTCATTCAGCCAGCCAGGATGTTAAAGCTCAAACACATTAAAAGGAGACTAAAAGCACAGAAGTTGTACATAACCACAGTATTGTTGTTTCACTGCAATAATTCAAAATGACATACACTTCCTCCAGTCTGCTCCCGTTGAAGGCAAAGCTCTGGATCTCTTTCAGGCCGTTGCTATTCAGCATGCTAAAACAAAAAGAGAACGGGGGGGGGGGGGGGTTCAAGTGAACCTTCCATTCATTTATTCCATACAGAGGAAAATTTGTGAAGTCGTGGACTCAAACCACAGACATACGTCTTTATGGTTTATAATATTCTGTCTGTGAATATTTTTACTGAGATTAAATAATGAAACACATTTAAAAACATCAACTCTGTTTTGCAGATGATTCAACAAACTGAAGAGTTGGATTCTTCTGGATTGTGTATAAAGATGGGTGATGTGTCAATACACATGACAGTGATAATGAATAGATGGAATATGAGACCGACACAGAAAGAACAATTTAAAAAGTAAATTTAATAGACTCTATATAGACACATTTTCTAGAATCCCAGATTATTACTATATATCGTATAATCACAGAAGTCGACCCCAAACGTATCTATAGCCTACAGTTGGTCTCTGTCTGTGTCTTGTTCAAAAGACACCTGGACGTCTGTTCTGGTACTCTGTGTCTCACAGAATTCAAAGTGAAATACAGCTATTCATTTTTGATAAACACCAAAAGACAGTGATATTTATAAACGGCAGCCGGGAGGAGATAATGTGAACACAAGTTCATATGTGTCTGCACGAAATGAAGACACTTCCCAGCAGCAGCAGCCTCTGTGTGGACCGGTCCAGATGAGACGTGGACATCATGGCTCCTCATAGACACACGTCATTTTAATTATCTTGTCTCTCAGCCAAGTTAATTACAACTCTGGACTGATGTAAGATGGATTGACATGGACTTTTGACAGAAGTTGTACATAAACAAAAAGAGAGGGGGAAAGAAAGGAAGTGACTGGTATTGATAAGTATTGATAAGTATTGGTAAGTATTGGTAAGTATTGGTAAGAGAAAATGATCCTAAAACCACCATAAAGTTGTCATGTCAGTGTCTGTGAGTTAGTGACATCTGAAGCACTGAACTGAGGCCTACTCACATGCTCAGAGCGTTCTCACATATTCCACTGAAGGAGTTAGCAGGGATGACATGTATGAAGGCGTTCTCCAGTATCTCCCTGTTAAAGACGAATGAAGGTGAAACATTTTACACTAGTCGTACAATTTATCAGGCATAACACATTTTTGTTATTTCTGTTTAAATGCTACATACAAAATAAAATCCTCTTGGCTGGACTGGATGTACTGTAGTCCAGGAAAGGAGGTCAGACCGGTGTTGGTGATCCCACTGGATTTAAACAAACCTCAGTTAAAACCTCTGCTGGATTCTATTTATACAACAATTACATTGTTTTCTATGATGCACTGAGAAGATTTCACTTACAGGTACTTTAAATTAGGCAGGTCCTTAAACGCCTCATGGTCAATGTGTGACAGTGTTTTGATACCATTCAGTTGTCTATTTGGACACAAACACACACACACACACACAGATACTCTGTTATTTACTGTGAAATGATTCTATATTTGTTAAACGGTTTATAGCAGAAAAGTTTTAGTTTTATAAATGTGACCAGTCCAGTATTACTGGTGCGAGTGTAGGGCAGAGGCAACATGACAGAGACTGCATGTGTATTAGAGGCTTCACTTTAATCACAATCAGGTGTTGAAAGGTGACGTACATGTGGGTGACTCTGGACAGGTTGTAGAAAGAATGTCTCTCCAGATGTGTTAAAGTGTCATCATCAGAGATGTATCTGAACAAACAGACAAATACAGCATGAACACAACCAGATGGTCCATGTCTTTCTCTAGGAGTCTGAAGTAACAATACAACCACTAGTTGTATATTATATTCTTGGAAAATTCAATCACGATTCTTTAGAACACCTGTCATCCAAACAAAGCACTCTAAGGAGGTGACACCATTTTCCTGGAGCAAATGTGGGAAGGTAGAAGGCAACAACACCCATATCTTATGTTCCTGTGCTGTGTTACAGAAATACTGGACTGAAATAAGTCAAGTTATGGACACTATTTTTCAGTGCAAACTCTTTTTGAAATTGATTATTTCCAAATTATTATGCCAAATTATTACTTGGCAGAATACTGCAGCATCTTTCTCAACTAACCCATTAATATATTTTTAGAATATTAAGAGTAGCAGTACTTTAACATGTAACACCAAATTGGCTGAAAACAGAGGCACCACAATTAAGCAAAGGGAGGGACACAATTAATGACGTTTATAAAATGGAGATAATAATTGGCAGGATTAGGAATCTAGCAGAACTATTGACGTAAGATGGAAGAGGATCCAGAAAACAAATATTACTACTCAAACAGGAGTTACTTTGAACAAAAAAAACTAAGAAATTGAATTTGAACTAGTGATCAGTCTTATGTAAAGGAAACACTGACCATCATAGCACAGTATAACTGTAGAGGGTTTGTACGGAAGTTTTCACAGTTGATTTTTTCTCTAGGCTCATTTTTCTAGAAGTTTGTTTTAATCTGTGGAAACAGGTCATTTTTTTTCATTTGTCCAAAGAGTTTTTCATTTATTTATTTTTGTCAGTTTTTTTCCCTAATTTGCCCGTCTGGATAATGATGATCCAGTGGTGTTTCTGAGGCGATAAGGGTCATCATACAGTATGTAGGAGGCTCTGTGGCTTTGTACAGTAACAGTGTTTCTCTACAGCAGTTTTGGTTTGCTTTGCTTTTAAAACATTTTAAAACATTAAGACATTATTACATTATTTTCTCCAAAATTGTAGTGTTCTGCAAATGATTTGTTGGCCCACTTGCAATACCTTTGCAGCCCACCAGTGGGCCCACAAGTCGACTGCTCTGCAGTCTATTGAGTCTCACTCTGTGTTGCACTGTGCAGCCTTGGCGGAGGGACTGCTGTCTTTGTTAGTTTTAATACTCTTTATTTTTCCTGGTTAGTGACTCTTTCTGTTCTTGGTTTGAAAGAAAAGTTAGTGATGGGAAAAAAGAAAATCTTACATGTGAGAAACGTTGGCCAAGTTGGCGAAGGCGTTCTGAGGAACAGAGGAAAGTTTGGTCCCAGTAAGCCACCTGAAACAGACAGAGACAGTCTGGACTGGTTTCAGTCCTGATAAAAAGCCTGAGCTGAGAGAATGTGGGTACTTACACCTCCTGTGTGCTGCAGTGGAAAACAGGCAGGACCTCAGCGCCGACACAGGATACACTGAGGACGTCCCAGTCACAGTGGCAGTGAGCCGGACAGTGATCCAGAGGGAGACAGACCTCCACAGTCACACAGATAAGAAACAGCAGATTCACACCAAGCGTCATTGTCAGAGCTGTGGAGTGGATGGTGGAGACACAGTCAGAGGTTCACAGAGGGGAGGGGCTGTCCTGGGTTCAGACCAAGACTGGAAGCAAGAGGCACTTCTGGTCAAGACCTTCAAAATAAAATGGATGAACATATGTATAAATGTAAAACAAATTATGTCAGCTAAAGTTTAAATTCAGGGTTTCTCTATTCAGTTCCATTCAAAGTACTATGTTATTCAGCTTTCATAAACGGTGTATAAAGATTTAATAACTGGTTTCTAACACATTATTGAGATGGGGCCTTTACTGTCAGAGGAGATCAGACTCTCAGAGTCAGTTCAGTTTTGTCTCACTTATTTACATATTTATAAAAAAGTTATTGTGTGATGTCTTTTTAATTTCACTTTGATTTGTTTGGATGTTTTATATTTGACTCATGTGAAGCACTTGATATTTGTTATTTGAAAGGTACAAATTAAGTGTTGTTATTATTAAAATGTAGTTGTAAGCGTTTATTATGTTAACAACCATAACTCCTCTTGTTGGACACCCATCAGTGAACACAGCTGTAATAATATAAAATACATGTAGAATATTAAATAAGTAATAGTTTTCATAGGAGACATTATAATTGCTGTCAAATGCTATACATTAATTAACACTTGTACAGTATATGAATGAAAAGTTATATTATAAATCGTCTATTAAATATTTATAGACCGACACTGTTGATATAAAATGATCAGATAAACAAGCTTTTTGGGGAAATATTATTAAATGTTCAGTTTCCATTATGTCAGAACAAGATGGAGGGTGTGATTAAAACAATGAGTGGGTATTTACATGTTAAGAAGCCAGGTGAATCTGTAAGGTGTAGATGTTAATTCATGTTGTATATTTGAGTTGATTTAGTAAAAATATATTTACAGTGTTTATACAGTTAATTATTGACATATTTATTTTATACAATTATTATTTACATATTTACAAATTTAAATATTTACATGTGCATCTTAAAAAACAGTTACAGTAACCTCCGTATTAAAAGTGACCCATAGCGCCTCATATCGAAGCCTCACGTTACAAACACATAGTGAATAAAAGGCAGAGCTGAGGCTGAATGCTGAAATCAGCCTCTAATGACTTTATCTTCATCTGTACTAAGAGCCAACTCAGATAAAAACCTGAGAACTCACGTAAGAACTCAGAGTGAGGGGCAGGGGGACGATATACAGTGACTGGTGGAACTGGTTTTTGAGTGTGACAGACTCAGAATGAAGCTTTCAGCTGAGTTTAGGTTCAGGGTTGATTAATGAGCTGGAGTGACGAATCTCTGCGACCCCTCCTCCTGCTGTGTTTCGAGGAATGTGAACATTAGTATGAGTTGGAGGTGTTGATTCATTTATATCACTGGTTCCCAACCTGTGGGCTGAGGCCCACTAGTGGGCCACAAAGGTATTGCAAGAAGGCCGACACACCATTTTTGAAAGAAAACTATTTTGGTAAAAAGATTTAATGATAAAAAATGTATGTTTCAAAGTTATATCCTGTAATCTTTCCATATTAAATGTCTAAAAACAACTGGACCTGTGTTCTATATGTTGTTGAGTTGTGTTCTTACATCATCTCAAATGTTTCCATCAATTCTCAAACCAGAGGAATCTGTGATTTTAATCATGGTAACGTCTCATTGGTCGCCTGTCAGTGACATCATATCCTCTATGATCATGTGTCAGTGTGTTTGTCTGACAGAAGCTCAACATTGACTTTTAGTTTTAAGCCACATACACTTTTTCCACCTTGGTGGTTTTCAGCTCTATATTTGAACCAGATGAAGGATTTTAGTCGTCGGACGTCTGGATCTGAAGTTATCAGAGAAACAAGCTGAGGAAATGTTTGTTGTGGAGAGGAGGACACCTCTGTGGATCATTCAGCTGCTGGTAAAAACCTGCTGAACATCTGCTTCATAAGTTATCAGAGAAACAATCAGAACAAAGGTTAGCATCGATCTCAGCTCTAGCTCTTCCCTGAGTCTCTGTCCTCCGTACAGCGTCGCTCTAACTCTGACTTTAACGGTTAGAATCACCAGGTCTGTTTGATTTCCTGAACCACTCACACTGAAGGAATCCAAACCGGGAGGAGTTTACGGTGATGGTGGTGAAGATAACACGCTATATCATGACGTCACCCGTGTTTTGATATTGTTTTGATTGAGGCCACTAGAGGCAGAAGTTACAGACTGTGCGTTTAAAATGAAATGATTCTTGTCAATGACAGGAACTTAAATGTTATCGTATACTTGTTCACTATCTCAGTCTGATTAAAAGATCACATCCATGGTAAAAATAACTGGAGAATCAGAATAGCTGATCACTGATCACTGACTGAGGAGCTTCTTCTTCTCTGGTTTCTCATCAGATTTATGGAGGTTTATTTACAGTGGTGTTTTCATGTCTGTTCAGGTCTGACTCTGGTTTTTGTCTGATGTGAGTTTCACATGTTTTTGGATGTTGATATTTGATGATTGTTAAATGATCTTATTGATCTGGTTTGTTCTGGAGATCAGTTTGAACGTTTGAACCAGTAATATAAGACATGAGGAGCTCTCAGCCACCTTCATTTCGTCAAAGCAGCTCTCAGAGGAGAAAAGGTTGGAGACCCAGTGTGATGATCAGCTATCAGGGATTTACGATACTATCAATGGGCTAAAACCATCATTATTTCACACATATATGATCAGATGTTAAACTGAATACAGTGCTCATCATTCCAGCTGCAGGATGAATGAACAGAGATCAATCATTCTGACACTGAGTCACAAAGCACAGAAATGATTTAATGTTTAATAAGAAACAACAGCGCTGAAGGTTTTCATGGTGTATTTACATCATCTGAAGACACTCCTAGACCTAAAAGCAATGCATCGTGGGTAATGTTACGCATACAAGTGACAAAATATGACACTTAAAAGTCTTTTTTTTTTTTTTATCACTAATGACCATGTGGAGCAGATGGCTACATATATCTGACATTTTAAATCATGTTTGTTAAAATATAAATGTGTATATCATATACTGTCATAGTAATGAATGCCTGTGATTAGCAGGAATTACCAAATAAATAAGAAATAATCTTAGTGTAAATATAAAATACAGAAGTATGGCCACCATTTAAACAGTGTTCATGGGGCAGCAGGTCTTTGTCTTCATATGCTGAGTCTACATACATACATAAGAAACTATGGCTGATTACAGAGCCCAGTAATGGTTATTTACTCTTCATAGATCTGTTTATTCTGGAGGAGGTGACAGTCTTTGGCAGGTTTTATAAACTCTGTTCATGTTAGTACACAAGTCTGTTTTTAAAATCACACACACAATGAGACGGGACATGTGAACACAAGCAGTGGTGGTTGAAAAAATAAGATAAGTGCATACACACAGTCTCTGGAAACTGTGACAGGTCCGGTCAGGACAAAAATAACTGTCTGTACAGATAAATGAACCAATTAAAGCAGGTTACCATCAGGTTCATATTCAGCTTCTTTAATCCCAGAATGCATCAGGAGCACATGATGTCTTTACACAAACGAACCAATGATTCAGTCTTTAGTTCAGCACACACTCTGCAGATACAACCAGTAACACACTGGTGATGTATGAGAACTGCTGGTCTTCACCACCTGAACTGAGTCAGGGTGTGGACGCCTGCCAGCACGGACAGAAATGAAACTTTTCAAGCATTATGGGAAATGTAGTTCTGCAGCATTAAGTCTGACTCATAAACCAGTGCAGGTCCACATAAACATTCGAACTATAAACTTCAAAATGCAGATAGAATAAAAAAATCTCTGGGGTTTGTGTTAAGCTCATAACTGAGAGTGTTAGTAAGAATAAAGACTTGACTGACTGCACCTGTTCCTACAACATTCCCTCCCCAGCAGGAGACCAGGGCGTCTGTGGTGTCGTAGTCCAGTCATCAATAAAAACATTATCATCTCTAGCATCTTCTCCACCTCTCATCAAATGCAGGTAATCAGCTGATTTATCATTCACTCATAACCATCAGTCCAGATGTTAAAGTTCAGCCCACAATCAGCTCGCAGGTGACCGGGTAACAAGGGGCGGAGCATGCACCTCGAACGCACAAGACTTATTCCAAACTGTGGTGTCACTTCCACCTGCAGGGCGGAGCAGGTTAAAGGCAGCCAGCAAGTTATTTTTGATTGTTAACTGGAGGATTAAGATGGTGAGTATACGGCCCAGTATGCACTGCTGCAGTTCCTTTAAGCAGACCAAACAGAAAGGCACCGTTGATATTTCTCTGCACGCTGCTACATACCAGTGTATGGCACTTTTCCTACAACACATGAACACATGTACATTTTTTTTTTTTTTTTTTTATAAAACTCTTTATTCACTACGTCACTAAAATAAAAGTTTCATTTTTCATCATTTATCTTTAAAAGTCTTTACACAGCAAATCATTTATAGAAAATAAAGGTTTAATAGTGATTACTTCTTCTTCTCCTCAACATAAAGAATTCTCAGCGTTTCTTTGACTTTTACACAGCAACTGGATGTTGTTGGGTGGAGCTGAATGACCTGACTCGCATGTCATCGTGTGGTGCTGCTGGGTTAGTCCTGCTGCTGTCCAGAGCCCTGAGCTTCAGGGCCGCAGTGCTGTCTGTGGTGAGGAGGGGCTCCTCGTGACGCAGCACGTGACCGTTGGGGACCGCTGCTCTCTTCTTGGTGCTGCAGTCACTGATGTTGTTGTTTGTGTGGATTACCTGCTCAGGTGATGCTGAGAACTCGTGGCTGGCAGCTGTGTCGTCATGGTTACCTGTGTAGTTAACATCCTTCGTAGTAAACAGTGGGCTGGGTGGTAAGCTGTGAGCCACGTGACCGTAGTTGTAGTGGGCGGAGGTCCTCTTCTGGTCGTCCCGTTTCGAGGGGTTGTGAGGCTGACGCCTGTTTGACAACAGCAGGGGGCGCTCCTCCTCCCCAGAGGGGCTCAGAGCCACTGAGGGGACAGAGATGGCCAGGCTGGACAGGGGGGCCGACATCTCTGAGGGAGGGGACCCTGGAGTCGCAGGAGAGGTCTGGGACACTGGAGACAGCTGAGTTGGGGTTGTCATAGCAGATACAAACCTGCAACAGAAAGATTCACGAAATAAAGATATTATTGAACATATTCTGAGTGTGACACACAACAAACAGTATCACTGCAGGGCTGAGGACATACGTCATCCACCCGTTCTCCAACCTGATTATCCTGTTGAAGGTCAGGAGGCTCAGAAAAGTTCATAGCATAAAGGTTGTCAGTCTGTCAGACGCCCGAGACGCGTGGATCGCTTCCTCTCTGTGACTACATCACTACAGATCGTGGAATTTGTTTCCAGCACACATGGTTCACAGTGTTAGCAGCAGCTTCATTCATTTCATTCATGACATCATTCGCATGATCTTCAACATCATCCCGTGACCATCTTTCATTCATATGAAACTGAAGTGTTGTTGTTGTGAAAGACAGGGTCAGGCTGAGAAGAGGGTGTGGTACTGTTAACAAGACAATTATTGATTGGTTCTCACAGTCGCCTCTTAATTAACCCTTTAATACACAGCTATTAATCCAGTTGGATCTGCAGGTCTGGACTGTGGGAGAAAACCAGAGGAACCCAGTGCAGCAACAGGAGCACCCCCCACACAGAGAGGCCCTGCACCTGGCTGAGGTGACAGCACCAGCCAGAGTCATCATGTCACCTACAGTACGATGCATTCATCAACACATCAACAAGTACACAAGTAGTAGTAGTACTACTACTTGTGTACTGTCACTTTAAATGTACATTCCTCTGATTCTGTTGTAGCAGCCAAAAGCACAATAAACCCACAAATATCCTCTGATCATCAACAGCCTCACTGGTATGGTACAGTCACATTATGTCTGATCAACACACTCTCTGTTTCACCCTCACTTTACTGAAGCCAGGGTGACGGACACATTCAAGGATGTGTTCCTCGGTAAACTACAACCTCCAGCTGTCTCTGCGGTCAGAGTTCACCAGAGTTCACACTGAGTGGATGTGCACAGCCAGCCAATAGAAACCTACGCCGTGTTTAAAAGTGCAGGTTTTATCATTAAATTAAAATATCATTAACAAAACATATATATATATATATAAGTGACATTTATATATATAATATACAAAATATCACTAAAATATTGTTGACAGATGAAGGGACGACTACGGCGTGATGCGATGACGTAGATTCTATGTCGACACTTCCTACTGTTGCAGCCCTGCTGTCTACTACAGGAGAAAGACCAGTTTACCCTGTGATACGTTAAAGAGTTGGTGGGTAATTATATGTTTTTGTCATATGTTTTGTTTATATTCAATTATATCATTAGTAGTTTTATGGATTATGAGTATATTTGTTAAAGATACCTGATAATTCGACTGATTCTTCCAGTTTATTTAGTGACATGTCAGCTGTTATCAGCAGCACTCAAGATGCTGATAGGCAGAGGTGTTCAGTAACAAAGTACATTAACCCGAGTACTAAAGTATATACTTAGAGTATATGTACTTTACTCAGTATTATTTTTTGTAAACTTATGACTTTTACTCCACTACACTTAAAAGACAAATATTGGCTCCACTACATTTCAGAAGTGGAATACTCTTATTTTGAAGCAGCTTTTAGTCAGAGGAATGAATTTTTCTTTTATTTTGAAAATGTGATAGACCACACACCGTCACAGCCCTGCCGTATCTCTCTCCCTTGTATTTCCCCCTCCCCTGTCATGTCTATGTGTATGTGTGTGAGGGCGTGGCCTCCCTCTCCTGGCTCATCTCCACACCTGTGGCTCATCACTTCATCAAGCCTCCAATACAAATACCTCAGCTGACTACCCACTCTTCACCAGACTGTTCAGTCTGCGTTACGGTAGCGTGCGCTCGGCCACTTTAACTCCTGTGATCTCACAGAGCTCAGTGGTAGTTTGTTTTGGAAATTTTTGCCAACTTGTTCTCTCCTGTCTTCACTGCTCTCGAGCCAGTCTCTGCCTGTCACACCACCTCACCTCCAACCCCCCCTCCCCCCCCCCCCCCCCGCCCCCCCCCCTCACACACACACACACACACAGCAGTCTCCAGCACACACCAGCCACCAGCCTTCCCTTCCCTCATCGTTGTTTTCATTAAAACCACTTTGTCATCCCTCACCTCTGTCTCTGTCTGCTTTCGTGTCCAGGAAACTTACAAAACCGCCACATACACTGTGTTCACAGGAGAAAAACCAATCGCAGCCAACTCCTCCACTGTCAGACATGTTTGTATTTGTCAGTGTCCTAACGATGGCGACGTTAGATTAAGATGAGGCAGAAGATTCTTCAAGTCGTTGTTTGTTTAAAATTTTGTAATAAATGAAGATTCCTTTTGTTTTAAATGTTTGCTGTGTGTAACACGACCAAAAATTCATCACTACTTATAGAAGTTTGCCGTCCAGCTTTGGAAAGCATGCTGAGGTATTAAATGTTTATTTCCAGGTATTTCCAGGTGCTACACAGACTCACTGCTAGACAAGCTGCATTGCCTCATTGTCTGTGCTTCTCTCTGGCTGCATCACTGTCTCCACCTCTCTACAGTCATATCTCAGGGAAATGACTGCAGGCTCATTTTGATGTTTAAGTTGTATAAAGTGGAGTCAGGTTCAGGCTCAGAGCAGAGAGATGCTCCTGCTCAGTGGCTGCTCCACTGTTCTCCTGTCCACACGGTCAGGGACAGGAACTGAGGGATAGTTACAGCCTGTTAAAGGATGGAGCATATATGACTTGTTGATGCATTGTTCTCTGAAGCTCACACAGGCTGTGTTGTGCTGCCTGGCCCAGTATAAATACTAATTACTCACCCAGGTGCAGGATGGTGCAGCTGCAGTGGATATAAATAGTTTGACGCAGAGCGAGCAGGATACCACACCAGTGTGTGAGTAGAAACATGAAGCTGCTGTCATCCTGTGAAGACAGCTGGGCTTTATTCTGAACTCTTTCCTGTGTTCGGCTGCATTAACACAGTGTAGGTGACCACAGAGAGGGACAGGAGGTTTAACGGCCTGACGTCCATTACAGTCCATGTCTGCACAGTGTTATATTTTCAGGGTTGGCGAGGCCTGTGGTGCCCGCTAATGTTCAAGCAGTGATGTTTTGAACCTACGTCTCCTGACTGGTTGATAAAGTTTGGACTGTTCCCCTAAAAGTCGATGCATCGGCTTTTTAGGTGCCTCACAAACACAGAGTGACACTGTAGCTGTAAACTTCACAAACCTCACAACAGACTGAGATGGAAGTCTTGTGAAGCAGCTTGATTTATCACAAGTGAGAATCACAAGCTATTGGCTTGTGGCTGAACCACAGTGGTTTGGACCAATCAGTGTCCTCTCAGGGAGGAGCTACTGGCGTCTACAGGGCAGTGACTGTTTTGGTTTTCATAAGAGAGGCAAGAATCATCTACTGACATGCTAACGAGCTTTCAAAGCTCCTTTAACTGAAGCTTGTTGTGTTTCCTCTTCTGTGCGCTCCTACTGATTGACAGATGGTTTATCCAATCACCTGCAAGTCTCTTTCAAAGCTCCTGCCCTTTTGCAAACAGCTTCCGGTGAAGCCCTCCCCAGGTGACTCAGCTCAGGTGTCCGGCTGACACACACTCCACAGAGCGGCAGGTTTCATAACTGAGCCACGACCAAGACGCTGATCATGTTCCACATCAGAGATGATGAACAAAGACATTGAAGGTGAATTCTTAGGAGAATTAGTATGGTGTGGTGCTGCAGGACTGACATCACATTCAATGATGTATTTATCCTAATGAAGAAAAGACATCAGTAATACTGAGTGTGGATAAAAACAGTATCTGAAACTCCTGACTCAGCACCAGATGGAGCAACACCTGTGTGATAACAACACTCTGGATTCTTGTGTCTGCGATTTGTCGTACAAATTAATTACTTGTAAGAAAGAAATGGGATGTTTGAAGATGTTTATTATTATTATTATTAATATTAGGAGCTGAGAATGAACCTGTGGAGAGCAGGTTCTGTTAGATGTAGCCTCCTGAAGGGAATTGATGCTTTATTCAGGTGAACAATATAGGCCAGAAAACGTCATAAATAATTATTGTTTTCAGATCAGCTGCTATGGGTGATTTAGTAACTGTGTGTTTTAGTCTACTTTAGCTCCACTTGCTGTGTGTGTGTATTTGCTGTGTTGTTGTCAGTTTGCCCTCCTTGTTCTCTGTTAGTGATGAAGAGTTGAAATCAGTCAGTTACCTTGATTTAAGGCAAGTCGCTGTCGGTGTTGAGTGTGTCTTGGCACGTCTTTGAACGAGCACTTAAGTCTCTGGTGCCACCAGTAGCATTCAGACGACCCCGGCCGCCCTGTGTGGCACTGTGGCTCTTCTCCGCCAATGACATCACCGAGACAGACTCAGTGTCTGACACAACACTGTTGGTCCAGTCATTACTCCAGCTGCAGAGACAGGGAGGGGGGCGTTTACATGGGGAAGGTTGCAGACAGGCCTCTAGACCTTTACGACATAATTATCATGTGGGTTCAGTTTGTTCACAGTCTGCAGGACTTCAGGGTCCGACTGACTGATGCAGCAGGTTTTTATATTTTACTACCGGAACTGTATGTGAAGCTGAGGACTGAGTATAATGTAAGAAAATGGACCCAACAAAAATGTTTGGTCCCATTCTGTTTTCACCGTCTTCATCTCCATCACTGTAGTAATCCAATTCGATTCTACAGGGTGACTTGGTGCAGAGGAGGCGCAGCACAGACCCAGGATCAGTCTGTCTCCAGCTAACTGCTCATTAAGCAGTTTGACTGCTGATGAAATGGTCTTTTTCTGTCTTTAGAAATACCCTCCGCTCCCTCCCCCCCCCCGTGATGACCGTTCTGTCTGGATGGGTCAGGATGACGTTAGAGTCGACCTGCAGAGAGCTGCAGGTCTCAACAACATACCGGACCGGTGCTGATTGAAAGTGCCAACGAACACACATCCTCACAGACACCTTTAACACCTGCCAGGACATTGGCTCCTTGGTTTCAAAGCCACCACCATCACACCGGTGCTGAAGAAGTTACCAGTGTCGTGCCTCAAGGACTATCAGGCTGTAGTACCCTCCCCACTCCTGATGAAGTGCTTTGAGAGATTGGACGAGGACCACGTAACACCCAGACTCCCCGTGACACTTGACCCTCTCCAGTTTGCATACCACCTAAACAACTCCACTGATCAAACCATATCATCAGCATGTCTGGAAAATAATAGCTGCTATGTCGGGATATTCTCTGTAGACTTCAGCTTAGCCTTCACTGCAGTCATCCTGTGTAAACTGGGTCTGAACACAATACAACATGAACTACATGGTCAGGTTTTGAAACGACAGAACACAACAGAGAAGGAGAGAACATCAACAACCAGTCAACAGGACAAAGGACATCAGTGTTGACTTCATGAACTGCACACACACTCCACACTACATCAACAACACCGCTGTGGAGTCAGTCAGGAGCAGGAGTTCCCATACAGAAATGTAACATATGACATATATGTCACTATATCAAGAGTGATGTTGCCATATATGTCAGCTATAAGGGGATATATTACATATACATCCTCTGGATATATGAAGATATATGTTTAGAACATATATGAAATACCCAGAGTAAAATTTGTATATGTACAAATATTACGTATATACATATATGATGAATTGTTATATGGTATAACATGTTGTGACCATATATGTTAATGATATATATTTCATTTATATATGCAAGTTTATTAAAACAACATACTATAAATATGTATATGTTTATTTGTGTTTCTTATTAATTTCTCATTCATGTCTATCTTCTCATTCTAGGAAAGTGGTCTCAGACTCTTGGAACCCCTCTGTTTATAACATCAAAATATATTGACAGGCTTTAGGATGGATATATATTTATGAACATACATATCGTACACACACTCATTCACACACACAACACTGTCAGAGACTCACACACACTCAGTCCTGCTGTACATACTATTTACACTGTGCAATAATTCAATGCGCTGCTGTCTCCAGCACTCAGACTACAATGCTGCTGTTGTCAGTGTTTACTTGTTGTTATTCATTGTGCATGTTTAAATGTTGGATTGTTTGATTCTTTTTGTTGTATATTGAGTTAGGAGAAATGTGATTTTGTTGTGCTGTGCTCTCTCTACCGCGTGGTTTTAAATGTCAGTAAAGTTCACAGTGACATCATCATGTGATCAGACCCAGGATTAATGTCCTTAGCTCCAGTCAGTGAGTCAGTCGCTTTAACAGAAGATGTAATGATAAACAACGATCTACAGCCTGTCATTAATGTAACTGATGTTCTGATTGATCCAGGTGCTTTGATAACTACTCAGCCTATCAACCTTAAATCCAGATGTTTTCTGGGCACAGCTGTCACTGTGCTTCATTAAAACACAAAGTTTCACTTGTATGACAGCAGTGAACAGTGAACACACCTTCCTGCCTCAACACACTCACACTGACATCACCTCCATCTATGGATAATATACAGAACACTGTAAGACACAGTGGGAATATGACAGGAAACAAGCACGTGTTCTTGATGCTGAGCTGTTCAGCTGTAAACATCTCAAGTGCTTTATTCATTTTGATGCAGGCTTAAAGTGCAAGTGTGTGAGTTGCAACAACAAAGAGGAAAGGCCCAACACTCGGCTGACCAATGACTCCATCACTCACTCTGCAGTGAGTGTTGATTACATATGTGAGCCCAGGACTGGAGCAGCATGCAGATGGCTCTCAATAAATGAATGACACGCACACAGAGAGGGCCAGTGAACAGTTAATGGATTTTTTGACTGGCCCACCGATGTGCTACTGATGGCCAGTCTGACTATGGAGCAGACAATAGCATAATCAACAATAACAGTATGTTGATAGTATGTTCTGAAAAACTTACACACAATATGATCTTAATATATGTCTTACTCTGCTTTATATAAGTGCTCATTAACCCAGGGTATTGTTTGATAAACATGCATTAACAATGCATTAAGCTAGAGGTTCCCAACCTTTGGGCCGGGGCACACTGGTGGGCCGTGAAGGTATTGCCAGTGGGCCGACAAATATTTGGCAAAACAGTAAAATTTTGGTGAAAAGATGTATTTCAAAAAAATGTTCTTAAAAGTTTTCAAACGAAATGATCTTTAAAAATGTTGAAAAGATCCATCCATTTTAATTTGTCTCATATTAAGGCGTATCACTATGATGAGCCAATGATAGATAGAAAAACTGTGGCTAAAAATATAGCATCAGACTCCTCTGTACTGAACAGTGGCAGCAGGAAACACTACAAAGTTAAACTGCACCACACACAAGTGGAATTACTTTAGTTTTGGACAACTGATGCTGACCTTCCCCTGAGCCAGACCAACTTCAAACCAACTTTACCAAACAGAATAATTGTAACTTCCCCCCTTACCTTTGGCTGGAGATGTGTGTGAGTGTTGTGGCTTCATGCGCAGATAAGGCATATTTGCTTGTGGAGAAGGTGGTCTCTGTCTCCTTCTCAGCTGCATGCTGCAGGGAAATCCCATTACATTGCTATAAAAGAGGAGCAGAAAACAGATTGACAGCTGACGTGAATGCAGAGACTCAATGAGCATGTGGTTTTATTTGATACCCACAACTAACAGCATACATTGATGAGCTGCAAATCTTGAAGAGGCAAGTTAGAAATCTGACGTCCTCTGGCTGAGCTCGCCAGGTTGGGGCCAGTACCAGTTTTGGTACTATGGTTCCTCTTATTCCTCAGGCTCTGCCTCAGACGGTCATGGAGCTTCTTCCTCTGCTTCCTGTTTGTGAAGAAACAAACTAGATTGTGAGGCAGCCCAGACCACAACTGGACAGCATATCTGAGGGGAGAGTCCCAAATGTACCACAAGAGAAACATTTGCCCCAAACTTCATCTAATGTTATAATGACTGAGTGTAGTAATGATAATTAATATTTAATAAAAACAAAATACACTTCATGATATTGTTATTGTGTCCAGTAGCACCACCAAATCCCCAAACTTCTCTCAGCTCATTTGGTTTGGTTGTATCTCAGCTTGTTATTATGCAGACGATGTTCCTCTTTACCCCAAAGTTCAGTGGATGTGTCGCAGCTTTCTGCAGCTACATCACAACAGCCAAGCATCTGAAATATGACATCAGGCATCACCTGGATGCTAACTCAAAGCTGGATCCCAGAAACCTATGGGTAATTTTTCATACCCAGTAAAACTTTAAGAAATAAATGAGTTCAGTTACTCTCATGTTGACTATGGTAATGTCCAGTATTAATGTTTAATCCAAGAGACTTTAGCACAATTACAATTAACATTCTGCTGAGCAGTTACTCTTTAAGACCAAGCATCAACCTCTGGGGCTGAAAGATGAAGTAAACACTGAAGAGCCAAAACCTGTAGTTCCTCTAATGACCACTAGTGTCTGGCTCCAAAATTGAGTCAATCCCCATAGACTCCCATGTTAAACGTCCAACTTTACAGCAGAAATAAACATATTTGAACTTCACCTGTACGGGAAGTGAATTTTTACATAACTGGCCTGTTTACATTTTATTATGGTTTAAAGTTATGCATAATTGAGGGCATGGCCGCTTTGAATGAAGCGTGGTTGAGCGTATGCTTGCCACAAACCAGCATGCATTGAAGTCTTGGGTCCACCCACGCCCCACCTCTTGACATGTTTTAATTAACCAGGCATGGCGACAGTGGAGCTGCTCACTCTGAGCTTCAAAACCACTCTTCAGAATCCTGTGGATGACATCATGGAGGCTACATTATTTCTTTATTTATAGTCTACAATTAAGATTCAACAGTCATGTGACCACTGTGCTGGCTTCACTACACTGCTTCCTGTTGGGCCTCTCGGGTGGTCAAAGTCTCCTGGTTGATGACTCTCCCAGGTGATGGAACAGTCTACCTCTGAGCTGAGTTCTTTAACTCTCGTCATAAAAACAATGTTTTCTTCATTTTATTGATGCGTCTTGCCCTGATTTGTTCTTTGTTCTGATCTTAATATTTTGCAAACTTGGTGGTTGTGGTTCTCTTCTTTGTGGCTTGTACTTTACTCACTCTTGGGGATTTGGGGGCACTATTGGACACTACAATAAAATCAGGGAGTGTTCCTTTAAGTTATAAATCAAACATAAAAATGTGACTTGAATTACTTTGTTTTGCAGTAGGCAACCACACACATGATTCCAACGACTAGGAGTGCAATGCAGATTCCTGATATTGTTAAAATACGTTTCTGATACAGCTCCTCAGCTTCTGAAAAAGAGGACAGTCCACTCTTAGAACGTGGTCTACAACACACACAAACACACACAGACACACACATAGAGACCATTCCAATCATAAACCCAAACAATGAGAACTGGCTGTGTATGGAGGTTATTGCAGTTAATGCACCTTCGTATTAGAGGTTTACTACTGTTCATATGACTGACCCTGTGGAGACCCTCAGGCTCCCCTTTGGTCTGTGGTTACTTAGGCTGATTGTTTACCTCTGAGTGTGACCAAAGCATTAGCATGAGAGTTAAAGCGGTACTCCAGTGATTTAGTGTTGCACCTGCACAAAGTTTGAGAGGAATGGTCAAAGCTGAAGCAGCAGACACTGAGACATCCTGACTTTAGTCCCAAGTATGGGTCAAGCTCCAAAAACACTGGGTCCTACACTTCCCACAATACACTGAGTCTCTTCACAGTTGTTTCTTGCATTTCTTAGAAAAAATCAGTGGAGTGTCCCTTTAATATAATGATCTGATTACATGCTGCGACTGAGAGCCCAACCAATACATCACCCGGGTTAGGTTTACTGTATAACATGTGGGTACAGTGGTAGCAGTGTATTTGTCAGCCAGTGAGTCTCCTTCACATACACTGGTCACACTTCTTTAAAAACCAAATTCAGGTGGATCTTTATCAAAAAGGTTTAACTTGTGTATTTATGTTAAAAAGGAGAATCAGCTGATACACTGACCTCAGATATTTTCACTCCTTATTAATCCTGTATGGACAGGGCTCTCGTCAGCTATCAGAGAGAAATGGCTCTAACATGCACTTCACCAAATCCAGCTCTCTACTGTTTCTGTTCAGGGATGGTGCTGCAGTCGAGGAGGTGTCAGGTCTGACAGTGCTGCTTCTCTATGGGGAACAACCCTGCGGTAACTGAAGTGGGTCACGTCACTCAGAGAGGATATACTGTGGATATACCTGCCTGGGAAACATGTGCACTGATTTCTACACAGTATAATGTTAAACACTTCATTGTTTCTCTTCGCTTCTCTTTCTCTAGCATCGTCCTCCACTGTTCGTCAGAGCCTGAAACCTCTACCTACACATTTCACTGAGTCATGTTTTGTCTTTGCTCTGTTATTCACTCAGTTTATTTTCTGTGTCTTCATTCTCTCTGGGACGTCCTGCTCTCTGACTGTATTTCATACTGTGACACACACTATGCATAACTAAGCTTATTTCATAGTGCATATTTTTGAAATGAAACATCCAATAGTTAATGTGAGTTTCACTTAAACATCACAGTCTACCTGAATGATCTCAGACTCTTTATGGAGGAACAGAACCTGCAGTAACTGCATCATGTATTTATATGTTTAAATATGCTGCTTCTGCATGGCTCAGGGAAGGCTGATAACACACATGTTAGTACATTTAAGCAGATAAAAGATGACCCTGCCCTCAGCGTGATGAGAGGAGGCAGAAACTACAGAGCTGCTATAAGGAAGAAGGGATATGAGGAACAGCTGCAAACATACAGAACATCTGGAGGAGGTGGAGACAGGGAGGCAGGAGGTGGATGGAGAACATGATGCCGCTCTACTGTTTCATGCTGAACACTGGGTGCAACAGAAGATGCAGGGAGGGAGAGCTGAAGGGAGGTGAACATACAGCACCAGGTACGTACAGCCTCTGTGGCTTTCAGGGTGGACTCAGGTAAACTGGACTGTTTACCTGGATCTGAATGGTACATGTGACATTTGATGTTAACACAACCGCCCCACACACACAGAGACACACATACATACACATATATACATACTGTATATATTACATATGTCTGTAGAGGTTATTGTTTTGACTTCGAATGTCACATGTACCATTTCTAATCTAGCTACATATATATACAGTATATATATATATATATATATATGTATATATGTATATATGTAGCTAGATTAGTAGTATATGTGTATAATGGTCAGGGCTGTATGATCCCTTCATCTGAAGACGTAGGTTTAGTAGAGGGTTGTAGCTTACAGTCTTACATCTGCAAACTAAGAGGAAGGAACAGTCCATACCCATAAATTCAATCCCCAGATGTTCTGTCAGTGCAGAAGGTGACAAAAAAAGAAAATTGGATTTTACAGACGAGCTGGTATTTATATTTTTCACATGTGGTTTAAAGTGAAAGAGATTTTTCTCTATGGATTAAGGGTAAAAAATAATTATACACAAACTTATACACTGTCAATATACACAAGCCTAGACAGACCCTGTACAGTCAGTGAGCACTTTATTAGGAACAGCACACTAACACTAGGTAGCTCCTCAGTTCTTCATGTCATGGATCCACCAGATGTTGAAAATTTCCTCTTAGACTCTGCTCCATGTTGACATGATGCAGCACATCATTTGTGCTGATTTGTCAGCTGCTCATTCAATCTGCCAATCTCCTGTTCTACCACATCCCGAAGGTGTTCCACTGGGTTCAGGTCTGGAGACTGGGGGGGGGGGGGGGAGTGAACTGAAATGACTCACTGTTCATGTTTTGCCACTGCACACCGCTTGTACATTGAGCATGAATCCTGCTGGAAGGAAGCCATTAGAAGAAGAGTTGAACTGTTGCATGGGGAATGAAACATGGGTTCAAGCACAATACTCAGGACGCAGACGGCCGACTTCAGACCATGATGGATTGTGGCGAGAAGAAAACACTCCCCACACCATCACACGCCACCACCAGCCTGGGCCTGTTACACCAGCAGGGTCGGTCCATGGATTCCCCAGCACAGATCCACATCCATCAGACCAGGTCTTCAGTCCAGTGTTGTGAGTCTGTGCCACTGCACGCCTCAGGTCTCTGGTCCTTGGTGACAGGAAGTGGAACCTGACGCGGTCTCTGCTGTTGTAGGTAGGACGTGTTGTTCACTCTGAAGCTTCTCTGCTCACCACAGTTATACAGAGTGGTTATCTGAGTGACCATAGCCTTTCTGTCAGCTCAAACCAGTCCGTCCATTCTCCCTCTGACCTCTGACCTCTGACCTCTCTCAATCAACAACACACAGCTGCTGCTCACTGGGTGCTTTTGTTGCTTTAAAAACTGTAGAGACTGTTGTGTGTGAAAATCCAGGTGATCAGCAGTTTGAGAAACACTCAGACCAGCGTCTGACATCATCAACAAAGTCACTAAGATCACATTTTCCTCATTCTGATGTTTGATGTGAACATTAACTGAAGCTCCTCACCTGTACCAGCAGGAGTTTATACAGTGAACTGCTGATAAACAATGGATGATTGGATATCTACATGAATAAGCAAGTATACAAGTGTTCCTAGTAAAGTGCTCACTGAGTGTATACATATATTTATTTACATATACTTGAATAAACATTAAGTCTCATCTCAAACTGATCCTAAAGGTACAGGAAACAACTAACATCACCAGTTTACTTTGATTTCCAGAGACCATTTATATTGGATGCAAATAAAATCTTGCCATGTGGTGTAGGTTGCTATGGCAATACACATAGACATATATACATAAACACTGTACACATTGTAAATGTGATACAAGAATATCACAACTATTAACTGTAAGTTTTATCCATCATATACTGCACATAAAAGACACAAGCAGCTCCCTGTGTCACTGTGTTTGTGCAGCTCTGTTTCCAGACCACAGTGCTGATATTGGACCGATCTGTAAAACCCCACATTACATTCAATGATGTCTTTTTACATCCAGTGCCAGATTAGATTCTTGCATTCTCCAGTATTAGATGTTGTTTTCAGGTCTGTGATGGACACAGGCTCCAGTCTCCTACACAACATCGTCTGCACTGACCCTACACACTGACCGACCGGCTCTGAGGCAGAGAGAGGAGTCAACAAGCTGTTCAGTGTTACTGTACAACAAAGCTACAGACGCAACTGTGAAACATCACTGTGTCTACACTGTAGATAACAAACACACTGCTGTCACTTCCTTTTTTGGCTGGACTGCAACAGCAGGGACAGCCCTATAATAATACTGACTGACTGACTGACTGACTGACTGACTGACTGACTGATGATATTTCCACCACTGGTCAGCAGAGTGCCGAGCTGCAGTCTACTGAGCCACCCTAGTTTCCTGGCTGCTCTGGGACTGTGGGGAAGAGGAGGAGCACTTCCAATACACTGAGCCTCGCCTCCATTACAAACAACTTTGCTTCCATGTATCATTATTACTAAAGGAGTCAGAGGAATAACTAAATATAACACACACAGAGCAGAGAGAGCAGGAGAGAGGGAGGGAGAGAGAGAAGTCATCGGTAACGAGGCTTCGTACTAACGACTATGACCAACTCTACATCTCAAACAGAGGGAGTTCGACATGAAGACCTGCCTCTAATAAAAATCTGTTACATTCTGGAGTTTAAGTAAATAAAGATTAAACTATGGTGGATCCAGACGGAGGCTGTGCTCTGTGAGAGAGACTAAATAACAAAGATAGTCTGTCTCAGAGTATGTGCCATTTGGGCTTAGTCTTTGCCCAGGCCGGATTCAAGTCTGACCTGTGGCCCTTTGCTGTGTGTCATCCTCTCTCTCTCTCTCTCTCTCTCTCTCTGTGTCATCCTCTCTCTCTCTCTCTCTCTCTCTCTCTCTCTCTCTCTCGCTCTATGACTGAAATAAAGGAAAAAGCCTGGAAAAAATAACTTTAAATAAGAAAGATATTGTGTCTCTTCTAAGTTTCTCTTTGAGTGATCATGTGACAATAAATACAGTCGAAATCACAGCTCAGTCTTTGTGTTTAATTAATGTGTTTAGTGATTTTATGTATGACTGTATGACGTCACAGTTATAAAATCAGGATTTGACCATAGGCAATCCAGACATGTTCTAGTTTTTGAACTAGTCTTGTTACTTTGAAAACCTCACTCATTACCAGACTTTACAACAGTCCAACAACAGAGCTCCTGTTTGTTCTGTAAGACTGTGTCTGTTTAAAACCAGCATCAAACAGGAAGTAAAAAAACACAGCAAAAATGAACATTTACAAATTCACACTCCAAGTTTCCTGTACCTTTAAAATACTAATGAAACCATGTTTTCCTATCACAACACCAGCGCAGTGTTTACTGTGATGAAACACCTAAACTGATCTGAATACAGTTAATGGCAGTGATTTGGTTTGATACATGCACCGAAACCAGTGTGATTGTATTTAGACTGAGCTGAGCAGTCGTTAGTGGGGGGGGGGGGCACGCTCAACAGCCAACACTGTAAATCAAACATGCTATGATCATCATGCACCATTTCAAACACATACTTCAGCCTTACTGTTATTATATAACTATTTTCAGCTTACAACAACATTCAGTATAACACTGGGATAGGAACATGTGCAGAGTATTGAACAGTCGTCACTCTGGACTGTGGACAGTGCTGCTGCTCTGATCTCCATCACACTCACATCAGGTTTGTTCACAGTGACACTTTCCCTCAGCAGAAACATGCAGATGTGAAGACAACCTGGTGGTTGTGTAAATGCTGGTGGAGTGGTATGGCGTTGTTATAGGAGGCAGGGGGAGATGGCTGACAACAGAAACTGTTGTTCACGTCTCTTACCAACAGTCACTGTTGGTTTCCATTAATGATGAACCTTAACATAGTTTTTTAAACCCTAACCAGGATCAACAAGTTGTTTTGGTGCCTCAACATAAACCCATCATGACAGCAGCTGTATATTATAACAGTGAAGGGTTGTTTGGAAGGCAATGACACACAACTTGTCTTGTTCAGTTTGGAGGATTTCTTGCTTCACACACCTGGATAAGCTCCTAGACCACTTCCTAGAGGGGACAGAATCTTCTGATGTCTCAGTGCAGGTGTGACTTCCCTTTAAGGAACACAAGCTCAGGTTTAGATCTCTGCAGGAGGGAGTCTCTGTGGCTGAGGTCACACAGTGTTGCATCTTGGTACCTTATCCTTGTCACCTATTTTAAAACTCAACACCATCTTCTAAGGTTTAAGGTTTTTAACTTCTTTTGATTTGACTGAATCCAGAAACTTTGGCGTCTGATCCAACGAACCTTTTTGAAGCATCCAGCCCTGATGATGTCATTGCCTCCTTTCACTAGTCTACTCAGAGGTTTGTTCACCATTCGCTTATTTTGTTACACAGTCGCCTGACAGCAGCTACAGCACCTCCTGTTCCAGTTACAAACCAACAACTACTGGGCAGGAGGGAATTCATCCACCTCACTGCCTCGGTCCGGAATCAGGTCCAGAGGAGCTTCACCATGAGGACCTAGTTCACATGGGCATGTAACCCCAACCCTGGATCCGGTCCTGTCAGACAAAATCAGACACACCACAACCAAAAAACACTGCTCTGCTCTTCTTCTATAATTCAGCTAATAGTCTTGTTGGAGAGATTCCAGCCGACCACACAAAATGGTGGCTCCTCACTTTGTAGAGCTGACTCAGCTGACTCAGCTGACTGTGCTGCCCCCTGACTCAGCTCAGACACTGACCTGGAGTGCCTTCTTGGCTCACTCTGCTCCACAGAGGCTTGTTACGTTCCACTCCGCTTGAACACATCAAAGCTGGAGGAGCAGTGAAGTTTAGTGCTGTCACTTCCTCAGGTAGATCTCATCTGGTTGTGGAGATGGATGGACAGTAAGGTCATCCACCCTCTGCAGCCTCTCAGATACTGATATTTGCACTATCAGGATTTAGTCTTGAGAAGGAGACCTGAACAATATCTCTTCCTCAATAACCAGAATGACCGACCTCAGCTGTTACAACTACAGCATCTTCTGATGCAGCTGAAAATCCGTACAGTTCGGTCATCTCCTCACTGAGACGTGGAACAGAGGGAACGTGTATGTGGACAGAGACAGAGACTCAAGGGCACAGTGAAACTATAACATGAAAAATACAACTAAAGTAAAATGTTAGTGTGTGGTTCATGACAGGACACGTGTCGAAGGGATTTCCAGAAGAGTCTCATTTCCTTGTTACAGTTACTGAAGAAAATGACACGCCTCATGACTGAGAGATGCTAATTAACCAGAGTATGTGCTAATGCACCAAACACCGGCTGCGGAAAAGGGTCAAGAGGTCAAGCAGCTAGCTGCCTGTTATGGATGTTACACACCTTGTAGCTATTCTTGTTATTCTTAGTCAAGTAGCTGCTAGAACTGGAACAGCTGTGTCACCTTCAGGTGCAGTGGTTCTCTTTTCATAGCGAGTGTTTGATGTTTTATATTTACTGTGAAGCCTGTACCTCTGTTCATCAGATTGTCTCACTGTCTTACTGGCGAATTACAACAATTTCAGTTTCACCTGTGCTGTCAGAGTTTTAACATGACCTGAGTGTAGCAGCTTTTCAGATAAATCACAGCTGAACTCTCAGAAACTGTTAATGAGGGTTGGGTCAGGGTCAGGAGACAGGTGATACTGTCTGCCACTAACTGCTGAGGAAAGAACTCAACAGCATCACAGAATAGTAACAGAACTGGTTTTTATCATGTGTAGTTAATGTTGCACGTATATTTTCTTTTTCTTTTTCTGTCTCCTTAAAATCTATGTGTATGTGTGTGTGTGTGTATGGCAGACACTAGCATGTCTACGCCTGCAGCTCTAAACAGCTGCTACAGGGTTGGGGCAGGCTGCAGCTCTACAGGTTGATATTATTGATAATTCTGATAATATTGATTATTGCCTGGTTTAAACCTCTGTGAATTGACTCTTTGTCCTTATCTTATTAATGGCGTATGTATATTTCTCTGTTCAGTAAAGGTTTTTGACATTGATGGGAAAAAGTTAATAACTGATATAAAACAGTTGGATCAGTGCTGTTTGCCTGATGATCACAACGCATGACTCCTGCTGGCAGCTGGTGTATTGGCCAATCGTTTGAGACCTAACAGAGGGTGTGGCACGCTCTAAATCAGTGGTTCCCAACCTGTGGGCCGGGGCCCACTGGTTGGATGCGAGGGCATTGCAATCTTTTTCTTCTTTTTCAAAACAGAACAGATTTGGTGAAGAGAAGACGTGATCATAAAAGTATCTATATATAAATAACTTCAATGTTGTCACTGCCGGACCACATCATATACTAGTTTGCTATCTCAGTCTGATTGTGTGCTAACAGATTACATCCATGACAAAAACTGGAGAGTCAGAATGCCTAGCTGATTAGAAACAGGAAGAATTAACAGGAAAGAGAGACAAGAGACAGAGGGTGAAGCAAAGTGATCACAACCCCCATCAAACACAAAAGAAACATTGATCTTCCCCTGCTTTTAGTTCACTCCTGAATAAAAACTGTGCTGAGAAGGCACTTTTTGACCTCCATATTGTTATGGGGTTGGATGTGAGCCATCAACATTTTTTCAAGTGGGTCATGAGTTGCTGAAGGTTGGAAACTGCTGGTCTAAATCAATTTCTTTGACAGTTTTGAAGCATGTTGTTGACTGGCAGGTTTATACAGACTGAAGCATAAAATAAGTCTGAGCACACACAGTAAGGATTGGAGCACTGACAATTTGCAAATCTTCCAGTTTAAAAATGTAAATGTTCAAACTTAGATAAAAGTTGCGTAACTTCTACAGCAGCACATGCAGCATCAACATCCAAAATAAAATGAACACAGAGACACAGAGTTCAACATGCAGGGAGGTTCTGGGCTGCACAAACCACAGATCTAAGGAGGAACAACGAAACAGGAGCACGGCACAGGAAGTGTTAATTGAGCATGCTCAGACAGAGCCATAGACTGAAAAGGAAGTAGACATACTGTAAAAGCTGGCCATTACATAGTTTTGGCAGCGATCACCAGTAAATTCATTTGGACACCTGGTTAGGAAATAAAAGAGACAGAGAAGAAGAGAGGAGTTAATTTATACAGGAGCTGAGCAGAACCCACGACAGTCACCACTGGTGTTGGCAGGAAGGGCCAGCTGGACCTACAAGTCCAGGTCCTGTCTGTAAGGCTGGGTCCTGTTAGTCACCTCAGACCTTCACACACAGGTGAATCATCATCTCCAGGTGAGGGAGATGATGTGAGAGACACGAGCCTCCATCAGGCTCTGAGGTTGGAACAGTGTCTTGGCAGCAGACTGAAATTTGCATGTATGTAAGTAGCCACTCAGGGTAAGCCTCGTGTTTGGATGTAATATAATCCTCTATAAGGGAAGTCAGGATCCCACCTAAAGGCAACAAAGGCCCAGATGCGTGCCAGTTAAAAAGAGCACTGAGGGCTACAGAGATGGCTCACTCAGCCCTGAAGTGGCAGCAGCCCAACCACCAGTGATCCCTGGGTCTCCTGCATGTAGACATGTCTTTACTGACTGAAAAACATCAAGATCATCGCTGCTTCACCAACCACACAGCGGTCAGTCCAGCACCGGACCAGTGGAGAAGTCTGGATGCAGAGAACACCCATCGTCTGAGTGTTTTCTGGGGATGGTGGTGAGGCTGAATGGGAGCAGCAGGAGGTCGTCTGTCTTACCTCCAGACAGGACACACCTTCACCTGAGGTGGAGGCGTGCGCCTCACTGCTCTGAACAGAATGATGGGGTGTGATGAGATGTGACGTACATGCAAATTTCAGTGCACTACTCCTCCTGTGCTCATTCAGGGGCTCAGGATTTATCACTGTCTGTAAAGGAAACATGGATTTCTCCTCCGTCTCTGGGAGAAAACATGAGAGGGTGAAACACCAGCAATGACATGTGGGACTGATACAGTTGTGTTCACATACGTTTTGGGTCTGAGACTTTCTTAAGCACAGCTTGTTCACATCGGTGCCCAGTGTATCCCGCCAAGCACCTGGTTGAGTGGGTAGAGAGGACAAGAGATAAACAGCACTGACATGTTACACACAACACATGAACACACATGGACAAACACAAAGACATCCAGTGTACAGTCACAACACATGGCAGGATCCAGGATACAACCCTGTCACCAAACAACTGAGCTGATGAGACCGTCCTGTAAAAAACAAGTCCATGGGTTGTCTGTGCAGCAGGTTATTATGACCCATAGTTACGTTTTGTTGCTAGGCGACATCTAGTGGTGGTAGTAATGATGACAGGAGCAAAGGGAAATGTGCGGTGACGTAGTTTAAAGAGAGACAAAGTCCCCGTCAGGAGGAAGTTGTGGTGGATGGATGAATGTGACACAGGAGAGCGGTGTTCCATTCCCATGAGAAACTAGCTGATCATGCTGTTTCTATTATCCATGACTGTTCTGCAAAGTTAACCACGTTGTTATTATTGTAACCAATGTTGAGGAAGTACTTATTTTAACCCAAATCATCTTTTCCTAAACCTAACCAAGCCATGACCAGTATTATATTTACCATGGCGACGGGGGTAGGTCCATGTGTTTATTATTGTAACCATGACAACCAAGGTCTGGAACGCCTGCTGCCGTAGGGGCTTTATTTCAGGAGACACTATGGGTCGTATCAGAGGGTTGAAAGAAATGACCTGTGTGGTTGTTCAGGTTGGAGGAGTTGTTCTTTCACATTCTCGTGAGTTTACTGGAAATGGAGAATGGGTGCTGGGAATGGGTGCTGGGATTGGGTGGTAATGGGTGCTTTTGCCCAGAGTCGTTCTCTGAGGTTTACACCTCCATTCAGGGGGTGGACATCTGTGGTGGTCCTCATGGTTTCTGGCAAAAGTGCTGTTACTGTTGGGGCCAGAACCCATTATCCAGACCTCAGACTTCCAGTAAAGGCTGCTTTCTGTGGCCTTGAGCCCAGGACAGGGAAGGCTAGGTTCAGGAGATCAGGTCTTCCATCAGAGGAACAGAGCAGTATTCAGAGCAGCAGAGTCCAGCTTTGTCAGCGGGCTGAACATTAGCTGTGAACACTTTGTTCTATCCTGACAGTTTCGTGAGAGCAGAGTTTTTGCTCATTTAAGGCTTCCTGCTGGGGGTCAGGTGACAGCAGCCTGTGGTGTTCAGAGCTCAGATCACCTTCAAACTGCTATACAGCTACCCTTAACTTAAACCCTCTCCATCGACGGTTCTGTCTAAAGTCAGAGACAGTTTGTTTGGATCCAGAGTTGTTTCCATTTCCTGACAGAGATGAGGTGCTTCAACATCTCTTTACATCACAGACTTCAGACAGGTTTGCAGCTGCTGTTTTACAGAGGAATCCAAACACCAGCTTCCTCATGCGTTCTGCTTTCACAGAGTTTATGTGTCAGTGGGTCAGGTCTCAAGAGGATTAACTTCCTCTGCTCCTCAGCTCTCTCCTAAAAAAAACTGCAGTGCCACACACTTGCTTGGTGACCTCGTGCCCATTTTTACCTCGCATGATGCTCCTGAGATTTTGTTTGAGTCAACGAGCCTCAGCCTCTCATACCAACAGAGTTTAGTTTTATATGGCATCTGTTAACTGTGCAGGAGGACTGATTTAGGATAACTCATCACAAATTTCAACAAGAGTCCTCCTTTAAAGTTACTCCTGCATGTGGCCTGATTATTTGATCAGTGGTGATCAGCTGTGAGACTTTCACACACAAACACTCACACAGAGCATGGCTGTGCGCACCACACATATGTTTGGTCTCTGAACAGCCTGTTCCAATTGGAAGCTGATTGGAGGTTAATAAGCACCAAAGCGCCTCAGAGAGATGGTTCCCTGTGCTTTGTATGAATTATTACAGCAGCTAACACTCTTTCACTGGTTTAAACAACAAGCACAATGGAGGATTATATCAGCTGTAACTCACACGACTCCCAGCTGTTGTGTGGTTGATGTGCTCTCTGTAGTTTCGGAGACCTTTGACTAATGGTATATGTCAGTGTGCCAGTCACTGGGTAAAGCCACTAAACAGCAGTTGCAGACCTATAGTTAGTCTGTACATATGTCTCATAGAAGGTGATGTATTCTGTATGTGTAAGAGTTACTGTTCTGTTGAGGACAGTTTCATTCAGCTCCATGGATGCATGTCATAGTTCACAAGTCATTTCATTAACAGTCAAAGTATAGAAAAACACAAGCAGTGACATTCATGTTCAGTCTGAATCAAGGTCAAACCTTCTGTCCATGTCCTACCTGCAGAGAAACTTTGTGCTGCCTGGCATGATTTCAAGGGTGAAGCACTCTCCTCCATTAACACAGTAGTTCTTCTGGCTGTCACTGCAGCGTGTCACATGACTGGAGGTCTTGGCTGTACTGGTGGTGCTGGTGGCAGCTGCAGAGGACGGTCATAATTAGTGCAGCAAGAAAACAGTACAGACACATAATGTAGGTTACACCGAGCTCAGCTATGTCTGCATGGTCGTTGAGTGTGGATGAAACATCCCATGGTTTCAATCCTATTTAAAGGACTACTCCAAACAGAAAACATCCATTCACTACAACACTCTCCATTCATATGATCAGTGTGTCCCAAACACTACTAACATAATATGTGAGCCAGTGAACGACTTAACACACTCCTCACTGGAACGAGCCTTTTTGGGCTGGATCGCCACAGCAGGGCCAGCCCCTGAGTTAGTGAGTGAGTGAGTGAGTGAGTGAGTGAGTGAGTGAGTGAGTGACTGAGTGTGCGAGTGACTGAGTGACCGACCAAGAGAGTGAGTGACTGAGTGACTGAGTGACTGAGTGTGCAAGTGACCGACCAAGTGAGTGAGTGAGTGAGCGAGTAACTTGTGTGAGTGAGTGAGTGAGTGAGTGAGTGAGTGAGTGAGTGAGTGAGTGAGTGACTGACTGACTGACTGACTGACTGACTGACTGACTGACTGACTGATGAAGTTACACCATTGAGTGTTGGATACTCTCAGCTCTGGTGTCAGGTGAGAGCTACCTGCCTGTCACAGGAACATGAACAGCTAAAGAGAAACTACTGGTGTTAAACGGAGTAACACCAGCTGACATCACTGTCTGCAGCCCAGCAGGAGAGCTGCTGCAGGATTTCATTACTGAGCTGTGACCGAGTGTCAACTTTATGTCTACATGAAAAACAAGGAAAGAGGAGTCGAATCTTCAGTTTCACAGTCAAACCAACCAGGTTTTTACCTAGTCTTCTTTCATGAGCAGCTGGAAGCTGTATATTTATTCATGCTTTGGTGAAAACAGTATTTGGAACATGAGTGTACAGTGTGCTAGTGGGCAGAGAACTTTCTAAGGACTATTGGAAACTTTTCGTGGTAAGATAAACCAGGTCCTCATTGTGGGTGTCTGCTCTACTGTTGTAGCCTGACTACAGCTGCCATCCTCCACAAAGAAGCAGGCTACAGACCTTTCAAAGCCATCTCTCAAATCTACAAGCAGCAAGTATTTCATCATCAAAACATGTTTTTTTTTTAAATCACATTCTACTTTTACACAAGGACAAAATTCTGGTATAAAATCTGTATTTTTAAAAGATGGAGATGTCATCAGAAGATATTGTCCCTACAGTGAAACAGATTTTTAACAGTTACAGTGTGACACCCTGAAAGACAGAAAGAGTCACAGTCAAACATCTCCACAGAAAACAAAGTGATGAGTCATGTGATATGTGGAAGAGCATCTTCTCCATCTGACTCATCTCAGCATCACTGAGTGAAAATAGATAGATAGATAGATAGATAGATAGATAGATAGATAGATAGATAGATAGATAGATAGATAGATAGATAGATAGATAGATAGATAGATAGATAGATAGATAGTCAGACAGACAGGTAGACAGGTAGACAGGTAGACAGACAGACGGACAGACAGACAGACAAGTAGACAGACAGACTGACAGACAGGTAAATAGACAGACAGACAGACAGACAGACAGACAGACAGACAGACAGACAGACAGGTAGACAGATATGCAGACAGGTAGATAGACAGACAGACAGATGGCTGCTCTCTGAGGTAGAAAAGTGTTCTTGCTTTCCTGAATGCAGATGATCAGAGAGCATCTATTCTTAAAAGAACAGAGGAAGTACGCCTCAGGCCTCAGTGGGTGGGTGGGTGCAGTGAATACAACACTGCCAACATGTACGTAGTGCCATTATCTGAACATTACACAGCACTTTTCAGCACTGCAACAAACAGCTAGCTCACATTACTGTCCCTGAGAACACAATGAATGAGATATGACCAGACATGATGCAGCAGAGCAGAGATGTCAGTGAGGCTGCGAGACAATGAAGAGCTGCTCTCCATTCATGTCTTTATTGAACATGAACTCTTAATGTTTCATAAATATCGCTCCATGCAGTGGTGTGTGTCTGCGGTGCAGGGCTTCAGTTACTCTGCCCGTGTTCATCCTCATCATGCCTGATGGAGTGCAGTGATGGGGAGGGGGGGGGGGAGATTTCCCTGCTTGGTTTTGCTGGTAGATCAGAAACATTAAACCAGAGAGCAGTGACGGTGCTGGAGCTTCGCCAACAGGCGGCTTCACTCCTCTGCTGTTCAGGCTCTTTGGGCAGAGCTGGCCTCGTGCTTGCAGAGCAGCCGCTCTGCTGCAGTGGATGGTGTTTCTATCAGGTGCTGTCAAGGACAAACCAAGATGCACTGCAGCAGCAGAACCCTCCCTCTGCATGATTAACTGGGGTCACAGCAGTCACTTCTGTCAAGGTGAAACAATCATCTAAACACTGCAAGTAAAATCATTCTGCTGTCCATCCAACACACCGATGACACACTGACTGATTCAAGTTTGGGACTTTGAAAATGTTTTCGGCATCTGTCAGAGCTTGGTTTACAGTTCTGCTATAGTTCAAAAAACATTTAGAAAAATCTACTGTCAGTAACAAAAAAAAACAAACAAGATAAGAAAAGAAATTCTGCCCCTGCAGACACACACATGCACCGACTGATCCATTTCAGTATTTGAGGTATTTTAAAAACAGCATGATGCTGCATGTTGGAGAGGCAGGACTGAGCAACTAGAGGCATTACAAACCCCAAATAAATGATCCATACACACAACAAGGTGGTCTGTGCTACAAAACTGCTGAACAATTAAAAGCACAAGGCAACTCTTTGGGCTGGAGTTAACTAATTGTATATATTTTGATTTTATCAGCATGACCACCTTTACAGTGTTTCATTACAGCAGTCCTCTGTGCTTATTGTCGCCTTAGTCATTCTCTCACTGACCTTGTCATTGCTCCTTTTCTTTACATTTCATTTAACTGTGAGACAATGTTTTTGCTGCACCAGTTTCATGATAAACACATGTTAATGTGAAGGCAGTCACAGGCCTGAGTTATGAAACTACAAGAAGTACTGACCTCTGTCAAGGTTAATAATGAAGAAATGTTGTGTGACTCTGTTGAATGAATCTAAAATAGATTCTCACATTTTAACATTTTGTTTTATCGTCACTTTAAAACAAAAATAATTCTATTAAATCTTCAAAAATAGCACAAAAGGGAGAGCGGGTCAGAAAACAACAAGGAGTGATAATGAATCAACAATTCACAATTTGTCAGAATTCAGATTTGGAGTTGTGCTCAGCTGAAATGGTTGAATGAAGAGGAGCAGCAGCTCCTGAGGACATACAGAGGACAGAGTGTCCGCAGAGTGGACTCCAGCAGCTCAGAGCTGTAACACTGACCCTACATTAGACCAGTGGAGCTCAGACAGAGGAGAGAAGCCTGGAAAGGTAAAATCCTGTCACAGGACATTTAACACAAGAAGGTTTTGTGGAGAACCTGTTTCTGAGTCTTTCTGACTTCGCCCCAGGTACACAGTAACTGTAGCTCTGACATTTGGCTCCTTTGTGATGTCACATTGTTAAAACATCTATCAGTTAAACTTTGATGTGATTCTATCATCTTTTAAATGTTCAATGGTAAATCTAAGATAATCTTTTACTCTTCACAGTGTGACACAGTTTGAGTGTTTGAAAATGGCTTCCTGTTGACTCATCCTCCTGTGCCTTAACTGTACTGTGTCATGTTCTCCTCCCGCAGCACACCTCCTCAGTTTTCACACTGCAAAGATAATGGCCCTCTCAACACAATCTGTGTTTCAGTCACATTAAACAGTAAGATGTCTCCATTGCAATTGATCAAGGTCAAGATAATGACATGGCCACACCAAGCATCAACCTCTGAGGCTGAAACATGAAGCCAACACTGAAGAGCCAGAAGCTGCAGTTCCTCTAATGTCCACTAGAGTCTGGCTCCAACAGTGAGTCAGTCCCCATAGACTCCCATGTTAAAATGTCCAACTTTACAGCAGAAATAAACATGTTTACAGCCTGGTACAAAAACTGTTTTAGTCTCTACTTTTGGATTGGCCGGGAGTTCGGTGGAGTTTGAACATTTGAGCTAACGCTGTATCTCGCTCTCATTCGCGTGTCTAGCCTTGTACATTTGTATATGCTATAATTGGTGAATCCAAGTTTTTGAGGGTTAATACCTTGAAAACGGTCAGTCTCAGATGTTTGTATTATTGTAATCTGGATAACTTTCCCCCCAGATGAACAAAGTGGCCAGATTTATTACTAGTCTGTCTCGTTACATGAACAAACAGGGTTAGCCTACAAATTAGCAATCTGTTGGTTTGCATGAGGGTTGACTCAAGGGGTCAAATTCCCAGCCTAAATTATTGTTTCAATCTGGACATGTCCAACCACTTCAGTTGTGAGGTCTCTACTTATTGGCCAGGAGGGAACAACAGCAAAACTCAGTGGAATCCTTTCACCTGATGTATTTGGGACATAAATGATCTGACCTATGACTACTCATTGGTCATTACTACATTATTACTACATTATTACATGAGTGCTCAGTAGTTATTACTACATTATTACATGACTATTCAGTAGTCATTACTATATAACTACATGAGTACTTAGTAGTCATTATTACATTATTAGATGAGTGCTCAGTAGTCATTACTACATTACTACTATATAATTACATGAGCGCTCAGTAGTCATTACTATATTATTACTACATTATTAAGACATTATTACTACATTATTACATGAGTGCTCAGTTGTCATTACTACTATATTATTACATGAGCGCTCAGTAGTCATTACTATATTATTACTACATTATTAAGACATTATTACTACATTATTACATGACTACTCAGTAGTCATTACTACATATAACAAGATCGTACAGTAGTCATTACTATATTATTACTACATTATTACATGAGTAACTTAGTAGCCTTTACTACATTATTGCAGGAGCGCTCAGTAGTCATTGCTACATTATTACTATATTTTGACATGAGTACTCAGTTGTCATTACTACATTATAACTACATGACACCATGCACACTGAGACCAATGTTTTGTTTTTGTGTTTGTCAAACCTCTCACTTCTGAGGAGGAAATAGTGTTTCCAGTAGGAGAATGCAACATGCTGACTTTGGAGCTGGAGCTGCAGATTTACTAGGTCTCCTGTGCAGTACATTAGGATGCACTAAAGTACTGTGCTGATAAATTATAGATTCGTCTTAAATTACTAAAAATGCTGAATGCATAGAATATAAAAGGAACTGTTTCTGCAGTTTAGCTGCACACACACACACACACACACACACATACACAAAGCACATGGCTTTGATGAAACATCCTCTTTGAAAAGCTAGTGTCCATCCTACAGATGAAGTTCATTCATAAATACAGTTCATGTACTAAGCTGACCTGTCCATGTTTGACCGAGGACCAGAACAACGCAGCACCTTAGTGTAGGTACAGTCTATTCCCAGGAAACAATGTAGGTGTATATAAAAAGCTAACACTTGCAGTTTGTTCTTCAGAATTGAAATATCCTGTTGCTGATCGCCATTGAGATAATTAAAACCAATTTGCATCATATTCATTAATAAGTAAATGCTAATTAAATTTAAAAAAACTTTACGCAGCTACAGAAAATTTCTACCCATAGATTATGAGTTTTAGATTTACTAGGATGTGTTTTAAATGGTATTGTCACAACAAAGTGCCTTTTTTATGGTGAAATATTGGACTATTTGGCCTCTTTGGGCCTTGAAAAATATTTTTAATGAAGTTCACAGAGGAAATTCCTCTTTTGTAGAACTGATAACGACATCTGAAACGTGACGACGAGCCCCAGGTTCTTCATGTTGTGACAAGTAAAAAAGGTTTAAAACACTGATTTAATCTTTAGAAATGTATATCATTTTATGGCAACATAGACAGATGAAAGAAAAAGAACAAAAGAGTAAAAGTAAAATTAATCCTATTGTGAATAGGATAAACTTCTGTTCTTTCACTTTGTGTCAACCCTGGATGAGCATGTCATGAAATTATAAAATGTAAATTTAGATTTAATAAGTGAGGTACACTGGTTTTCTGCTTTTCAAAAAACAAAAAAACAAAACTGAGAAACTGCATGCTGAAAGGTAGCGGGGGGAGAAGAGACCAGCTCCTGGTAAAAATGTATCATTTATCTCATTTAGCTCAGGTTTGTTTGAGACTGGTGTCAGCAGTTACTGTATTTTCTTGCCTCTTCTAACCAACTATCATTATAGCTCATGCTGTAATTACATCACACCTGCATGTCTCTGGGCTGTGAGGTAACCAGATGAAGTCCGTGCAGATAGAGGGGGATCGTACAAACCCAGATTCAAATCCAGGACCAGAACTAACTTGTATCAGAGACTGTTGTTTATCATGTTGGAGTTGAGTAACAGCCATATGTTTGCATGTTAGCCAATTTCTACTTATCACAGATATGTCAGTATTGTTCGCCAATATCTGTCAAGAAGTTAAACTGTCAACGTTGAGGTCATTTAGAAGCGGCGTCTTCAGTACATAGTTTGTCCACTGGGTCCGTCCAGATCCTGTTCACGATTCTTTCAGAACTAAATTCAAAAATCTTTACAATAAAAGTGTGTTTGTGTTAATTGGCCATTATGCTGTTATCACATTTAAACTGTGAAACATCCCTATTGGCCTAAACAGCCTACTGATACTGTTAAGTATAGTCTACTAATGTGCACAGTGAATTATTTAGTGTACAGAAAATGAACATGTAGTAGAGTTTCATGCACCTAAGCTGCAGCTTTCCAATTGAGCTTCATAGATCTGAGTAAAAATATTTTTTGCAAGGATTTATTACTTTATTTTTGAGTTACATGTTTGGTTTTTTATACTTTTTATCACTTTTTTTTTATCAGCTGTGTGTTTCAATTATTTCATTATGCAGTGTGGTGTGGGCCAACAGTCATCACCATACTCGTAAAATAGATTTAACTTTTTATGACTGTTCAATAAAACACCACCACTGACAGCAAATCCTACCATAGGTCTTCCAACAAACAGCAACAGTCATTCAATTTTAAGACTAACACTTCCATCATTCATTGTGCCATCTGTGTGCCTGACTACTTCATCATCACACCAGCTGTTCTTCAGCTGGAAGAGTGAAGAGAATCTTAACCATCCTCATCTCATTGATGCTACATATCCATAGAAGCATTCGTAACCCGACTATTTGAAAAGATGAATTTAATTTTAGAAGGTAGTAGTGTTTGCAGAATTATGGTGGACGGCGGAGGATCACACAGACGGTTAGGGAGGAGGTCTATGGACAGGTGTAATCTCAGGACCTGCCAGGAGTTATATATATTGCAGATGCATGACTGACTGGTCAGCTACTGAGGCTATTACTCTGCTTCAAATCTGATCGGCTGCTGCATAAATCATCAATGAATCATCAATAATCTGCCTCTGCATGAATCATCAATGCTGAATTCATTTTAAGAGTTATTTTCATTTGCATGGCCTGAATTCCACTGACTAAAGTGATGAATGCAACACCATGTGAAAACAAACAGCTTACGTTAGCTAAGCAGAAACTGCACATCAGTCACATTGCAGTCTAGCAATCATAGGATGTAGCAGTCTAATGGTAGGGTGACATGTTGAATATAATAACAGGTTGGTAACCTGTAGTTCAGTGAGGAGGGACAGAGCTTTGATGAGTATCAAGTTCTTGCATCCACTCAATGTCCAGATTGGGGCAACCTAACTAAGTGAGTGGATATGGGACAAATTTTTAAAGTCCTTATGGGACATGGAACTAAGCTTAATATGTCATTTGTTTCTGGTCAATTGATCTTTCATCCATTGTAGCTAAAATCCAACCAGTTTAACTATTGCAATTTCAATCAGCTTGCCAGTGTAATGTTGTGTTCCATTTACCTTGGAAGTTGGATGTCAGAGTTGGGAATGATGTCACATCTGAGTTGATTGATTGCAGTACAACAAGTGGGAAGCTTGTTATTGTTGTTGCTTGCTTGTTGTTTTTATTGTTAGCAATACCAGTTGATAACAGCGCATTACTCCATATTTTGCACATACAAACACAGTAGCAATAGTTGTTGCAATTACTCATGTAATAACTATTAAGCACTCATGTAATAAAGTAGCAATGACTACTGAGTACTCATGTAATAAAGTAGCAATGACTACTGAGTACTCATGTAATTATGAAGCAATGACTCTTTTTCTCGGTCTCTCACCAGTTGTGTCATTAAGACATAACATAGACTATAGTTTCTGCAATGCCTTAAACAATATAGGATGTCCAGAAAACCCCTGGTGCATCCTTATTGGAGGCACACTGGTGGTTTAGCAGTGTGTCTGAACACGTCCATAAACTATTAAGGAGGAGAAAACTGCCTCTAAAATCATAGCAACACCACTGCCACAGATTGAGGTCATCTACATCTCCTGCTGCAGTAAGACGCTCCTAAGTATTATGGGGGGCACCAGCAACCCACCACACGGTCTGTTCACACTCCTTCCCTCTGGAAAAGAGCCATAGAGGATCAGAGCTGAGACAAACCTCAAAGACAGGTTTTATCCCCAGGGGGTCAGACAACTGAACAAAATGCACCTTACATGACTCCGGGATGAGCATATTGTGGGATTAGTTATTGTTCATTGTTGTGTTTTTTCTCATGTTATTATATGTAGTTTTAATGGCTGAGAGCCAGGGCAGATGTGTTTCATTTGAAAGTAGCTGCACTTTTTAAATGTTTATAACAATAAAACTTGAAACTTGTTTGGTGAATCTGTCTTGAAACAGTCACACAAACAGACCTCACACAACAAACGATCAGGAGGATCATCTGGTCTATTGATCCCTCACTGGCTTCCCACCAGCACAGCCGGGTGGGGAATTAAATACTAGCAGTTAGTTACAGGCAGTTAACTACGCAGAGATCAACTCTCTGCTGATTAAGTGAAGCTAATCCCTCACTGAGGCACTGGTTGGAACCTGACCCCCTCCACCCACACCATCACCTTCAATTAGCTAACCTAGATTCAGTGTAATAAATCACACAGTGATGTGACTACATCAGGAACGTCATGGTGGCGAGCCACTGGCAGACAGACAGTATTAGTGGTTGTTTTTCCCTGCGGCAGAGGAATGGAGGGGGCATCAATTAGCCTCCAGCAGGCTCTGACCTTGAAATGGAGCACAGGCAGAAAACAGGAAGTCTCCCTGTACCACAGCCTGGAGTTTCAGTTTGTGTCATGCATCATTTATTGATTTTCACTTTTTCATTCAACTGACAATGTGCAGCCACACATTTTAGGGACCTTCCATATCGTACGCTGTCTACCTTCCAAATAACACCATCACAACATCCATCACTGTTGTGTGTATAAATTATTGTGGTATAAATTAAGGGATGGTTAATACTTAATGAGGAAGGAATGGATGTTAGAGATTACACATCCACTCACTGTGGGCATGAAGCAGTTTGGATAGAACTGCTGTTTCCTGCACACCTATCTATGGAGCAACATTTCAGAGGCTTGGTCATGGGCCTTTGTGCTGCACTCTGCAAGTCTCAACGTGCCTGCTTTCAGGCAAAGAGTCTGAAAGCAGATACTTCCTGGCTCAGCTGAAAGAAAGCTGCATTTACAAAATCAATGGTAAGACAGAAAAAAATAAAACATTTGCATACGTAGTTTGTCTTTACGCTGATGAAAATAAGTCCAAGGTTACTCAGGACTCCAGCCTGCATCCCTGCCCATCACTACATCCATACACACTGCGTTCACCGAACATGTGCTGGGTACTTACAGATCGTGGGGATGATGATGTCGTTGGATTCCTCTGTTGACTGAGGGTGGGGAGTCTGCTTTGAGATGGTGGGACGCTCTGCGTTGTATTGGAGTGTAAAAGAGGAATCAGACTGAGTCACTCGTGGCGTCTGGGGCACGTACGGCCCTCGTGTAGATTTCTCTTCCACTACAACCTCGGGACGTCCTGGGGTAATGGCGATGGCGGTGGTTAGGGAGACAGTAGACTTAGATGAATGAGGAATCGACACAGTTAGTCCCAGCGTGGGGTCAACTGATATTATAATTGGGTCCTGTCCAATGGGTTTAGGATCCAAGTGAGTGGGTGGTTCATACTCAAAGATCTTATCCACAAAGACCCATTTAAGACCAGCTGTGCAGAGGGCTAAGCTAAGCAGACAGGCCAGGATAGGCAGAATGCAGATTTTCTCAGAGTGCAGGCAATTGTTAATCTGTTCCACCTCTATGCACACACAGCAGGTCCCTGGCAAGGCCACAATTCCCAAAGCCCCCAAATGCTCCCCATCACCATCACCACCTCCCTCTGCAGTTCCCTCAGCACCCTCCTCCCCACTCTCACCAGCTGCCTCTGTCTCCTCAGGTTTCTCCTCAGGGACTTGTCCAGTATCAACAGTAGAGCCGGTGGGGGAGGCCGATCCGGGAGGGGGGACTGGCCCTGCAGAGAGGTCCTCCATTCCCTCAGTCATCCTGTCCAACTGCTGGATGAAGGGTCTCTGAACAGCTCAACTCTTAACTGAGAGCATCACACAGTGGCTGTCTGCCACCAGTCTCCTCAAGTACGTTTTCCATCATGAGGCTGCAGAGTCAGAGCTGGGATTTCAGAGAGAAGTAAAAACGCTCTTCAGACTGAGTCGAACCTTGTTAACAGTCTGGGAGGTCTGCAGACAGCCTTCTGTGCACGAGGGACAGGAGTTCCTCACTCATGCTTTCTTACAAGAAACACAAATAATGAGTCTATAAATAGAATCATCAAATTAGCTGCAGGCAAAAACAAAAAAAGATGGCCAAAGAATTAGATTCCTGAAACGTCCTGTACGGTCTAGCAGTGAGCAGTGGTGGAAGAGCAGCGCTCACTCACCTGAGCACTTGGGCAGAAGAGGCGGTGTCGACGTGCTGGGCCGGCTGCAGCTGCAGTAGCTGTAGTGCAGAGGACAGGACGGCCAGGCACTGCAGAGGCAGGAGGGACATGCTGTCTTGTCTGTGAGCTCCAAGCTGAAAGGCTGAATCATCAGGGAGCGGCAGGTGCCCTTCCTCTCAGCGCAGCCACAGAAACAGATGAGTAAGGGGAAAGAGAGAGAAAGAGAATCAGAGAGAGAAGGAGGGGGAGGGGGGGCTGCAGTAGCACAGAAGGGCAGAGAAGACGGGATACTCCCCTTTTTCTTCTCCCACCCCTCCTCTCTCAATCTTTCCTCTCCAAGTGGTGAACAGGGCAGCCTCTGGCCTCCTCCCTCTCTGCCTCTCTTCCTGTCTGCTGGTGTGTCCGTGCTCTCTTTGCCGGCTGCTCCCAATCCCAGCACAAAGCATCCAGCTAAGCAAGTTCCTACTTGATCCAATTAGAGAGCTTGTCAGCCAATCACAGGCAGACGAACTGCTGTTGCCACACCCTCCAGCACCACTCCCCATTGATTATGCTGATACTAAAGGGTGTGTTTTTTGTCAAGGGGAAGGAGCCAGGGGAGCAGACATATAATCAACCCCAAGAGGATGCTGCCATTGTGTTCTACTCTTCTCAAGTATCTGCATTCAGTAGTGTAATAACATAATAACACAGATGATAATGATAATGAATACAGTACAAGTCAGTCGCACTGACGGGGCGCGCGCACACACACACACACACACACACAAACACGATAATGTGTTAAATGCTGCCTGATTTTGTTATAACACCCACTAAGGGGGTCACAAAAATTAAAATCAGGGAATGTGACTAATTTTTAAATGAACTTATTCAAGAAATGAAAAAAATCATGAATCATACTTACTTTTATTTTGGTATCCAGTTCATCAGATGTAATACTGTCTAAACTGGGGATATTGATCAGAAAACTCACACTGTCTCCAACAGCATGCACGTGTGACAGAAAGCCCCCAGACCGCCAATAAAACTATTAACTCCACAACCCCCAGCCCTGCTGGCTAATAGGCTAGCAGGACAAAGTCTTCCTGAGGAGTTGGGGCTTAAACAAGATGAAGACAGTCAGAAAGGTCAGGTCACCGCCACACTGAACACTGACACTGCTGTGACCCTTTCCAATCCTCAGACAGAATTAATACCAGTAATGGTATCTGTGGGAGAGGACTTCCTGTCAGCCCCCTGAATTAGGGACCTCCATATTGATTCACTTCTCAGCATTTCCATACGCTTTGTAAGGAGGACAAAAAGTGCCCTAGAAAATAATTAAATGAGCATGATAAATTAAAAATGAATAAATAGATTTTTCACAAAAGAACCAATAAATAGATCAATTGGTTATAAATAAATAAGATTTTTTTTTCTGTATTTAGATAAATGTGGAAACAAATATATAAGTGAATGAATACAGAAAAATGTAATATTCTTCATTAATTGTCTGTTTTCAATGCTTTTATTCTGTATTTCAATTCATAATTTAATCTAATTAAAATGATAAAAAACTGACAGATTTCATTGTGCAGTTGAAAATATTGAGCAAAAATTGTATTAATCCTGCATAAATGTACAGAATGACTCAGTGAACAATGATAGGAAGAAATTACGTGGTCGAGTGTTGGTGAACGATGTGTGAATTTTTAGGTTAAGTCTGTACCACCCTGAGCCGCTCCTGTACACAGTCTTTACCAATGAGCTTCCTTCAGTATTAAAAAAGGCTTGTACTTCAGTTTATGCTGATGACGCCACCATATATTTAGCAGAAGCAGCAATTGGTGATTTAAATACAAATCTTGATCAGGAGTTGAAGTTAGTTGTAGATTGGATCAATAGCAATAACGTTATTTTGACTATGTCTAAACAACCAGTGTTATAGGAACAAATAATTATTTATGTAACACATTGCTAAAGCAGGTGGATGAAGACAAACTTTTGGGAGTTGTCCCATGTGGCTCTTTCTTGTGGGTTAAGAACAAATGTTGTCTCTCTTGGTTTGAAGTAAAAAATAAATTCCTGTATTCATTGATGGTTTACATTAGGAATGACATAACAACAAGGACTCAAATTATTCAACAAGGTCAACAACAACACGACTTGAGGTTGTTTTACTTTGCCAAAATCTAAAACCTCAATTCAGCGTACAGTAACATACAGAGCAATGCAGGAATGGCATTCACTGTACCACAAACTATGCTACTAACTACTACCTCAATGGTAAAGGTGAATAATTTCAGAGAAAGACCTCACAAAGTGAATCTATCTGAATGACTAGATCCCACCAAAGAGGAGGAAGAACATTTCATTCTTATTTCAGCTATTTTTTGTAGTTTGGGGTGAAGCAACTCATTAAAATGAATCCGAGGGGGAAAAAGTTCACCTACATAAAGTAGAGTCAAAAACACAATAATGCCAAACCACAACTACACAGGCCTTCACCCACAGACACGGACAGTGGAAGTTAATGTTTTTGCAGATTTATGGGTCACAACACGACCACTGCTGCAAGTATTGTTGCATATAAGCAACAAAACTGAAAACTCCCAGTAATCATCCTCTTGATATGACAGAAACAATGATTCTCCAGATGAAGTCATATGTGGACTCTAAAAATAAAAAATGTAGTTCAAGTCAAAGACAAGGAAAACTTTGGCTGGTCAGATGTTTCAAGTGTGACAGCTGCCAACATGGTGACTGCGGGATGATAACAGTAAAGTAATAACAATCACACCATTGTTAACCACACACAATGACATACATATATACATACATATATGAATATATGTATGTGTATGTATGTATGTGTATATATATATATATATATATACACACATACATACGGCACATCACTCTATTGTAATATTTACAGTAAGAGGTAAGAAGGATACATTAGTTAACCCCCCTGAACTTTTGTTTTTGCCTCTTTTGGGGGGAATCCAAGTCTTAATCAGGGGAATGCAACCACCTCAATACTCCACATAATTCTGACCCTCCTCTCTAAAACTGGACAATAACCTTCCTCAAAGTTACTGAGCTTCCACAAAAAAACTATAAGTCAGTTTTATAATTTTGTGAACATCTGGAAAAGATGGAAAGACGAGAGGATCACGCATAAGTTTTAACAAAATATGAATGAACTGAGGGTAAAGTATGTAAATCAGTGACATCAGTGGTGTGAGTGCATGAATGAGTAGGCGGTGATGTGTAATGAACAAAGGAAATGAACACAGGGCAAAACCATTCACCCAGGGGAGACAGCGACAGATGACTGGATCCACCAGCCTATACCTGATGAACAGCCAGCACAGGTGTTAGTCACCTCCTGCTTCTCTCCCAAAAAATGGAAAAGGACCACCCACAAAGATCAGCACAAACAGGAAGTGAAGAGGGTGATCACATCATTGATTTCCCATATAAGGTTTGCAGAGATTATAAGGACACATCCGTCTTGTTTGCTTCATCTTATCTGCTCACCAACCCAACCTCTGTTGTACAATCAGCAGATTAAATATTTAAACCGAGTCACTGTGAGCACAGTGTGAGCAAAAGAATAAAGCAGAACCAGGGGTGCAAACTCACCAGGGGGTGAAAAATGTGACAATGATGTAACTACTACTAACCCACCACCCATTTCTTTTTGATCTGTCTTCTTTCTTTTCATCATTGCTCTGAGCTGTCTCTATCTCTCTTATGACACAAACTTGATGGAAAGTAAACTCCTCCGCTCAGTGCGATTGAGCCAATCAGATTTCAACAAAAAACGAGGGTCAGTCGAGGGGCCGCTCGTGTTTAGGTGACAAATGTAAGTGACAAGTGACAAGTTTGCGCCCCGGAGGGAACTCCAGCTGCCGTTTCCAGCTTATTGGAGACAAAGGAAGTTCAACCAGTTAATAAATCCAAGGTTCACTGACTTTTTCCACCAGCATTGAAAATGATTAAAGACTGTGTTCAATAAAGACTCATCTTCAACTGTTTGTGTGATATCAGGTCAGAGACACTGTTTGTCTACACTTGTGTCTTGTGTCACAGTTTATGACAAGTTAATGCAGAAAACCAGCTCATTCAGAGGCTCACCGACTTCTTCAAACTGTTCACATGAGGAAAGAGACTAAACTGGTTGTGATCAAGTTGAATATAAGAGAATTCACTCTGATCATGTGATCATTTAAAGCGGACCGTGTCGCTGTGAACTGTCCAGCGGAAGAATTGAAGAAAAATGACTAAAAACAGCTCAAAGGCTTGAGAAGCTAAACTGAAGATCCCACACTGACCTGACACTCTGTCTGCTTTAAATCATCTGACCAGATAAATCCAGTTTTCCATCATTTTGTCAACCATTTCTACAGTAACATTGAACGCACCACTTCATTTTCGACAGAGCTGAACAATGAATCAAAATATTATTGAAATCTCAATGTGGTCAGGTGCAATGTTCAAATCACAGCAGCTGAAATGTTTTGATGAAGGTGAAAATGAATCACAGCAGATCAGAAATGAAGCGCTGTGGAGCTACAGCGACACACCAGCCGATAAATCATATTCTCCTGATGATCATCATCACTTTTTATATTTTTTCAGTGAAAATGACATGAAAACAATGACTTCCAATTGAAACCATTACTCATAGCACAATATCTGTCAAAAAAAAAATCACAATATGCTTTTTTTCCCCCATTGTTGTTCAGCCCTGATCTGTGATGATAATTTTACTGTTTTCATTTCTAACTAACTTAGCAAGAACAATGTTACTAATGACAGGACTAATTAACATTACTCAAGTAAGACCCACATAAAATAAACCAGTTATTCTTCGCATTGGGTAAAAAGACAAACACCAAACTCCTCCTCTTCCAGACTGATATGGTTTATTTTCACACACACATTCCCTTTGTCTATCCTATCATTAATAAAAAATACAACACACTGAGGACAGCAGCTACAATATAGGCGTCATATAAACATGTCAAACATGTAAATCAACACTATTCATAAAATTAAAAGGTTGTGCATAAAGTTTCTTCAAAAGTAGGCACACAACATGGCTGTCCTCAGAACATACAAACAGTTTATATGATCACAAAGTTAGTAATGATTCCCTGGTGTCAGACAGACACACATCTATATGAAAATAAAATCACATGTAAATCACATTTAAACCTGCAGTAACTGATTGTTTTGGTCTCTAGGGGGCAGTGAAGTGAAGCACTGACGTATCACCACCTTTTAAACACACATAGTGACCTTGTTGTCAAACAGCTGCTTATTTCCACACATCACCATGGTGCTTCGTGTGGAGTGGTGATGAATCTCAGTCCAGTGTCCCCTCTCTTTTAGCTCTGTGTTTGATCTCCACCAGCTCCTGAGGGAAATCCACTATGTTCAACAGCTGCTCAGACTGAGTCTGTCTGCAGGTAGAGGACAGTGGAAACATCTGCTGCAGCTGCAAAAGACACGGATCAACACCGAGCTGAAACTCAGTGTGAAGCTCTGTGAAGCTGCAGATTCAGACTCTCTGTAGGTTCATCACAAAGAGCAAAGCCTCTCATATTACACATTATTATTAGATCCATTGTTATTATAAAAATACTGATTACAGCAGCTTTAAAGTTCACTCGCTGTAGTAGAATTAGTGCTGGATTGAGCTGCTGTTTGAACGGAGATAAAAACAGAGCTTTAATATAACAGTTTAAAACACACTCCCCTGCTCGTGACCCCACACACCACATGTTCCTGCTGCTGCTGCTGCTGCTGATGTTATTAAAGAAACAGTTTCAACACACTGTTTGCCTGGGCAGGTCTGGGATCAGTCTGGGCAGGAATAATCAACAGTATCATTCAGGAAATTATCTCCCAGGAAGATTTGATCATAGAAATACCACGGGCTGGAAAATAAAAAAAGATAATGTTATCAAACCGAGACATTTGACTCCTCTTCTTCCCCTGAAATGGAAACCTTTACAAATGACATCACTCTGAGCGTGTGATATTTAATCTGACATCACAGCCACACACATTAACGCTGACCGTCTGCAGGATGCTGTGGGTTATCAGGGCATTACACTGGCAGCCATGGCGTAACTGGGATAACACACACCATTATTCTCCATCTGAAATCTATCACATCTTTTAATCTTGCCTCCGATTGGTTCAGAGCATCTACGTCTAGCTGTCTCTACATGAAGAACTGAGCCAGCAGGTTGGCCAGGCCCAGCAGGATCAGGAAGCTGTGGAAGAGGGCTGAGGGCCAGCGCAGCGTCCCCTGACGCTTCAGGGAGATCATGTGGACTAAAGCAGGGAAGACGAACACGAGAGCCAGGCCACACGTCGCTCCAGAAAACCTGCAGGAGGAGACAGAGTTAACACCAGCAGAGTTAGACTGATCACTGATGCAGCCTCAAGACTGAAGTCTGTGATGATGAATTAACACTTCAACATCAATGACCAAGACAGACAGGTTTAGATTCTTTTGTTACTCCCAGGCTCAGTCATGTGACACATGTGCGTTCTGTATGTTATCCAGAAGCATGAAGGAGGAGAGGATACATCAGAAAGAACCAGGTTTGACTTGATCACTGATTTCTTGAATCATGGAAGTTTTTATTCTCTACAGGTTCACATGTGTGTTAGAGGCTGACAGTGAGCAGCCACACCAGCTCCTCTCGCCTCCTTTAACAGCAGCATTTACTGACAAAGGTGCTGGTTGTCAACACTGCTTGTTAGCGCCAAATCATTTTGAATGAGCAACAATCACTGAGGAAACTCCAACACACAGCTGACTGACCAATGGTGTAACTCCATCACTCAGTCAGGTATAAGGCTGGCTGCACTATTGGTCCACAGAAAATTGTTGACAGAAATGTGTGTTTGTCCCACAAGCGTCTTGATTCTGGAGTTTGTTGCGTGAGCACTGAGGAAGACTCTCAGTAGTCTTCTTCGTTCACACCTAACAGTGATTACACTGCTCACCTCCTGCTCACCGCCATCATGGCAGAAGTTTCCTGTCTCTGTTACCTGGACATCGTCTCCCACACACTGATTCGTCTGAGGCGGCCGCCTCAACATCAACACTGACCATCACGTATTGATTTTCTATTTCTTTTTCTACCATTTTATTTCATTGTAGAGCTGTGCAGCCCCTTGATTCACTCAGCCTCTCTCTCTCTCTCTCTCAACTCTGTTTTCTCAGTTCAATATGTTTTGTTGAATGTCAGGTGAACAACATTGCCAAAGCATCACAGAAATATTGTAATGAGGGAGAAAAAAGAGGAAAAATGTACATACAGTATACATATATATATATATACACACACGCATGTATATTGTTCACATCACATCAGACTTTTAGAGGGTCCCAGCCACTTCCTGTAATGTTGCAGCCTCTGCTCAGCTGTCACACAACAGCTCATTCACACACATGCATTAGTCACCATGCAGCACATGTGAGGAGGAAAGAGTTGTAGACTTACCGTATGATGGATCCGATGTTGGGATAGTACTTGGCCATCAGGACGCCAGCTGCAACTATGACCAGGTTCAGAAACAGAACGTGGAAGAAACTACAGAGAGACACAGTGGAAACTGATCACGTGATGAAATATTAACGACGACTGAACAGACTCTATCAAATGTAATAACACAACATGTAAGAACATAGTACTACACTTTAATATTTATGACCGTAACAACACATAGTTCATCTCCAAGTTTGCGCAGCCCAAAGTTACAGCAGGATGAGAACATGAAGGTGAACCGGCTCCAACTAGGGCTGGGCCATTAATCTCATTTTAATTTTCAATTGTGATTTTGGCTTCCAACAATTATGAAAAGAAGATAATCAAGATGAAACGATTGTTGTGCCGCATTCTGTTTCACAACAATTACCCCCCCCCCCCCTACAAACACTATCCCCCATTCACTTCCTGGTTGCGTTTTGGAGTATGTTAGCAACGTACGCAGGAGTGCATCATCTAGAGCAGTTTGCCAGTTCACTGACGTTCTATATGTAGTCAGGAGAGACCACGCCCTGTTCGGCTGCTGTCCCACACTCACATAATCTTTTTTTTGTTGTTTTTTTTTTCAGTTCAATACATGCATGGTGTTTCCAAAGTCACTGATTAATCCTGCTAAATAATCGTGATCTAAATATTGATCAAAATAATCATGACTATGATTTTTGCCGTAATTGAACAGCCAGAGCTCCAACACACGTCTGACATATCATCACATTACACTGAACAGACACAGAGCAACATGATCATCCATGTAGTAGTGTTTGAATGTTAGTGTGTTCTCCAGCTGCTCTCTGACTGACTGAGTCTGTCTGCTGAGCAGGTCATACACAGAGGCTAGAAACATCTGGAAACATCTGCTGCTGCAGCTGGAAACAGGATGGTGAGAGTGAAGTCTGTGAGTCGGGAGCCGACTCAAAGAGACAGAGATGGAACAGATCATTCACACTACAACAGCCACACAGTCACATTACAAACATCTGATTCATTAATATTAACATATTGATCAGAGCAGGTTTATTGTCAGTGTGAAAATAAATCTGTACAAATTGACCTACATTAATTATAAATGTCAAAAACTGATAATTGATTACTTTCACTGCCCTTTCTGTAAATGATCACATAATGAGTTTGAAGGTGATCAGCTGAGTGTAATGAGGGTGTGACCAGCTGTCAAACATATGTCTCTGTCTGTGTATATGACAGTGATAATGAACAAGAAATGACAGCAGAGAACTGTCAGTTATGTGTTTGAGGTGATTTAGTAACAGTGTGTCCATCACACAGTTTGTCCAGCAGAGAGCGCGCACACTGTAAAATCTCCCCTCAGTAAACACAGTCTCTTCCTGAGTGACTAAAACTGATGTTTTATAGTAATAATAGATCAAATCACAGTGTGAAAGGCTCTGCTCTTAGTGATGAACCATCATCAGCTGAGTCTACAGCTCCCCTCAGCTTCACAGAGCTCCACAGTGAGTTTCAGCTCAGTGTCTATCTGTTTACTGTTTCACTCTCTTTGCCTCGTTTCCAGCTGCAGCAGCTGTTTCCACTCTCCTCTACCTGCGGACAGACTCAGTCAGAGAGCAGCTGGTGAACGGAGTGGAGCGTTTAGCAGATAAAGAGGCAGATATTTCGCTCAGGAGCTGGTGGAGACCAAACACAGAGCTAAAGACAGAGGGAACACTGAGAGTCATCAGGTGACACAGACACCACAACACATGGATCTCCAGGATGATCTGTTGAAATAAGCAGCTGTTTGACAAAAGGGTCACTATATCAGTTTAAAAGGTGATGATATGCCAATGTTGTGTTGACAGCTTGTTTCAGCTGCCCCCCAGTGGTCAAAACTAACAGTTGCAGCAGGTTTAATAATCAGTTTCATGGATCTGATGAGTTCAAAAATGACTATCAGCATTTTTTTTAACTTTCAGTGATCTCTGCAACAGCTGCTGTTGGTGGGGCTACATTAAAGACACCCGGATCTGGGTGGTCCTGAAGCTGGTTGGACGTGATGGACATGTTGAAGACAAAGAAATATTCCAGACTGAAAAATTCCGATTAAAGGAAGAATACAAGAAAATGTGCAAGGCACTGATTAATCCCTCAGAGTTCAGTTTGGTCAGTTATTTAAAACGATAAAAAGAATGTAACATAGCTTTGGCATGAGTCTGAGCAGGATCTCCTTAAAGACTCAGGTTTAAGTGGATCAATGATTGTGGATCAGGTCTGGCCCAGAAACAACCAGTACATGTATAAAACAGGTGCTGCAGGCTGGAATCAGAAAGTTTGTAATATGCCCGCCTCTCCTTATTACGCGATGTGTTTGAGTGAGGAGACGTGATGAGTCCACTAATCCACCACTAGAAGTTTCACACAGATTTCAAGATGCAGATGTTTTGAGTGGAACTGACCTGTTAAAGTAAATCCATTCACTCACTAGGACACATCTCAGGTCAGAATGAATAACGTGGTGCTGCCATTTGGTCTGACTTTCAGGTTAGTAATATTTGACCATACCTTAGTATTTTTTGTTAAAATATGTAGTTTGTGTAAAAATGATCAGTTATCATCATCATCAGTCTGCTTCCACAGAAATAAGAGGAACATTAATGATGAGGGTTAGGGGTCCTACCTGGGGTAATGACTGCCAAAGATCTGGCCCATCATCTGGACCCGCACCAAGTACCCCAGCAGGGGGTAGACTGTGATCATCTGGAACAACAGGAAGGTCCGAGCCACAAACACCATCACATCACTGCTGGGGAAGTTGTCTAAGAAGTTCTGTAGGAGAGAGGAAAGTGGAGGGGGTTTGTTTGAAAAAGCTTCAGCCTCTGTGGAAATTAAAACTGTGAGTCTGTAAAACCACGTCCAGCAGTTTGTAAATCCATCCAAAGACACAGAGACAGAAAATGACACTGATTGATTTTTAGAGAATCTGACTCATGACCACTGAACCATATGTGTCAGAGGCATGTGCTGATATGAACAGATACATCTTAAATCACAAAGTACAGGGAAAAAACATAGGTATGTTCAGCTCGTCTTGCTTTGCTCTTCTACAGTAGCTGTAGTGTGTGCTTTCTATAGACTAATCCACAGGACAGTGGCTTCAGAAATTATTCAGACCCCTTCACTTTTTGCAGATTTTATTGTGGTTGGATCTGACCACAGTTTGGGTCTGAATACTTCTGTAAATTAGTGATTTCAGTTTTTGAGTTTTACTTAATTTGTAAACGTCCTACTGAACCTATTGACCACCTACGGTTAAATCACTGTGACGTCGTCTGACAAAATCACAAAATTGAAAGAGAACCACTGAGAGAGATAGACAGACAGAGAGCGAGAGAGAGAGAGAAGTGAGAGAGAGAGAGAGAGAGAGAGAGAGAGAGAGAGAGAGAGAGAGAGGATGACACATTGACACATAATAGAGGGCCACAGGCCGGACTAGGACCCGGGCCACAGCTGCACACAGGACTTAGGCCAAATAACACGCTCCACCAGGTTAGCCAACGGGCCCAGAGACAGACATCTTTGTTATTTAGTCTCTCACACAGAGCACAGCCTCCGCCTGGATCCGTCCTGAACTCCCTCTGTTTGATACGTAGAGTTGTCATAGCGGCTAATACGAAGCCGCGTTACCAATGACTTCTATCTCTCTCTGCTCTGTGTGTCTTATGTTTAGTTAATCCTCTGCCTCCTTTAGTAATAATGATACATGGCATGAAAGTAGTTTATTTGCTATAATGGAGTCGAGGCTCAGTGTATTGGAAGTGCTCCTCCTCTTCCCCACAGTCCCAGAGCAGCCAGGAAACTAGGGTGGCTCAGTAGACTGCAGCTCGGCACTCTGCTGACCAGTGGTGGAAATATCATCAGTCAGTCAGTCAGTCAGTCAGTCAGTGACATTTGAACTTATAGGCCTGGCCGCACTGTTGTGGTCCAGCCAAAAAAACAAGAGAACTGAAGTGTAAATCTTACTGGTTCGATGCAGTCTTTGAAGAGAGGAGGTGAGGGGAAGGCAGCAAAGATCAACACTCCCACATACAGATAGGTCAGCCCTACTAGAAGATAGGCCACAGACAGGTCCCGCACCTGAAAACACCACAACACATTTACCTTAAAAACAGTATCACTACTTACTGCGTTTCCTCGAAGGGGGTGTTTTGGTAAATTTAGTTGATATTTTATTTGAAGACTCTACTTGATCACAATGTACTTCAGTCAGAAAAATGGACTAAATCAGCAGAGACCAGATTAGTACAATGTAAGACATACAGGTATATATATATGTTCAGAGTGTGTTGCTCACATTGTTCTCTTGGTTCTTGTTGCTCTTCATTAACGTGATGACGCAGTTGTGAATGAAAAAGGCCAGAGTGAGGACTCCAGTCAGCTGAGGGAAGAGCAGTCTGAACTCTGAGAGAACAAGACAGAGATGATTCATCTGAAACTGCACAGAAAGAAAACACATCCACACGTCCTCTGCAGCGCTCCTCTAGTGGTTAAACTGTCCATGACCGTCGACAGGGTTCATCCCTCCGGGAGCATGAATGTGTTCAAATCTCATAAAACTCTGACTGACAGATTAAGAGATAAGTCCTAGCCCTTCGTGGCACCAGAGGAAGCTACAGCGAAGGTAAGGGAGATCCGATTTACTCTCAGGGAACTGCTGAACTATTTAAGTGCTCAGTAACAGTCGAGCTGTCTGTCTGTGGAAGAGTTGGACGTAGACACAGAAGAAAACTCTCTCACTCATGTATTATGATGTAGAAAGATTTCTAAAAGGTCAATTGAGTAATAGATGATGGATAATAAATAGATGGACAGGAAAATGTATCTTTTTTTTGGCAAATTCATCAAAGCCAATATCTATTTAATAAAGGTCATCACACTGAGGAAAAAATCTTAATCATAAAACAAATAAAAAATAATAAAAATCAAATACTGGTTTTAACTAGTTATACACATTGATCAGCAGCACTGTCCAGATTACTTTATACACCCACATATACTGCAGGGACAAATACCACTGTGTTCTAGTAGGAGCCAATATCCTCATATACAGGATACCTCGACCACAGGTAGGTATAAGAAAATATATAATAATAATAATAATAATAATAATGAGAAGAAGACTCAAATATAAAACATCCAATCAAATCAAAGTACAATGTACATAAAAATGAAAAAGAAAGCACACAATAAAAGCTTCTTTATGAAAATGTGTCGTAAGAAGTGAAGAAGAAAAAACTGAACTGAGTCAGAGAGTCTGATCTCCTCTGGCAGGTTGTTCCACAGTTCAGGGCCCTGACAGCAAAGGCCCCGTCTCCTTTGATTTTTAGCCTAGACCTTAGACCGACCAGCAGTGAACTACCAGAGGATCTCACACTGTGTCCTGGATCATAAGGGGATAAAAGCTGGGGGGGGGGTCAGCCCAAACCTGACCTTAAAAGTCATGAGAAGAATTTTAAAATCAATCCTAAAATAAACAGGCAGCCAGTGTAGAGATGCTGAGTCCAGGGTGATGTGGACACATCGTTTGGACTGGGTTAGGAGCCGAGCTGCAGCATGCTGAACTAACTGTAGTCGGTGGGCTGATTTTTGACTGAGACAGGTATATAGTGAGTTGCAGTAGTCACTCTACTGTAACTCTCTGTGTAGAGTATGTCTACCAGGTTCATCTGGGGAAAGAAGAAGCACTAAGACCTGCAGCAGGTTTACCTGGAACGTAGAACTCTGTCGTGTCGATCCAGTGGAACTCCAGGTGGAACCCGAGGCGGACAGCTTTAACGGTGACCAGCGCGATCAAGTAGATCACTGATATGGTGCCTGGGCGAGACACAGCAGTTCAACATTCAGAGGGAAAACCCACAACCGGAGGTCTGACTCTAAACCTGAACCCCGAGCTGGGAAACTCTGGGTCTTTAGTAACACAACAGCTGATCAGGGTTAGTTAGTGAAAGAAGCCAGTTCACGGTGGAGCATCCATCTGATAACAGTGCAGGTAGAAACATTAAGGAGGACGACGCACCTTAACCTCAGAGCAGGAAAGTGCAGGAATCTCACTGTGTATTATACATTAAAACTTTTTATGTTTATTAGCTGTAACCTGACAAAACACAGACATGAGGATGAACCACATGAGGCATCTTTTACTAAACCTGGACTCTAGTTTACATACAGAGCAAATCTTAGCTCAGCAGCATTTAATGACTGTATCTCAATATGTAGTCAATTTAAACACAGTAACTCAAATGCTGTTTATGACGGAGTATTGGGGCATTTTTGAAATTTCAAGGATAAATTCGTAATATTTCAAGAAAAAGATTCAGCATCAGGACATTGAAAAGATTGTGCAGAAACTGAGTCTATTCTATAGTTAGACAGACAACCAGCAGCTGACACTGACTGTCTTTTCACCTGTTTGATTGGCTGATGAAATATTCCAAAAAAAATATGTTTTTCTCTCTCGAAAATTTTACATTTTTAATTCTCGTAATATTACCACTTTTTACTTGAAATATTATGATTTTATTCCAAAAATCAATATTGTGACTTTATTCTCAAAATTTCAGATTTCTTTTTTTCCTCACTGTGGCCCTGATACTCTGTCGTGCTGTTTAAACCAGTTTGGGCTTTTAAACTAACTTTAGTCCAGTTTCAAATGTCTTTCCAGCTCTACCACTGTCATCCTCACTCAGAAATACTCCCGTCATCTCCAACATGACTCTGATACTCTAAACACCACTGCTCCTGCTTGCATCTTACCCAGGAAGGTGAACCTAGCGAAGAAGGAGGCTGAGCGGAAGCAGAGCAGCGGCAGCAGCAGGATGATGAGGTAGAAGGGGATGGTGTTGGTTTTGCTCCACCAGTGTTCAAACGAGCCGGTGTCAGACGTGTCATTTCCGCTGTTGCTGAAGATGAGCGTGGTGGTGGTGTCGTTCCTTCCAGGGTCAGTGTTCGGGTACGGACAGATGACTGGAGAACAAACCAACAGAGCGTCACCATCTGTCCTCTCACTGTATTTACTAAAACCCAGCTTTTTCCTGCTCGACATTCAGGAAGCAAGTTGTTTATAAATGATGGAGTGTGCAGTCAGGGCACAACCAACATACACACGTACCTACACAGCATAAAACAAGTGACAAGATAAATATTCTCAGTTAACCTGAAAGGACAGAACTGATCTTTACTTACACCAGCACAACATGCTGTATATCTGGAATATATACTGTATTAATGGACTGTGCTGTTACAGAAAGGCTGAGTGAGAGTGTAAGTGCTGAACAGGTCATCTGTGGTTTCCAAGTAGTTGTGTGTAAATGAAACTGTAAGTGTTATAGTCTATAAATATAGTTCATTAACAGACGTTATGGAGCTTGTAGGGTTAATCTGACGTCTACTTTAATAGCAGCACTCACATCCTCTGTTCTGAATGTAATTCCAAATAGATTTACCACGAACGTGATGTGAATATTCAACTGGAGTGTAATCTTTTAAGCTGCCTTTGGCGGCCATATACAACATGCTGTAGATCCCTTGTTGCAGTCAATGAAGCCTTGAGGACATTTGGAATACTGGTTACAGCACTGTATAGTTGACTGTTTCTGGCTATTATCCTATTGCTATGATGTAGGTTTTTGTTTTCACAGAATAATTTGCACTAATTGTTCATATAAATAAAACTGTATATATATGCAGTATATATAACTATACTTGCATTGCACTAATTGTATATTTTTGTTTGCTTTTGTTCCCCCAGATAAACACAACTCTGTGAAGTGAAATTGGCTGAAAGACACTGAGATCTGCCTTTACTGCTGTGGGACTTGAGTACACCAGCATCTTTACATATCTATACATTTATATTTCACAGTTAAGATAAAAAAATAAAAAAAAACTGAACAGGAACTTGACAAAAATGTAGAAAAATTCATTAGCAAAAAACAAGTATTGGCCAATAAATAAAGATAAAATGATTTGATTCCAGGTTGTATATTACTACCAAATACACAGGCTCTAATCAGCATAATTATTTTTTTCTGATGCATCCTGTCTATCTTTGCTTTAAATTCAAGGTTAGCCATGGTCACCCAACAGGCCGCTCTACACTGTGTGACTCTGAGCCTCCCAGACCAGAGCCGTGAGAGAGACGTGGTGAAATCTTTGATGACACATGTCCAAGGTGAACTTAGAGACCAAAGACTGTGTCTGTGTGACAGTATCAGAATGTCAAAAATGTAGGACCACACTTTCACTGTGTGTCGACTAATGAAACAATAAAGTTGTAATTCAAGTGTCTCACCTCTGTCTGAGCCGTTGGTTCCAAACTGTGAATCTGACATGTTGACGTTGTGAGCGTAGTCTGGAGACAGACGAGTAAACCATCAGGGCTTCTTACACATTTAAAAAGGTGCAATCACTAATAATTTATCAATAATTTACCAATAATTTATCATCTCTCTGTACGAAACAACCAGGCGCTGATGAGAGCTCTGTGACTTACTGTAGATAAACTGTCCCGTGTTGTAGAGGAAGTTAGACATGAGGACCCAGTAAACCACCATGGCTCCAATGAGGGACACCATGGAGAACACCAGGCTGGACCACTGGCCAAATTTACCAAAGTAGTACCTGCACACGTCCGGGAACTCCCAGTCCGACGTGTCCACATAGGCTGGACAGAACAGAGAGGGGACAGAGCAGTGAACATCTGATCACATCACTGTCCAGGGTGCAGTTCAGTCAGAACCTCAGTTCATTGAGGTAAAACGATGCTGTTATTTATATCGTTTTAATGAACATGGCAGCAAGTTTTCTTTTTGTCGAATCAGTTTAAATGAATGTCTTTAAATCTGATTGTTAAGCACAGCCGCAGCCTGCGTTTGGATGATTTGATGGATGGATGAATGAATGGATGAATGGATGGATGGATGAATGGATGGATGGAGGAATGGATAAATGGATGGATGGATGATGGATGGATGATGGATGGATGGATGGATGGATGGATGGAGGAATGGATGATTTGATGATTGGATGGATGGATGAATGAATGGATGAATGGATGGATGAATGGATGGATGGATGGAGGAATGGATGGATGGATGGATGGACGGATGATGGATGGATGGATGGATGGATGGATGGATGGATGGTTGGATGTATAGATGGATGGATGGATGTATGGATGGATGGATGGATGGTTGGATGTATAGATGGATGGATGGATGTATGGATGGATGGTTGGATGGATGTATGAATGGATGTTGGATGGATGGATGGATGGTTGGATGTATGGATGGTTGGATGTATAGATGGATGGATGTTGGATGGATGGATGGATGTTGGATGGATGGATGGACGTTAGTGTTAGCCCTGTTTACCAAACAGCCAGAGAAAAGAGAACAAACTACATATTTTAACTGTGACCATCACACAACTGTATCATCACATCGTCCGACATGTTTCCAGGCCTCTCTACTGAGGAACACTGAGTCATCACCGCACTGCATTCATCATTACAATGTGAATTTAACAGAGAGAAAACGACCTGTGGCTCCTCCCTCTTTCTCTCTTTGTAAAACACAGCTGACATGTAGAAGAGTCAGGGAGGGAAATCAGCTGCAGTGAAATCTGATCAGAGACCCGTGAGTCAGTGTGTGTGTGTGCCGCTCTGAGGTGTGAAGGCTGACGAGTACATGCTACAGGAGTCACTTCTCTGTGGAAACATCCAGACTCTCATCACAAACAACCACTGGAGGTTATGAAGCAAACTCCTGGTTAAGTGGAGCTGGAAACGTCAGCTCTCCTGCAGAGCCCATTGCAGAACCTGCTCCTGCCTTGGGTCAGGGAGTCTGACCTTCAACTGAACCTCATTCAGGAGTTTCTTCATTCAAGTGTCTCCTGGGTAACTAGGCAAAAATAAAAACATACATACTGACTCTTTCCTGCTCACTGATTTCTTATAGATAGATAGATAGATACAGTAGATAGACAGATAGATAGATAGATAGATAGATAGATAGATAGATAGATAGATAGATAGATAGATAGATAGATAGATAGATAGATAGATAGATAGATAGATAGATAGAGCACACCTAGGTATTTATAAGTGTGCACCACCTCAATGTTGTGTGCAGAGGGATGTAATTATGAAATATCACATAAAATATAATGAAGAAATATCATGACGTTTTCAGTGTAACGCATTACATGAAATAAAGAAAAAGCAATGAGACTGAATGAATACAAGTTTTCTGAATGAGGCAGACGATGAGTGATGGAAACAGCAGATTATTTAGGTTTTTGATGACTAGCAGCACACGCAGGATAATTCAGTATATCACCATTTTTAAATGTTATGATGACTGGTAGGAAAAAAAGAGATAACTGATTAGTAGCAGAATATTATCAGTATAATCGCCAGTGCTGCTGACTTACGTATGGCCTTTGGTGATTTGAGGACGACGTAACAACAGTAGAGCATCAGCAGGCCGACGAAGATGAGGATGAGGATCCCCAGAGTGAAGCCAGCCTAAAGACACAAACACACACTGACGACTCAGATTTATTGTGCACACACAATGCAACACAGACATGTCAATAACAACTGTGGTCAATACAAAAATACTCATTTCAGATTCAGCCTCTGAATATCAGGGGGTAAATCACCTGCTTTATACCCCAGGGGATGCTGAGGATGGACGTGCCCATCATGGTGTTCCATATAGCAAATCTGTGAGGAGAGGAGAGCAGGTGATGACCACAGCAGACAGACACCTTCATCACTGAAGAATGAGGAGAGGCGTGCTGCTGACAGGGCTTACATGGTGATGATACTGGGGTTTTTAGAGGAGGGGTCACTTCCGGTCACCTTGAAAGCCGTCCCCAGGGGGCTGTAGATGTAGATCTCCTCCGGCCGGGGGATCACATGGTTTGGAGGACTCTGGAGGGGAAACAGGCAAGAGAGTAAAGATGGAGTCCTCACAGGTACAGCAACATGAAAACAACATGTAAAGATCTCATACGATCAAAATATACATGAAACCAAATGAATCAGACACCACATGGTGGATTAACTGTTGTGGTTTATCATTATACAATGGGTTATCCAATTGGGGTTAATTATAGTGCTGGAGAGTATGATCTTTGAATGTTCTTCAAAAGTTTGTTCCCAATAAATTTACAAACCTTACCTTTGCTAGAAAATGAACAAATAACAGATTTTTTTTTTATTTTTTACAATAAATCAAATAAACAATTTTTTGAGTTTTATTTTACATTTTTGAGTTATACACAGAAATACAAATAAAAATCCTCCACAGTCTAATTCAGGGGTTTTCAAAGTGTGAGAGTGGGCCTCCCCGCAGCCACACCTTGGAAAATGGCACCCCCCCCCACCACACCTTAGTTTACTTGATTTGATTCGCTCAATTCCTGGATACCTATGGAATCATGGTTATGTTATTAGCCTTATACTGCTGTTTGACATAACTGGAGACTAAACCAAATACATAAAAGAGGTCTGTCCTGAGGCCTTTATGAGTTTCTGATTCTGGGAAATAAGGAAAAACAGTAAAATTCACCGAAACTACTCTATCTCTTATCTCTAATCTATGTCTTTAACCAAATCACACACATTAAGGCTAATTTACATGATAATTAATTGAATAACTCATTTTTCTCTCTTCTGTTTACTGAGCCTCCACTGGAACTGATTGGAGCCCCCCTGGTGAGGCCTGTCTCCCACTTTGAAAACCTCTGGTCTAATTCACTCATGCAGCACTGTCCTAACTGTAGAACCACAGTATCATTAACTGAATACATCAGAACAGCTTCAAATTTACAGCCTGTCACAGAAACATGTACTTCAACAACCTGCTGAAAGAAAAGGAAAGCGACAATACAACCCTGAGAGGAAACCATTCTGTTTCTCTCTAACCCTGATCCTGGTTCTGTTAAAGAGTTTTTCCTTTCAGTGTGAAAGGTGCTGCTCACGGTGCATCTAGGTCTCAATAATAACATTACAAAGAGTATAGACCTGCTCCATATGACCAGAGCCCTAAGACTTCTACATGAAGAGAGATGGAGTGGACGTACCAGCAGCCTGTCAGAGGAGCCCGTCAGTCTGCCGTAGTAGTGGACTCTGCTGTTGAGGATGGCGGCCTCAGCAGTGACCCTCTCCTGAGGTTCATCATCCACGATGTTCCTTGGCTCCACGTGGAACGGCCTGGAAACAGACAGAGAGGAGCAATGTTCAATCTATCAAACAATAAATCAATTAAATCATTAAAGGCTCTGTATGTAAAATTGTTATTAATGACATCAGCTGCAAGGTGAACTGCAGTCAGCTTCCTGTTGCTTGTGCTTTGTAGGTGTGAGTGAACATCCTGGACATCAACCAAAACAGTGACGTGATTGAATGTGACCGACCTGATCATGTTGATAGATGAGGTAACTGAAGTTCCACTGTTTGACTATAAACTAGATCTGAGATTATAGAATATATTTACCTCTCCAGTGCACAACACTAAAACACAGTGTGGAGATACAGTACGTCTGACTTGGTGAAACTACAGTTTCACTGACGTCATGTGTTTTTGAAACAGGATTCAATTATAAAGTGTAATATCATTATCAACTTGTTAGCTAGTGCAGAGACTGTCCTGTGAAAAACGAGCCCACAGGTCGTCTGTGCAGCAGCTTATTATGACCCATGGTTACGTTTGGTTGTTACGCGACATCTAGTGGTCGTAGTAGTTATGACAGGAGCGAAGGGAAAAGTGCGGAGACGTAATATAACGTTGGATGGATGGGTCAACAAAACACAGGAATATGACATTCCCATGTGAAACCAGTAGTTTATATTGTTTCTATTATCCATGACCGTTCGTTGTTATTATTGTAACCATGACAACAAAGATCGTCTGATGTTGAGGAAGTACTTATTTTAACCCAAATCATGATCTTTTCCTTAACCTAACCAAGCCATTACCGTTATTATAGTAACCACGACAACGTTCGGTACGCCGCTCTCGGTACAGTCGCATATTTATTATGGTAACCATGACATCAAGGTCATGTACATGCCGCCATGGGAGCGCTATTTCAGGAGACACTCCTATGGGACGTATCACAGGGTTGCTCCTCTGAGTCATATTTGAGGGTAGGAACAAATGAACAACCGTATGGATTGGAGGACTTGTTGCTAGTACAATATAAGCTAGTGACATTGAACTAACCTATTCTTGTTACATGATACATTACCTGCATTTATATGACACATTCCTGTTGGCTAGTTAGCCACTGTTTGTCTAGTTTTCACAGAGAGGCTCAGCACAGTGACACTTACTGGGTGATAACACTAACAGTTAGTGAGCTCAGACAGAACATTATACATAAGATGTGCTGTCACACTTCATTACTGATGTTTCCATGACAACTCTCATGTCACTAAATCAAAGCTCTGATGTTAAAGACATTTTATATCGTCAGGTAATGTTTCTGTACTGAGGGGGCACAATGACAATCCTAAACTAACATCAGTTATAAACAGATGACAGGAGCAGGATGAGTAACAGACTTATAAACTTATAAATCACAGGCATTTTGTTTTGTGCAGGGAGCTGTTTTTTACGTTACGTTACAATCCATTCTCATGTTGGCAATAAAAAGAGAGTTTACATGTAAATTGCTTCTTACATATAAAAAGCTGTAAACTGTGTAAACCTCCTGATTCCAGCTTCTGCAGTGTGAGGAGAGGCAGCTTCTCTCTGGTTCGGTTGGTCATTGATCTGTTTGTGATTTTTCCAGTTTTCTGACATTTTATAAACGTGAAATTGATCACATTAAAATAGTTCATTGCATCTGGACTGGAGGAGCTCATAAGTTCATACACATGAACACAAACACACGTGTGTGTGACTGATGTGGCGGGAAGCTCATCGGTTACTGTGAAATACCTCACTGATGAAAATTAACACAAACTGTTAATTCAGCTGACACACACACACACACACACACACACACACACACACACACACACACACACACACACACACGACACACACACACACACACACTATGTGTTAGTGTCTACCTGTCAGTTCCAGGAAGTCTCACTTGTTTATTATCTAGTGAACAGTGAGTAAAACACAAACATCCTCGGCCTATCAGCTGACCAGAGCCAGACTGGATCCAAAGATCAGGGTGATGAAAGAGAAACTATGACATCCTCCATGTGTTTAATCAAGTCTTCCTCTAAAGATGATGAAAAGACTTTCATTGTTGATACATTAACAGTCTAAGCTCACTTTACACAGTGTGAGGACATGACGCAGTTTTTAACAGCTCATACACACAGACCACCTCACAATGTACCTGCACAGTAAACACATGGAGACACAGCTACACCATCACACATTTGGGATGATGTAAGAACACAAATCAACAACTTATAGAACATAGGTCTAGCTGTTTTTAGGCATTTTAATGTGGGAAAGTTAAAGATTAGAACTTTAAGTCACAATGTGTGAATACAACTGGTCTGTTTCTGGTGAAGTAAACATGTCTCACACATCACTGTTTATAACAGAGGGGGTTTATCATTTACTAATCAGTTCATCCTTGAGTCCAAGTGAATGTTTGTGGCAAATTTAAAGAAGTTCCCTCAAGGTGTTACTGAGATACCACGTTCATGAGTGAGCAGGAGAGGGTTTACTCTTTATTATGCCTCCATTATGTTGAGACGGACAACATAATGCTTCTGGCCCTGGTTGTTGCCGGCATGGAGGCATAATAAAGAATAAACCCTCTCCTCCTTATTAACATGTCTATGTCTCTGTTTCCCTGTCTCTGTGTCTCCTCTTCCAGTAAATGCATACGCCTCCTTCATGTTATCTATTGAACATCCTGAGCCTATGAGCAGCTGTGTCTCACAGAGACAGCTCAGTGCTGGTAAGTAGTGTGTATTGATTGGTGTAGAGTTTCAGTGTAATTCACCTTTTAGCCTTGACGTCCAGAGAGTCTGTGGAGCCTTTGTGTGAGTAGCTCTCTACAGTCTGCTCTGAGCTCAGCAGAGGCCTGTAGTCGTCCTCCATGATGCCTCGACTGTCCGCTACAGCTCAGCTCTCATCACCTGACTGAGAGGACACATGTTGTAAAGTACAATCACAGATAGTCACAATAAAACATTATTTGTGTGGTACAGTTGTTTACTGCAGTCATGTGTAGCTGACATCACAGTGAACCTTCTTCAAATCTTGTTGTGTTGTTCCACTGGTTCACACTCACCTCAGCACACTGTGAAAATCTACCAGTAAACCTGGGTGAACTATAATACTGAATATTGTGTCTGATGGATTATCTGACTACAGCAGAGTTCAAATCCCTCAAAGCTGATTTTCATACAGTGAAAAACAAACTTGGCCAAATTAAGCTGCTGCTGGGCCTCGATCAACATCCACTCCTCGACACAATATCACATGGTCCAACTAATACATGAGGAATATGAACCATGTAGGGTCAATAATGAAATAATGAAGGTGTTAAAACACAGGTGCTCAGGATTATGTAATTACAACGATGTATTACGGCCACATTGAGGTAAAAAGAAATCTGAAATTACAAGAACAGTCATAATAATAATAATAAGAGAATAAAGTCTTAATATTACGAGAAACGTTTCAAGAGAAAAAAACATATTTTTTAGGAATATTACATCAACCAATCAAACAGGTGAAAGGACAGTCAGTGTCAGCTGCTGTTTGTCTGTCTAACAATACAATAAACTCAGTTTCTGCACAGTCTTGTCAATGTCCTGATGCTGATGATGATGCTGATGCTGCTGATGATGATGCTGATGCTGCTGATGATGATGATGATGATGATGATGATGATGATGATGATGATAATGATGATGATGATGATGATGATGAAAAGCCTAAAGATGAAGTTTCTCCTTATTAGTGAAACCTCTGCTAAAGTAGAACTTCACAGGATGCTCCATGTTCCTCATTTTAAAGCTTCTGATGTTTCCCTCTAATACAACATGGAACCTAAAATTATAGCTTTATTCCCATTATATTATGACTTATTTTTTGTAAAGTTAAAGACTTTATTCTCATAATATTACAACTTTTTTCTCGAAATTTCAGATTTTTCTTTCCTCAATGTGGCCCTAATACTCGTCATATGAAATGAAGCAGGACCTCATCATGCAAACTGATATATTTGTGCTTAAGTACAGTATAATATATAACTTTACAATTAATCAGTTTATCACAACCCTGAAACACAGTGACCCTGATAAATGTGGGGGCCCTGGGGTCCATGCCCCTGGAGGAGCTGCTTTTGCCCAGCTGATAATACAGCTCTGGTAAAATCCAGAGGCTGCTTAGAAAGGAGAAACACCCACTTCAGTAGTGATGTAAAATACATATGACTGAGATGTGATATTGAATCTCAAAACAAACTTTAAGCACCAATGAGCTGCTCCTCAGGGTCCAGTGTTGAAATACTGAGTGGCAATGATACAGACTCTAGTACAATCACGACACATTAAAAAGTTGTATCATGATATAACAGGAGTAAACACATGCACATCACATGTAGGTTAAAATCTACTGAAGAACTGAATCAGCTGCATACTGACTCACAACGTTTCAGTTCCAGTTAGCTGTATGTTTGGGATCATAATCATGGATCTGACCAATCAGAGGCTCCCTGAGGGTTCCTGCTCTGTATCGCCCTGGCAAAGAGAGAACGATGAACGACCTCAGCCTCATCCAGACCAGAGCAGTGTGTGGTCCAGTAGTAGAGTGTCAGTCTTGGAGTCATAGCTCTTACGTTTATAGTCACAGGTTGATATTTGTTGTGTTGTTTTCGCCACATTCGCCACAAAACAAACTACAATAACTTAAAAGGAGAATCAAGAGGATCTGGTTTCAATGAGAAGATTGTGAACTGGATCCATATTTGATAAACCGCAAACTGCATGAGGAGATACAGTGGATCCAGAAAGTGTTCAGACCCCTTCACTTGACTTTGTTGTAGATTTAACTTTAAATGGATAAAAATCTCTCAATAAAAAAGCTCTCAATAATCCATAATGACAAAGTGACATTTTTTGTTAATTTATTAAAAATCAAAAACTGAAATTTCTCATTCACAAAAGTCTTAGCTGTGTCTCCAAACTGTGGTCAGGTGGAGTCCACCTGGGACAACCTGAACTGACTGGACCGAGTTCAGAAAGACTCCTGACACCTGTGTGTGTCAGGTCCAGAGACCATGAAGTCCAGTGAACTCTATAGACCTCTGTGATCAATATGTGGAAATACTCATGTCATATTGGCTGACAGGTCTCTGATTGATGGGGTTACTATGGTTACCGTAGCCAGTTAAACCAATGATTAATTAATTCAGTTTGTAGTTTGATTTTTCTCTGATCATGTCACAAACTGACAGTTTACCACAGCTTCTATAGAGCCAAACTTCAGACTGTCATTTAACCAGGAAATAAACACCAATGATTCAGACGTGTCACACACCCACACACACACACACAGACACAGATATCACTGCAGGTCAGTGTCAGAGGTCAGAGGTTTTGAACCATCATCAACCTATCAGGAGCCTTCAGACAGAGGATAAACACAGTCACCAGTCTGCTCTTTATCTACAATGGAAACACTGTTGTTGACTGACTGTTGTTCCTCCTCACACTCTGTGGTGTAATGTGACAAACAGCTTCCATCAGCCACCTGTGGTTACAAACATGATGTGGTTCCCTGATAGAAACTGCACAGAGAACATGGAAAAACTCACATTACCTGGACAGGAATCCAACTGGACTACTAGTTAGGCTACTAGTTAACATTTAAAATTTTTAAAAGATAATTATCATTATTATTAAAAAAAAACACCTGTTCACATTTTAAGCAACGTGTAGCCCACATGCAAGATACAGTATGTGCACTGGTTTCAGTTCAGTTCATTCCCTGGTATGTTTTACTCTCATGTACGGTGGCGTTTCCCTCCTCTGCTTCCTGTTTCACTGTGTGTGTCAGCAACTCCACACACACACACACACACACAGGGAGAGAGAGAGGTCGACAACCCGTCATGTTAATAAAAACAAGTGTTCTAATCTCAAACCATAGATGTCAATGTCAAACATCTAACAGGACAATTATCAGCTGTTTTACACAAATAAACTCACCATTATTTTTATCTTTATCATTGATATCATGTTGAAAAATAAGAAGAAGAATTCTGAGTCTATAATATGACAGAGGTCTCCTCTGTTAACTGTCACGTGAGTTTACTTAATGTTTCAGTCATTAAAGTTTATTTGTTGTTGTTCAGTTTAGTTGTTTGTGTCACTGTTGTCTGACTCTGCTCACTGCACGTAAACAAACTGAACTAAACCTGCTCCATAGGTCAAAGGTCAGGACCATCATCCAGCTGTGAGGATTAGGGGTACCCAGGTTCAGACCCGTATCCTGAGTCCTGCTCTGTGCCTGCAGTGGCATGAAGTGGTCTGAGGACTCTCTGACACACAAACAACACAGACACACACAACACACGCACAGTGAAGCGTCTTCTTCCTCATACCTGCCTCCATCAGACTGACACCTACACACTCAAGTGGCACGTGACCACACCAACACATCTCAGTACAAACTGACAAACCACACAACGTTTGTGAAAGGTCTGAGTCTCCGCCTGAACCATGAGGTCTCAGTCACAGAGACCGTCCTCTCCTCTACTTAAACTAGTTCCTATGAATCGGATTTCAGAGGAAACAAAGTGCTGAGTCTGCAGTCCAGATTCAGCACAACATGTTGTGAGTCTTACCGGGCGGTGGCTGTCTGTCTCCCTGTTCCCGCTTCACCGTAGGTCGGCGAACTCTCAGTGAACCCCCCCTCTCGGACCAGACCCGGGCCCTGGTGTCAGTGAACCGTACCGGTCTGACGTGACGACCCTTCCTGGGTCTTCAGCTCATCTCAGGTCTGCTGTGTCAGCAGAAGTTCCCTCCAACGAGCAGGACTTACGACCAGACGTCAACACACTTTACGACTCGTCCGCGGAGGACCGCAGAGGAACGCGACAGTTAGACAAATGAACGGTCGACTGAAGAGTCAGACAGCAGGGAAGGTGAAGAGACGAGCACCCCCTGATGACACAACAGTTGTGTTCGTGTTGTTGTCATCACTGGAGGTCTGATTCTTCTTCTGCTGCTCCTCGGTCTGCCTGCTCTTCTTCTACGGTCTGCACAGAGTTCAGCCGCCCTACCGCCCCCCTGCTGGACCGGATGTGTGTTTAATGTACAGAGGATGTACTGAATAAAATCATCATATTGACCACTCTAATGGAACTGATCAAATGTAATCGATAGGCCGCCCTGTCAGCACAAATATATAAATTATAGTATAAACTATATTATAATTTACCATCTTGTGACTATGACTTCCTGTCTCATCTGTATACAGTACTGACAATTGTCACTGAATGAACTTAATACTGAAGAAATCTAAAAACCTGGGGATTCTCAGGCGGGTTATTGAACATTTTCCCCAGATGCTGAGGCCTCCAACATGTTTTTGTGTTGTGTTGTCTGTGATGAGTGTGTGTCAGCTTGAGACTGGAATAATGTGAGAGAGCGGGAAACAGTTGCATGCAGTCTGACAGGTGAGACAGGTGTGTAGGTGCAAGGCCATCACAGAGGTTCAGTGTGATTAATCCTCCATAAAAAAAAGTCTGTACAGTTTTATATTTGATTTTAGTTCATGCAAATATATCTTATATTTTCTATGTGAGGACTGCTGGGTTTCACTGTACCCACCAACACAGCTGATAATACTGATCAAGAGCCTGTTGATAAGACCTGCTCCGGGAGAGGAGAGGGCCCAGGTGAACCTCTGACAGGTCTGGGGGCAGGGCTGGGACTCAGGACCTCGTCAGGAATCCGGCAATAGTACAGCTGCTCGGTCGTTGCTATCTGAACAAAGCTGACAGATACAGGCACTCACAGAGAGATAATCTTCTTGTTCAGAGTAGAGCAAACACTGCAGGCTATGTATTCAAAACTTTTATTTGTAATGAAGAGATTAACAGTTTGTTTGCTCTTTTTTAAATAATAACTATAACTGGCCTCAGCACAGAGACTGGGACTGCACCATTCAGAAGCTTATTCATATAACCTGTGTTTTTCCTGTTTGTCTTTCACCTTTCCCTTAAAAAGAATCTGACACTTCATTCTTCTCAGGGCCAATGATGTTCCTCCCATCTCCTGCCACAGCTGTTGTCGTCTTTATTCAATCAATAATCAATCAAATAAATCAACTTTATAGTGCTTTGTACTTTATATCACTTTATGCTCTTGTAGGTTAAGTAAATGCAGATTTGCTTGACAAAAGAAGAACGAGGCTCCTGCACATAAAATCTGAGATGAATGATAAAATAATAAAAATAGAATCAAGAATAAAAAATATCTAATATTAATAATAGAAATTAGTCTTTACATATATCTGTATGATTTTTGTATGCCTATGTATAAACCATGTGCATAGATTTGTATTGAATCCTCTACATTAAGATGGACAGATACACTCCTCTACTAATAACTTTATGGTTATAGATGAGTTATTATTAAGGGAAGCCCTGGATCTTTGTTATCAGACTAATGAACCTTTTAAACCGTATGAAGAAAATGACGTGGTCATCCCAGCAGGGGGCGTGGTGGAGGCTGTGCTCATCCATCCCACTGCAGCCTGAGGGAAACAGCCTTGTTCTGCTGTGATCACATGTAGCTGATAAAACTGTGAGTTATTTTATATGTTGACAGTCCATTCATAAGAAGTCTTTGTTTTCTCACTTTATAGTATTTCACTTCATCTCACAGTAATTATGAAATGATGAATCAGCAGTGATGTTGGAGAGGAGAACACACAGTGACCAGTAAGTTATTAGGTATACTCAGCAAAATTTAGCACATTAAATGTAGGAGAAAATTGCCTCTAATTATGTATGATATTGATAGATTATTGTTATTATTATACTGATCATATATGTGTGTGTACACTCACATATATGATCAGTCTGTTGTTCTATATTTGTCTTATTCATAACAAATCCCATATAGACTAAAGATAATAACGTGCTGGTCCTTCTCTCAGCACTCTGATGTGACGCTCACCTCCAAGAACACTGCTTCCTGATTGGCTCAGTCACTTCCTGAAACAGCTGCTCACTGTAGTTTTTATCAGACATCACTCAAACAGGAGGAAACAGTTACTTTATTTAGGACTATTTTCAGTGGTGGATTAATCCACATTTGGTGTGTTTGTGTTTGTGTGTGTTTGTGTGTGTGTGTGTGTGTGTGTGTGTGTGTGTGTGTGTGTGTGTGTGTGTGTGTGTGTGTGTGTATGTGTATGTTAATAGTTGTTGGAAACAGTGGAGCTCTGAGGCTCAGGTATGTGGAGGAGCAGTGATGTCGCAGGAAAAGTAATAAAGCTTTATTATAGTATATAATAAAGCATTTCCTTAATTTCATATTTTAAAAGGCATTAAAAATAGGGATTGTAAAAGGAATTTATAAATTAACTATTTATCCATCAATAAATATTTGGCATTTCAAAATAGATTTTCAAAAACAGCATGAAACGATGGTTAGTTCTCCAACCAATCAGAGAGCTTGTTATATCCCATGGTCAATTGGGATTGTTTAGTCTGGTTTTACCAGCACTGAAGGTCCAGAGTGTCACTGAAAGGCTACATGGAGAGGCTAACAGGAGACGCTAAATGACTAAGATAATAGATTAGCTAATAGGAAAAAGAAAAGCTGCTGGAGAAAGGAAATGGAAATTGAAAAAGGAATCCAGGTATGTATTCCCATTTTTAAAATGCGTTCTAATCTAATCTATTTATAAATGGCTTATTTAGTGAGTGTTTCATGCTGTTTTTGTTCATCCATTTTTAAATCTGAAGTATTTATTGATGCATCTATCATTTATAATTTCTTTTTACAATTCCTATTCTTAATGCCTATTAAAATATGAAATTAATGAAATGCTTTACTTTTCTTGTGACATCCCTGCTCCTGCATACAGATGATCCCTGTTAGGAGACCTTCACTGTAACTGCACATATTAAATACCAGTGAAATTGGAGTGTGACTGATTGTTAACAGTCCTGTATTATATGAAGCACTGACACAGACGTGTTTCCTCTGTTTCCCTCCTCCTGCCTTTACTCTGAATAGTTTGACGACATGTTTAAAATGAAGCTTGAATATGTATTAATGTGTGTTATGATCTCAGCTTCAACATTACTCAGGGTGTAAAGTGTGTGAAAGGAGGAGAAGTGAAGACCTGATAATCCTGTAAAACATTTAATGAAAAACAGAAAGAGAACGATGACCAATACAACCAATAAACACAGATTTTCATTTCCAGACTCTTTTCCAGCAACAATCAGCACAAGTTTCCAAACTCAAACAACTGTGACCTTTGACCTGTAGTGATGTTTGCTGTCCTTTAACTCTGCTACATGAGAACTTATTATTAACACATAAACATCTGAAGAAGTAAGTACAAAATGATGTCAGTAGATTGTCTCTAGATCTTTTAGACCTCTGTCACAAAGGCAGTATAACTGTAAATAGACACGACCGACTGCTGCTACAGTCTCGCACACTGTTGGATCATGTTGTTCTGGCTCAGGGCCACAGACAGACTCAGCCCGGTCCTGGTTCTGGCTCTGGTTCTGGTTGGGCTGAGGAGGCTAGTGAGGATGATATTTACAGTTAGACTGTTTGTGATCAGGATTTCTCCCTCTGCAGTCTTTAGTTAGAAATTCCCAGCTGAGTGAGAACCACCTCCTTGTGTTCCAGGGGTGAAGAACAGGGAAGAACACGACACTGAAACTTAGTCCCGGTTAAAATGCGACGTCCCCTCACTGCGTCAGTGAGTGTGTTTGGAGGAGGAGCTCACACATGGTGTCAGGTTCCTGTGGCGGGCCGTCGCATTTTAACAGAGTAAGTTGGAATTTCCAAATTTCCGACATCTTTGGGAAGCAGCACTATTTGAGAACAGCTGTCGGACATCGAGTTTCTCTTTTTTCTACTTTGATAGTTCCTCTGCATGCATTCAGCTGGGGTCCATAGAAGCACCTTTATATAATGTAACATAGCACCATTTTTTCATATAGTTTTCCTATTGTACTGGGACCCGACCATTGGCATGCATACACTCTAAAAACTTTGTTTTCTTGTTTACCATTTCTAAACGTAGCATTGATTCAAACGTTACAAGGCAAGTAATGAATATTCATACAGTACTTTACATGTAGAAGATGAACTAATACAGTACACGTTAAAGAAAGTGCTAGAGTACAGAACCTCCTTGTTTTTTAGTCTTACTCTACAGGACTATAGGACACACCAATGTATTACATTACATTTATCTAAATATACACCTGTTCACATTGTCATTATTCACTTCAGTTCATTTTAAATGGTTTGACCACACATGTACATTTCCCACTCTGAAACTCTGATGCTGAACAGAAGAGCAACGAAACAGCAAACAGACGTCTTCTTCAGGATGCACACACTCACATCACTCTACCTGCACAAGCACAGACACACACGTACACTTTGTCCAGGTGAGCCACACCTCTCTGCCGGAGATCTGACTGACTGTTCTCTGTTTCCACTGGTGGACTTTTCTTTTTGAATCGTTTCTATCTGATAATATAAAGCACATGAGTCAAAATAAGCATCAACAGGCACCTCCACTGTCGCTGTGGAGGTGCTTTAAGGCGTCAGGGTTGGAAACATTAGATCTTTGTTAATAGTTCATCACGTTGTTCATCAGAGTCCAACATCCTGTAGCCCTCCTCCTGTCGCTTCCTCCTGTAGCTTCCTATCGGCTGGTACCAGACTTAAAGGAGCAGACCGCCAGTTTGTACGTTTATCACAACAACCTGTTTCCAGCAGCTGTGGTCAGACTGTGGCGGGAATACACTGCTTCTGGTTGTGCTTTCATACTGTGATTCTGACGCGCTGACACCAGCTCTCAGCTACACCTCTGACATGATGTTATTTAAAACCTCAGAGTGAACAGACGGACAGGGGAAATAAAAAACTAAAATGTTAACTGTCAACCACGTGTTAGCTTTTTCCACAGCTTTAAACTGCATCTCACCGAGTCAACCGTGAGA